TAAATAGGGAAGAATATGATAAATTTGAAAAGATTCATGAACCTGGTCTTTGGAGATGTAGCTCCATATGGGTTTGTTTTATATATTCTTTTCCTTGGAAATTAGAACATAAGAAAAGGAAATTAATTAAATGCACTGTAGATTGAAATGGTATCTGAAGGTGTCACAGTTGATGAGCTTTGATTTGATATACCACTTTATTATGTGCTGACCCAGGCCCATTATTTTAAGGCATGATAACATCTTGTGTTCACATCAATTGGAAGATTATGAAAATTAGATATAAACAGGCAAACACCAAGTGTTGGTCTATGTATCTCATCCCCTAGTTGTCGCATTCAGCTCACTGGTGACAGCCTAGCAAATTATTGATTGTTAACCTGGAACTTGCTGTAGTTGAAATACAGAGAGAACAGACAAAATTTGCCAGATCTACCTGTCTCTCCGTTAAATCATTGTGTATGAATAGAAGTTCAGATATTCTCTTCTCTCTGGTCTTCTTGTTTAATTATCAGATCTTCATTTACATAAGAGGGAATCCTTGTCAAGAGAGAGAGAGAGAAAGGGCCGCATTTGATAGCATGGATAGATTCGTCAGTTACTAGGCTGTCGGTACAGTCATTTGTCTGTCAGCCAAACACGATTTCATACCATATGGTCACGTTGGGAGGACATTTCCTAGGCCTGTGACTCTATTTGGTGATCAGAATTTTATCTCTAGGTTGTAATCACACGACCAAGTCTGCTAGGAACTTTTTAATTGTGAAAATTGGACTTGCTGTTTGATCGGGAACTGATATTTCCCATTTTAGACATTTGCAGATATTTTGGGGTCTATAAAAAAAGAACAGTCAGAAGCTTTTCCGCTTTTGTGGTTAACTGTATTTTCATTCAAGAAATTTCTTCAAAGGGAAGTGTATATATGGAAATTTGATGTGCATGGATAAAGTTCTGTGAAATAGGTGAATTTATGGTTGTTACTAATATGAAAATTACTAGCAATTGATTCAGTTCATTATTAGTGTTTACGAGAATAATCTACGATGTTTTCCTTATGGATAAATCTATCAGTGATATTACATAATCAGAAAGGATTTTAAACAACATCCATAATACTGAAAGGCAACTACAGTTCTGTCACTTTAATTTTTTTTATGAAAAAGAGAATTTGGACATTTTAAAAGAAAGGGGAGAGAGAGATAATGGGAATAACTGTGTGACCTTTAGAGTTAGTGCTTGTCACAGGTGGACATATATACATAAATAAATGCTTCCAGGGGATGTATATTATTATTCCTCCAATTCCTTAGTCTTGTGTGTTCAACAAAACCTTGAGAAGGAGGACATACCTGAGCCTCAGGTAAGGGATTCACATAAAAACAGGACACCTTTTGGTCATCATTAAACTCCTGTGAAAGATAAATCAGTCTATGCTAGGATTGGATTGAAAGTCTATCGAATATGGAAAACTGATTTTAGAAAAAAAAATGGCAGTGAAATATAAGATACTAGTATTGAAAATTAAACTTTTACGTGTTCATATAAATGGTACCTTTTCATTGAAACATTAAGATGTGTACAAATGCACAAGTTTTGTAATCTTGTGGATCCTTGATATTTATAGAAAACCTACAAGCATGCAGATTTTATGAAAAATGTTTATAATATTACTAGAAATCAATAAGAATTATTTTTATTAGAAACTTTTTCAAAAGAATTGATGATTAACAATGAATTCCATAGTATCATGATATGAACATAAGATATTGAATATAACTGCTTATTACCAAGTGGTTAGAAACCTTATCGGATTGTTGACAACATCAGAACTGTTTCTTAATAGTGTTAATGTTTACATGTTTACAGAGAAAAAGATTGTTTATGTGATGCTTCAGGTATTCTGCAGAAAGCGTTGAAATGTTATCTACATGATTAAACAATTAGTCAGTGTTGTACCCTAATTAATAATTATAGTGTGTAGTATTTCCCTGAGTGTCCTTTCTCTAACCCCCTGTATATTCATTCATTCTGATTTCTGAGGTATTTGATTTCATGTTATTTCCATCTATACAAGTATAAGGCTTTGTGTTTGGAACAAAAGAAGATTGATTTCAGGTAAAGGGAATAAAAAGGAAATATCTCGACAGGTCATTATAATTCTGCGGGTCTCTGCATTAAACCTTAATTACCCTTTTCAGAGAAATTGTAATTGTTTTTTTGTTTGTTTTTTTTCCCTAGGAATATTTAAGTACATTCTTGGAGTTTCAATGCATTTACTTTGATGGAAGGAAGTCATGACAAAATTCTGCAAAATGAAATGATACACCCTATTCGAAATACTGTCACAGTTTGTAAATTTGATTTAAAAAAAAAATCATTAAAAATTGAGATATTTTATGAGATAAATCGAATGCTTCAAATGTAAATAAACAGTATTTTTTTTAGTTTGGTGAAGAGAGAATTATTTACTGTACACGTTCCAAATAAATATCAAAGCATATTAAGAAAACTGTCTTAAATACAAAGGTATTGAAAGAAAAAACACCAAATAATGTTGGTGGAGTATTCTGAGCCACAAAAAATGAATTAATTCTAAGGGAACTCATTGATGTTTCATGAGGAGCTAGGAGCATCGGACCCCACTGTTTATTTAAGAATCAACAAAAAGTTCTCTGGCCTGGCCTAACAAAAGCACCTCATTTGCAATTTTCCTATCAATCAGAATTCACTTCTATCCATAATTTGGAAACCAGTTTCAGTTTAGCACATTAGTTGCTCTTTAATTAGCAATTTTTTGTATAGTTTGAAAATACAATAAAAATAGAATGTGTAATCTTTAAGCCTCAAAGGCACTTGAATGGAAGAAAACAGCCAGAATTAATATAGAAGGTGTCCTCATAGTAAAAAATGGATATGACATTAAAAGAGAGAGAGATACAACATCTCATTCATTCAGTGTTTGTAGGATGAGTAGTCAATGACTTGAATTGTGTTTAGATTGATTGAATATTATCAAAGGCAGGCAGCTGATATGTGGCAGTGCATCCCCTATAGAATTACATCATATCAAGGAAGGTCTATCCCTTTTTGTGTGTGTCTAGTGATACATTAGTGAAATAAGGAAGCTGGAACATACCTGTCAGATTAGCTTTTATGGCGAGAAATATAAACTTTTTAATTAGAATCCATTTATTCATGTCACCCACCACTTATTTTTAGCCTATTTAAGTTTTTGTGGGGGTGTTTCTCAAATAGATAAATATTGATCTGTCTAAAAGCCTTTGTGGAAAAAAAGAAGGGGTAGAAAAATAAAGATGTTATTTCTGGAAAATCTGGAAAACTAGGTAGCTTTAGATAGAGCAGTTAATTGCTATTTGTTATCTGCCATTTGAACATCATCATCTTCTCTATTGTTAGCTGCTGTAAATCAGCTGAGCATTGAATGAAAGTCACCAAAAACGGAAATACAGGAATCAGATTGGGTGTTCAGATTTAATCTTAACTTAGTTTTCTCAGTTCAATTGACTGGTTAACCCACTCTGTATTGCTTGGTTAAATTTCATGGAACGTAAAGAGAAAGTTGATACTTGTACATTTCCATGTTTTGTTTGTAAACAAAGACTGTGACTGACAGCAGGGAGATCAGACATCAACACATGCTGGTTTGTCCAATATCAGTGAAATCCAATACACATACTATCCCATAATATAGAGATTATCAGCTCTGCAGTGTTACTAGCTGTCAATAAGTACTACTAATGCTGTAATAGAATCAGAAATTCACATCAACTGTCCTCCGTGATGATTAGTGATGAAATTAGTGTATAAGGTGTTGTGCAATATATTTACTGTCCTGGCTTGTTATTAATAAAAGAAAGCTCTGAATGTTCTCAAGAAAGATGTTTGTGTGGGATGGTGTCCGGGGGATTAGAGTGGATTGATTACTCTGTTTGGCTAATAATAAATCTAGTGTCAGTATCCTGTAATTACCAATATTTTGAATAATCAATTAGACATGCAGAGAAATAAATTTCAGTTTCTTAATAGGATGGAAAGGAGGAAATGAAAAGTTCTGATGTGAAAAGATTTTTTTTATATTTATGTATTTGGACTGATACTTGATGTGTTGTACCAGTCTGAAGTAAATTATATTAGTCCAAGTAAGTTCTAATATAATTTTAGGTTTTCAAGTAATTTACAATTGTTGTTACATATACTGTTAAGTGTTTTTTTTTTTGTGTGTTTTTTTGTTTTTTTTTTAAATAAGTGCAAAATATTCAATTGCAGTCAAGAATTTAGAAAAAAAAAAAATGATTCAGAATGAAGGTGAACTTTGGAAAGGGCCATGTTTGTCTTACCTCCACACAAATGGAGCATTTCATGTCATTTTCTTCATTATATTTAAGCATTCCTTCCTTTTCTTCCATCCCATTTTAAATTCACAAACACAAGTTTCTTTGTACTTCTTAAATTTTTTCTCATCAACACTATTATTTTCTGACAGGGATTTTTATTTAATACCAGACTTCGAACCTGGTATAAACTTTATCAGCCAAGACATTGCAGTACATCAGAATACAACAAGGGCTTACCAACTAAAGAGTTTTGTACTAGCTAATGAGACAAAAACTTTCTGGGTACAATGAAAAACTTTGAATTGTTAAGGTAGTAAATAATAAGTCACGTCAACAGGTAGTTTAGCGAATTGTATGAGATATTTCAATTTCCTATAAGTTTTGCTAGCAGGACTGATGGTAAAAATTCAAATATATATTTATATATTATATACAGTAAAACCTTTTTATCTTGAACACAATTGGACAGAGAAAAAAAACTTCAAGATATGTGAGGAATTGAGATATTGAAGTTAAAATATATGAAGAAAAAGTGACTGGGACATTCAGATCACTTTGACATATCTCTGGTATCATTATGAATGTTTGAGAGATACTGAAAATCAACTCTGTATGTATAAGATTTTTTTATTTCTTTTTGCACAGGTCTCCCCCAAAACAGCAGGATTGAATCCCAATGCATCTGTGTTTTTGAGCACTAAACAATGTAGCCCGACAGACACAGCTCAGTGGGATGGTGGAATTACAGCTAATGGTATGTCGTAGTCAGTTGGTTCCAACCAGATGACAATACATTACTGATATTCATTTCAGAAAAAAGTCCATGATATATTTAGGTCTACTTGTAAAAGACCAGATGAGCTTGTGCAATAGTGAGGTGTCTCTCATCAATCAGTCAGTCAGTTCGTCTTTTTGTTGGTGAAGAATTCTTTAGTGTCATTCAACTAGATGCCCGGCTGTCTCTGTAAACTCTGACAAGTGGTGAGTCTGGTTAAGACTTGTGATGGCATTTGTAACACCAAAACGAGGCTTACTGAAATTCTGGTAAAGCTTTTGATTGGCTGAAAAGAACACACCTTCCACAATTGAAACAAATACATGATAAATTGGCAGAATGTTAAAGATTTATAAGTTGAATATTCACAAGTTATAGCAGCTGGAAAGGAAGGAATTGTGACATTGCCCACTGGTCACGAGGAGTAATTGTGGTGTACAATGTCTTGCCAAAATTATTGTTGGAAGCAAAAGTGAAAGTAGTGTACCCTAGTGGCGTAGAACACATTTCTTCTTCACATTTTATTCTAATTTCTCCTTTGTTATCCCTAATGAAGGATCAGTTTATTTATATAAAATCAAAATCCAACAGAAACAACATATATATAACATTTGTTTTCAAAGGGGTCTTCAAAATAAAAACAAGGTAACGCCCTCTGTTGGTTACAAACACTATCATGACTCTTTACCAGACTCTGCTCGTGGGAGTTTACAGAGACAACAGAGTGTCTGGTTGAACGAGTCTAAGAATTCTTCAGAATACTATTCCTCCTACTGTTGATTCCAATAAGTAGACTATAATCTTTAGATACACAGTTCTGTGAAGTGGTTTTTTTTTAATTTTGGTGAAAGACATTACCATGCTTACTAGAAATAGAAGTTTCTGTGAAATCCTTTCAAATTGCTAACTCTTCAATAGATTTTTTCCAAAACTGGAGCAGGTTTATTAAACTATAATTCTACATTTTTAGATTTTGAAAGAAAGTGCTGCAGTGTTTAATTAAAATAAAATTATGTTGAGAAATTATTTTTAATTGACATATCTCCTCCAGTTTTGATCTGATTTAATACAATCTGGTACACAAGCATTTTGAACTAAGACACACAATCCTAATTATCAATGTTGCCATAACGTTAAAAAAAAAAGTGAAAATCTTTGAAAATTCTATTCCAACAGTTTTGAATTGATTGCAACCAAAAAAGTTTAGAAAACAACAGGATACATAATACTGAAATAAAGTCCAGATGGTATTTTAGTACAAACCAGTAGTAGAGCTGCAATCTCATCATAGACTTCTGGTTTTAAATATTTATAAAAAGTACACTCCAAACATGTATATCTCATAAGATAGACATATCTTATAGTTTCAGTTTTAACTTTTTAACTAGAATTTGGTTTTAGAATATTTGACATTTTCCAATATATATAATTCATACCTCAACTTTTCTATAGGTGTAAGTCAGTGTAGGAAAGAGAACAAAATAAGTGCAGTATGAAATGCCTTTTTAGCCGGGCTTTGCTGAAAGCAAAGTCCTGGCTGTAGGCATCGTGATCGACTGCCTTACTATAAATAGCACATGTTCAGAAAAGTAAACAAAAAGCCTAACAGCGTCAAAGCAGACGCTTCCGATAAACAAAATAGTCACATTGAAAGACGATACTTAAACAAATATTTTTTACATCTCAATCTACGGAATTGTTTATTGATCAATATTTTTGTTTGAGAATTAAATTGAAAGAGGAATTAGATATTTAGTTTATTATTACCGTGATATAACAATTTGTGCACATACGCTACTGAATGCATATTGTAAGCGAACTATTTTCAATAAGCGCGGGCTTTTCGACAGGTTGCCTATATTTCATATCGTTTTCGTCGATGTTATGTAAGTGGTTATATTCTCTGTTTTGTCTTTCAGCAAATAAATACATGTAGATAAGTAAATTGGAGTTTAAAGAATTAAAGTGCGTTATGCCTGAATTAGGTCGCATGACAATTGTACATGGTGTATCTGGTGTATCTAGTCGGCGATAAAAGTAGTGTTTGTTTGAAACTTTAAGAATATCTCTAAAAATATGTGCATTTCTTTAACTATGAATTACATAAATTATTAAACCAATATGAATTTAATTTTTTTTAACATTAAATTTTAATTCAAATCTATCTAAAGAAAAATCAGCAAACCATATGGTTCAACATTCTTTTAAAAAAAAGTTTGGCAATTGACAGGCAAACATTTTTTGTAAAAAAATTAATTGTTTTCTTAAAAGTTAAAATTAGTTACCTTAAATGTTTAAATTAGTGACATTAAATAAAACAAATGACTTATATATTCCCCTCACTAGCCATATGTTATTGGTAGAATTTAAAAAAATGTATGACATTTTATGTTCGTTTACTGATATTATAGTATAATTAGTCTGACCTATATTTATTTACGTCCGTGATGCATGTATAAACAGTAAGCCCACTGACAATGTCGTGATATCTGTAATTGTTTTTTTTTTTAAGATCAGTATAGCGTTAAGGTGTCTTGAATGGCAAGAAATTTAATGTAATAATGAATTTTAAAAACATCGGTGGTCATTTATCAGATGTAATTTGGTACGATACCATGTTAATTCCTGCTGATATTTTCAGGGTTGATCTTGTGAAAACGGCTTAACAGGAGACAATTTATTAAAATTTTCCTTTCAAAATAATTGCAAAAAATGATGATTTTAATATTATATTAACGGCATAAAATAACAGCGAACACCGACTACTTGCAGCAAACAAGTGCGCCGCCATTACGAATTCGTAAAACAAAGAGACAGTTACGGATACTCGTAATTTTCTGAAAAAAAAAATGTGTAGGAGGTCAGTCGGGTATAACCGGAAACAAACAAATTTTTTTTTAGCCTAATGATGTATGTATGTAAATATTCATGAAGATTAATCTTTCAGTTGTAATACTGGTAATGCTGAAATGTTTTCAATATATATATTACTACTCAAATAAAAAAGTTAAGATTTGAATGCGTTTAAAGAAAAGGGTTTGAAAATACGGTATTACTTCGATAACCCTGAATGCAATTAAAATAACTTTCTCCTTTCTAATAAATAATTTCGAACAAAAATCCTTATGATGGTAAAGATCTTGTGTTTGTTTGTTTGTATGTTGTTTAACGTCCCTCTCGAGAATTTTTTCACTCATATGGAGACACTACCACTTGACGGTGGAGAGCTCCAAATTTTGTCCTATACTCGGCACTTACGGCCATTGAGCAGTGAGGGATCTTTTTCGTGCAAGCACCTATTGCGACACGGGCCCTCGGTTTATACGGTCTCAACGAAAGGACCGGTCTCCACGTCCCACAGTGGGATTCGAACCCGAGACGTAAGGATTAACTCCTTACTTCGCGACTCTAGAGCAGACGCTCTTACCACTGCGCCACGCGGGCGACTAAGATCTTGTGTAAAGGTGATGTAAATGAAGTTCAAAACTATTTCTTTTCTTTCATAATATGAAATAAACAATGCGATTCCATTTGGTTAATATTTTAATTTAATAGTATTGATTTAAATGACTGGGATAAAGATTTATATCCTGTTAAGCATGGAATATAAATAAATAAAAATGTAAACTTTAAGATAGAAATTTCATGTGAATATGTTTATGTATAATATATAAATTATTTATACCCATTTAACAATCAATTTAGCGTCGAAAATTTTTATGCTTACAAATTCAGATCAAATTTTTAGTGAAAAGTCAATGGTATATTTTGAATGTGAAAATTTTGTTCGAGACTTCTCACCTTAATTGGATTCATCTCGCATGTGCTCCCAAAGCGCTTTACAGTATATTGAGCGTGCGCGCGCATTCCAAAAAAAAAAAAAGGTCTTAAAACATATGCAAGCTCTCAAGGGTGCTGGGAAATAAAAATCGTTTATGTTAATATATAATTAAAAGAAAACAACATATAAAAAATAATGTTCATTAGTCTTTATCTAAGTACAACACATTATAATTTTTCATAAAAAGTTGGTTAGTCTTTGCTTCAAAACTTCCTGTTCAGAATGAAGAGCCATCTATGTACGAGCCATAAAGACCTGAATACATCATGATTTTCTCAGACAATGACCATTATGGCCGAACCTGGAACTAGAACTAGACTCATATTCATGTCATAAAGATTAGATAATTATAATTTTCGTGCAGCTGGTTTCCTAGAGGACCAAAAATAAAGAATATTTCTTTTCTGATTAATACAGGCATGTAGTATCATTATCAGAAAAAGGAGAATTGTCCAAACCCAAAAAATCCTATTCCGTTGGAGAAGGAGTAGGAGTGGGCTACAACTTACTTTCACATTTCGAATTTCATTAATTCATTACCAAATTACCGTACTTTTAATATGCTACAAAAAAATGATGGGTACAATCTAATTAAAATTAGACTATCCATTTTGCTTTTAGTAAATCTGTTCGTCGCTCGTGATAAATACCTGGTTTATATTACGAAGAGTGAGTTGAAAGTTCCAATTTAAATTTGATTGCGAAGAGTCAATCAACCTTTCAATGTACATTGTCCATTGTAAAAGTTTATGTTTGAAAAATGGTGACACCCCTAGCTCCTCCGATACTATATACAGTGTATGTGCCTGTATGAATCAGCAAAACCATTCAAAGTGCACTGTTACCATGCATAATCATTGTGAGCTTAATGTTTAGAAAGGTATAAATGTATTTTCATTAAAAATATCACCAAGTCCTATCCTGGGGTCTTAACGTTGGGTTCTGGACCGTAAATTTTAATTATTGGTAGATGGGTTATTGTTAATTATAATCATTCAAACTCGACCTGTTAAATATCAATGGTCAGAAAGAAAGATTTTAAAATATGTACTAATTCAGGATTAGACAATGCACTCGAACATATTAAAGCCCGGCTTTCAGTACTTTCAGTACTTTGATTAAAATAGATGTACATTAAATCTTGGTTAAAGCGAAGTTCTTTGTACCTGGGAATTAGCTTCGCTATATCCGTAATTTGTTATTACAAAAGTTATGTCAGTTCAATATTTTTAAAATTTAGATCTATGAAAATTTGCTACAAAGGATGTAAATTTGGTTATTTTTAACTTCTAGGAGACTCAGAACCAGTTGGCTATAACTGTAAATTTGCTATATCCAATTCGTTATATCCATAAAATTTAACAAGAAATTGTTAAGAATTTCACCCGGGATTGCCAAAAACTGTGCTATGTCTGTAAATTTGCTATATCTGTGTTCGTACTAAACAAGTTTTACTGTATATATACAATCTGATTAAAATCAGATCCTTTGATCCGCTCACATAGATAGCTACACAAGCATCTGAAGAAGCCTCATTCAGGGTCATCTCCTGGTGACCTTTCAATTATCCAATCAAACGTTTGCTTCAACGAATTTAGAAGTATCTCGGAATTCAGTTACAGAAATGAAAGCCCCGATGATACATTTCTCTTATTGTATCTTTTGTCTATTCATGGGAGTTTGAAATCTTTTTTTCTGAAAGGTCTGGAAAATGTTAAAATCTTTATGAAGAGTATTTTCTGTCCAGACTTTGATCATGGTATTAAGGAAGGATAATATCAAAAAACTGAAGTTTTATTCTTTATATATCCTGTGATTGAAAGAATTTACTGAGGTTTCTTGATGCTGTTTTCAAAGCATGAACGAAAACAAGAGTTTTTAGATATTCAAGAGATGAAAACAAGATGTTTAATATACATGTTTTAATTAAAGTAAGTAAAAGATGTCATTGAGGTCACATACACCTGAAGCACATGGTATCCAATTCCGAATTTCCCCAGAATCGCAGTCATTTTCACTTTCTCAGAAAATGCAAGCGTCGCCATGAACAAGTAAAATTTTGCTTGCCCATGAACATTGACCCCCACAAATTAATTTTATTCCACAGTATATTTTAATAATTGAATATTGATGCCAATAGTTGTATTATTCAAGAAAACAATTAAAATATTGTCATTTTTTAAAAATGCAATATTGATATGAAACAAACTTCAAACAATTTTTATTTAAAGCATAGTAAAGTAAATGCTGTACTTTGATATGATGGAAATCTGGTGTGTTAGCTGAATTTGACCCATGAAGAAAAAAGACATTTTATTGTCCTATGTACAGTATATTTTACACCACTCAGTATTGATTTGGAGCACACTTTAAACACATTTTTTTTAAAGCACAGTTAAGTACTTTGTTATGGAAATCTGATGTGTGGGCTGAATTTGACCCATGAAGAAAAAGACATTTTATTGTCCTATATATAGTATGTATTGTACACTACCCAGTTTTGGATCAGAATTGCAGGAAAAAATGGGACATTATACACAACAATATTGTACTGTAAACCTGGAAATATTTGCATTTGGGGAAATTTTTGCGATGAGTAAAATCTATTGCCATGAGAACAGTTTTGAATAAGGTACCATGCTAAACAATAACTAGACATATTTAGTGAAATCTTTAATTTCTGCAAATATAACCCCCAAATGAACACTTTGTTACATGAAATCTCAAAAAGTTTTCTGTGCAAAAATATCCATGTTTACAGAATTCCTAATCCTTCTTTTTGACAAAAAGTTCAGCATGGTACTTATGTGATCTGGTGATTTTGTGTGATTGAACAAATGCAAATACCTGTAGTATTTACTGGAGTCTACTTTCTATATACAAAGAGGGTTTCAAGGATTTTTTTCATTTCATCATAGGTTACCAGTATGCCAATGGAGATGTAAGCTCACCAGAACTAGGAGGGGTCTATCATCAGCCGGACTCACCCCTCCAAAGCAATGTCCTGGGGGAGGATGCTAACTCCTCAGTGGGGTTTCCTAACTCTGACAACAGTGTGCTATCAAGTGAGTGTGGTAGGATGATAAATCACTGACATTAGATAATATCTAGATCCATATCTTGGAGAGAGATCTTTAAGTTTATAACTAGACTTCGTTTACTGCTCTGATGAATTGCACTAGGTGTCTTCAGATGATCTGTCTTCCAGACAGTTATGGTAATCTTCAAAAGTGCAAGATGCAAATGTTTTATTATTGACTGTTGTGTCAGTCTTCTGGAAAAATAAGTTACTTGGGTCTTTGTGTAGAAATGTATAATAAAAGTACATTGTATTTTAAGATGCAAAAAGTTGTAAGGCAGTGATTCAGAAAACGGTAGTTATGGATAATAGTGACAGATATACCCTGTTTAAAACAGCATAAAAATAACAGTCCTAGAGAAGTCCAAATTTGGCAGAGTTGCTGAATTTGGCAATGGTTGCTGAATAGGCAGGTGTGGAGCTGCCAAATTGAGTAATCAATGAATATTTTAGCAATCCGCACTGAATAAAATGCATAGATGTCGGCATTGTAGGACTAATGATTAATTCTTATTAATACATGTATTTTAATTTTGTCAGGTATAACTTTCATTTTAATTGCAGGAAATTGATCTTTTAGTTAAAAAGAACTCCATCCACTTCTATGTTAAAAATCTAGATAAATTACAAGTAATGCAGGGACTTAACTGTCAAATTATAAAACCAAACAAAGTAAAGAGAGATTTTTAGTATGAAATAAAAACAATTGTAAAAAATTTTGTGATTAATTAGAATTTTTATTAAAGTTGCAGAAGATGAAGGGGTTATCACTGATGGAAGCATGGATGAAGACAGCATTAGACAACTGCTTAAAACACAGCTGGAAAACTGTTTCTCCAGGTAGGCCATGTATCACTGTGTGACATTTCTACCTTCTGATGTGTATTGCTTCCTGATGAAGGTTGTTTATAGCAGAGTCTACAATGTAAACATTACTGTACATGTTGTACATTCAATATGAAAATAGTTAAAGCCCTACAGCAAATTGATAAGCTAATCGTCTTTTTTACCGTGATCAGTGGCATTGTTTTTTGTCATTTATTTGACAGTTTACAATAACTATTAGTTTCATTGATTACAAAATACACATTATCCTAAAACCAATTCTCATGAATAAAAAGGTATATATATGTCAACCCAGCAGTATCTTGATCCCAAATTAAAAATGATAGTTGTAAGACTACACTACATTTGGATGACTATTTTGTGTATTTATAAATATATAATCTAGGTGTTATCTGTTTCCATGTAAAAATATCCACATTTTTTATTCACAAGGCCCTTTAGATGATTTGATATGTCCATCCTTTTTATTTATGTGTACTTATTTAGCTGTTTATTTATTTAACAAGATACATATATATTTAGTGCCTAGTTTGCAGTCTGTAGTAATCAAGTTCATGAACATCATCAGATCAGGCCACAGTATGATATAACATGTACTGTGGAAAGAAAAACAAAATTTTACGGGTTTGTGGGGATGTAATATAGTTGTTAACTTGCGTAGACAGAAGTCTCAATGAATTGATACTTTGAGAAAGTTATTGTTTGTGGGCCACAAACTGTTATGCTTCTATAGTATGTGATGTTAAAAGTATAGACAGGATTAGCTCATAGCTTATGCTAATAAGTCTATAACTTACACTAAATTTTCAATGGCTTACAATAAGTACTTGCACTGTAATTTTGCCCCCTATTACCGGTAGTATGGGAATGCTTATGTGTGTACTTTAAATTTTAGGGATAGCTTGTCCAGTGATACATATCTGCAGTCCCAGATGGATTCAGATCAGTATGTTCCCATCTCAACCATTGCTAGTCTGGATCAGATACAGGAATTAACCACTGACTTACAACTCATTGTACAACTGCTCCGGGGTAAGTCTCAACATTACTAGTCTATATCATTGTACAACTGCTCCGGGGTAAGTCTCAACATTACTAGTCTATATCATTGTACAACTGCTCCGGGGTAAGTCTCAACATTACTAGTCTATATCATTGTACAACTGCTCCGGGGTAAGTCTCAACATTACTAGTCTATATCATTGTACAACTGCTCCAGGGTAAGTCTCAACATTACTAGTCTATATCATTGTACAACTGCTCCGGGGTAAGTCTCAACATTACTAGTCTATATCATTGTACAACTGCTCCGGGGTAAGTCTCAACATTACTAGTCTATATCATTGTACAACTGCTCCGGGGTAAGTCTCAACATTACTAGTCTATATCATTGTACAACTGCTCCGGGGTAAGTCTCAACATTACTAGTCTATATCATTGTACAACTTCTCCGGGGTAAGTCTCAACATTACTAGTCTATATCATTGTACAACTGCTCCAGGGTAAGTCTCAACATTACTAGTCTATATCATTGTACAACTGCTCTGGGGGGAAGTCTCAACATTACTAGTCTATGTCATTGTACATTTTCTTCGGGGCAAGTCAGCAGTGAGCAGGGCCATTTGAAAGTTTCTCAGGTTTAATTCAGCTGTTGCTGCACGTTCACAAGTCAGTATTGCTGAGATGGAAAGTTAATGGAATGTATAAGGGCGTAACCACCTTCCCCTCTATCCAAAAAAAAAAATAAATAAATAAATAAAGGTCTCTTGAAATGCTGCAACAGATATTATATAGTAAAATAATTATATCATCAGCTGAAAATCATTAGTGAGTAAAACTAGGGCCTTTTCTTAGAAATGTGAATCTTCAAGAAGCTAAATAGGGAATGGAATCTTGTGGGGCTGTTTGACCACGAATGGTACCATTATGAAGTACTTCTCAAATGGCAAGTTCCAAGGTTGCCTGTTGAGTTTTTTGAGAGTGTTGGAGGCATTAGAAATCATGCCAGTAATGCTAGGAAATGTCATTTCTATTACCCCCACAAAACATTTAACCTAAACACTCGCTGAGGTAATGATAAATGAAGCTATATAGGGTCCCAAGTAGGCATCCAAGGACATCAAGTCTTGGAAAGTAGTGATATTATTGTGCTTGGAGGTTTAATGATTAATTGGTATTCTGTTAGTTTGTGAGGCAAATGAAATCCCTAAACAGGAAACAAAAGGGCAAAACGCATAGTTTGCATCCAGAGATCAAATGTAATAGAAATGTTGGGTTGAAATCTGAGTGGACTAGATGTGTAGTTAAATTGATTGATGTATTGTTTTTATGAATCGACAGTGTGATCTTGGACATTGAGATGGGACAGTTGTTTACCATTTTGTGTGGGAGAGGAGAGAGACCATGTCATTGGCTCATGTTAGCAGCTATTTATATATTTACAACATTAATAGAGTCCCTAAGGTCACTGTTAAGTAATATACAGGATATTTCTGGAGAGATATTACAATTACATGAACCAATACAGGGATCAATACAAAGACACAATTATGATTGAAAATTCTGACATCCACATCAACTTTCATTCACCTCTGTAAATGTCAGAAATTCTCCATTGATTCAGGAGAAACTGGGCCTAAACATTCCCTTGTAGGTAATTTAATAAGGAAAATACTTGTGTTTCTTAAGAAGTTTGTCCTGACATACTCTTTGTCTGGGGTATCTGCCTAATCTTGTGGAGTTTATGTTTACCAACTTTACCAGTAATAGGGCCATAACATGAGATAAACTTGTACCTATCTAACTTTCTCACCATCACTATTACATCAGCACGTGTCCATGGCCCTATATCTCTTGGTGTATTATCTCAATTCTGGTGACCTTATTTTGACAAGGTGGGAGAAATGACTGCAATGCTGGGTTCAGCTGTTATGGAGTTTTTATGGGACACAGTAGAAGACATTTTGAGGTGACCATAGTTGACGTGAAGGCTTCTGATGACTGGAGAGACGTGTCCCCATTAGAATGTATTGAAGATCCTTGACTTTTATTGTTTATGGTCTGAATAGTCAATAATGACTAATAACAAGGAGTTATTGATTCTTTTAGCTGTGTCTGGAGCCACAGTGGTCAGCCATGAATTATAAGAATAAAAAAAAAATGATAATGATAAAGGGAGATCACATTTATCAATAATGCATTAGGTGCACTACAATGACCAGCATATTAATATTTGGAAACTTGTAAGAGATGTTCACTAGTATCTTTCAAATAATTTTCCTATCAGATTGATAAGAAATCAAGGTAATATCAGAACCTGCAAATGCCAATTGAGGATAATTAGAATACTACAGTAAAAGATTGTAACGGTGAACAGACCTATAATGAATTCACTTTTATAGTAAAGTGATTTTGATTCCTTGTAGTTTTAAAACATATCATGAGCTTATCAGATATAACAAATTATGTTCACTATTTATTGCTTGCACTTTGCTTTGAGCATGTTTTACTGTATTATATTCTTAGAATAATGTAAAAGGTTGTGATTATTTGTTTTTTAGAATGTGCAAGTGTTCAGGTTGATGAGAAAGGAGAAAAAGTGCGTCCAAACCTTAACCGATGTATCGTCATTCTTCGGGAAATCCCAGAAAGTACACCAGTTGAGGTAAAATTGAAAGTAATGTTAGATTTATAAACAAATGTGGTGATAGAGATTTGGAGTATTGACAATAAAAAAAAAAAGTTCAATCATTTAAAAGGATGTGTCAGTTTTGATGTTATAGGTTAGGAATTTCATACATATTCTAACTTGGGTTTTTAGTTGGTGAGTGATTTTTATTAGTATGATATATGTGTATAAAAAATTTTGATTTTTTTTTCCTTAGGAAGTTCAAGGATTATTTGCTGGCGAAAATTGTCCCAAATTTGTGAGTTGTGAGTTTGCCCACAACAATAACTGGTACGTGACGTTCGACTCGGACACAGATGCTCAGCGAGCCTATCAGTATCTGAGAGAAGAGGTCCGAAATTTTCAGGGAAAACCCATCATGGTGAGAATTGATTTCATTTGAAAAGAAATGTTTGCAAGGAGTTTTTTTCTCTCCGTGCTAATAGGAGTAAACGGGCACTCGTTAATTTTCCTCTTTGGCTGTTTTGAGCATCTTTGATAAATTGAGCTGAGTAAGACTTGGCATGTCTTCATTGTATACACTGCTTGTGCCTGGGGTTTTCCTTTTCAAACTCTTGTTTTGAACATATTTTATCCTATAATTAATACAAAGGGATTGGTTACAAGTTCTAACAACTTTGGAAAAACTTTCCCTTAATATATACAATAATTATAATGATTGTCGAACGAATTAATTACAGTTGTAGTGACAATTGTAAAGTTATACATGATATATATACAAAATAATTCAAAGACACTTATTAAGAGTCTATAAAGATGCATGTACTAAATGATTATACGATGACAACAGTGCTTCCCCCCCCCCCCCCCCCCCCCCCCAATAAAATAAAATAATTTCAAACTCTAGATAAGTATACAAATATATACCATTATGATACACTAACCCCCCCTCCCCAAATTTATATCGTGGAATAATTAAAGATTTTTCAGATTAACTTCAATAAATTACAGTTAAGTCTGAAAATAACCAAGTATGAAAATGGTTATATCACAGATTTGTATAATATATTTATGTAGATAAAACCGTTTACTAAGGGCACATTTTCGGTGGGGACATTACTTTGTTCATTTCATCAGCCACATTACTCATTTAATGTTCCTGATTTAATTGCTAAACAGTAAACTTTCCTAATATAACACAGAGCAGTCGTGAAATATAGTTTCAGGCATTTGTTTTTTGTTTTTTGTTTTTTTGGACAGGTGTGATAAAAACTTAAGCCATTAACCAACCTTGTGGATTTTTTGTGACCTTGTCTTTGAGTTACTTACTTGCAAAACTTCCTGTACATATATTATATATGAATACCCAGAGGCCATAATATAGTGACTAATATAACAGGTGTTGTGTGTATAGACTAGTTGTAGTCAAATAATAGAGTTCCTCTTTTTGTGCCTTTCATACTCTTTTTTTTTTCCTAGTGATTGCATTAATTTAGATGGTGATTAACTTGAGAATAATTAATAAATAGTTATACTTATTTTATGTTTGTTCAGTAGAGCAATTTTTTTCTAACACAAAGTAAATTCTTTTCTGACAAGTATTGATAGACAGTAGTGGAAAGGTCATGTTAGAAAGCTTCATGTATACAAAAATTTCCAATGTCATTGGTATTGTACTTTGTGACAGACACAAGTATACGTGACACTTTTCTGGGCCGTGTGATCTTAATTGTTTTTATATGGCCAAGACAAAAGGTCGTCCAACTTGTTGGCTTGTATTTAATGGGAGAAAGAATCTATTTATACACTTCAAAGGTATTTATGACCAGAAGATAAATAGAGATTGAATGGCCACTATCCGTTTCCTGAAATCGATTAGAATGTTTCTTTACAGGCCAGTAAAAAGTGATTCTTTTTCTAATTCAGTAAATTCCACTGGTGTTGAATTGCATGTTGTCACTTATTTTAAAAGGAAGAGACTAACTAAGAAAAAGAACCTCTTCCTTGTAAAAATTGTATACATGTGTGTTTGTCATTAAGAAAGGGGAGGAGTTTTTGGAAAAAGCAATGGATTGCTGATTAAGATGAATGATAACAAACCTTGTTATTAATTATCCAACATGGATAGGTTTTTTTTGGGGGGGGGGGGGGGGGGGAAGTAACAAATCATGTTTTTACCCAGTTAAACATGTATTCTTACATTACATCACATATATGATGGTACTAATTGGCAAGTAAAAATAGCATTATTAGGAGGTGCAAAGTCAAATTATTAGCAAAATCAGAGAACTAGAGCGTCCTGTCCACAACCATTTGAGGCTCACAATAGTCAATGTTGGTGTTTTTTTTCCCACTCTTGATTCGTACTTTCTTTCATTATCTGGAAAAATAGGGCCATTCACAAGTATGCCATTTCTATATTGCAGAATTTCTTGCACTCATCAAAAATATGTTTAATTCTGAGTCTCATCTAAATAACATTGAAACATATTGATGTGATGGAAGCCTAAGAAAAACAAGCATGTTTTGTATATGTATGTATGATATGTTCTGCAATCACTGATATATTTTTACAGGCAAGAATAAAAGCTAAGCCATTGATTAGAATGACATACTCCAGTAATGGGTACAAGAGTCGATATCATCAGCAGTTACAGCAACAACAGCAGGCCCAGGTAAGAAACTGTTCACTTGTATATATTATATGTCTCACCTGTAAACTTTTATAGGTATCTTAGATGTTAAGTGTTGTAATTTAAATCTGTTTGTAATATTCACCTATCAGTATTTATTAAGTTTAACATCTGCATGTGGAACATTGATAAATTAAATACTTAAGAATTTGGCAAAATGAATTGTGGATCTTAAACTCATCATGAATTTGAACTCTGACTTCGATATCGTGAACACCAAAGGCTTTTGACACTCTCACAAAATTCAGAAAATCAATCAGAAAATTTTAGTAATATCTCCCATTTCACTATTCAAAAAAAAAGTTGAGAATTAATGCAAGTTCTATGGTGAAATTGTCATAATTTGCAACAATTCTAGATTGTCAAATTTCCTCTCTAGGTAAATGCCCAAGCCATGCAGCAGGTTGTACAGCCAACAAGTCCATCAGAGTCCCAGGCTACCGTGGCAACCATGACAAGCCAGCCCTTCTCTACCCAGCAGGCCTCTGTCCCCCTCATGTCCAGCGTGCCCCAGTATATCAATGGACATCCGGTAAGGCACTCTTCAGTATAAATTTTTAGGTCTCATTTATATGATGAGATAAAGTGCTATGATGTAAAGGAGGACCAGGGTTCATGTTTTTGCAGTAACCAAATCAGAATTTTTAATTGATTTTTTTTTTCAAATGGAAAATTAAAAGGTCCTTTCTGAAAGTATTGTTTTCTTATGAGGGGTAGGCATAAACTCTGGATAGCAATATTAATGAAATTATATATATTTCTGTAAAAGATTCACATTCAATGAATTAATTCTTGCAAATTAATAAACATAAATTTCTGCAAATTAAATTACCTTTATGTACAATGAAATTATGAAAATTGATTTACATATAGTGTAACATTTATATTTGTATAGAAAGATGACGATGAATAAAAGGAACAATTTCTACTGTTGAATTTAAGCAAAAGTTTCATGGTAGCTAATTATTGTATTTTATTTTTCAGCTTCCATTCTTTGCACCAAATCCACTCCTCTCTCAATGGCCGACTAGTCCTACACTACTGGACCCCAGCATGGTAACTATTCACCCACTTAGTGTTCAAAGTTTTGTCAAAATCTCTCCTTTAAGAAACACTACCTGCAAGTTGTGTAGGGTAAAGGCTTATTGCAGTTTTATATTGTGTATACTCTTCAAAATTGTACAGACTGTGAATTGGTAATTAGAGATTCTTCATCCTTGCATTGTATTGTTCATGGTCCCTGGTGTAATGTGACCTCTAAGCCATAAGTAATACTCCTGCTATATGATTTGATATTTTTCTCATTTTGTTGAGTAGAAAGAGAATATGGTGTATTCCTGTAAAATTTTATGTTTTTATCTCCCAGGGATGAATTTACTGCATGTATTGTAAATGGTGATGTAAACATAATATTGGTGGATTTTGCTTTTTGCTGCTTTTTTACTATCCATGCTTTTGCTATGTATGTTGAACTATGTGTTACTACATTCCCACAGAATGAATCTCTACTGCAGGTGCTGGCCATGAATGGTTATCAGCCCACCTCCATCAAGCTGAACACTACTGCCCCAAGGCATCAGTACAGCAACATGAATAGAAACAGGTAATGTGCTGCAGATGGTCCATAATAAAATCTGAAAAGAGGTATACAGTAAACGAGTCTAGCAGCAAGAAAATTAAAAAAAAAAAAAAAAAAAAAAAGATCAGCATCATGAAAGGTTAAAGTAAAAATGAACTGTGAATCTCAACTTAGTTTTGATTATTGGGAACGGACAGCAAAGTATACAAATAAATTTAAATAAAGAAAAGGAAATTGGAAAGGATTTATAAAGAACTGGCCAGTAACTATGGGGGAAGGAGTGATTTGAGAAGTCTGAAGCAGAAATTTTGAAAGATTACAGTTTTCAAATGGTTGCATGCCTTGTGTTTTTGGAAGAATTTTTAGAGAAGAAATTTTTTTAGCAGGAAACAAACAAAACATGTAATTACTAGGGATGTTAGCACAAACACACAGACAAAGGCAATTATAAAATAGGTACAGTAATAAATGGAAGTTGTTTTGCTGTAAATGAAACTATAAACTACAAACTAAGTTCAGTTCTAAGTGAATATGGAAATGAGTAATTTTCAGATCTCAAAGGATACTGCAAGTCAGTTTACAGTATAAGTAAGTCCTTGTAATGTAGGGAAATGTTTTTAGAAAAAAAAGTTAAACTGTGACATTAACATGGATTTTTTTTCACAAATAGAAATAATGGTCGACCAAATCGACCAAGTAACCAAGAGAGGATGGACAACCGACCGAATTATGAGAGAAATAACTCTATCAACCATAACCGAACTAGTCCAAGACACCACGACAACTCTCAGATGTCTCCGGCTCCATACTCGAGCCGAAACCGAGGAGAGAACAATAATCATTCACATGGCTCAAGCATGCAACAGCAAGGGCACAATAACTTAGACACCAATAATTCCAGTATCTCTTCTAGTCGACAATCAGACGGACTTCCACCTGTTCAAAGGTTTTTTAATGTTTTTGTCAGCAGAATCAAGTATTATTGTACTCATTTCAAGCAATATTCATGTTAAGTGACAAAACTCTTTAGATAGCTAATGGTAACATGGAACAATATGTGCAATGCTGATTACAAGATATTATCAGGAGTTAATATGAATTTTGGGTTGAATGTATTCAATATTTGCTGTCTGTACAAGTTGATATTGACTTTTATAAGTGATGTTTTACAGGGGCTACAGAAGTCGGCGTAGACGTGAAGAAGATGGAGGTCCAAGAGTGAGTATTAATCCCAGATTTTTTTTTTCTAGATAAACGTTTAACAAGTTTTTTTTTTCAACAGTGTGTCGTTTTCATTAACATTCTTACTTACTGTTTACACAGAGACAGCTGCCATCCAGAGAGAAACCAGCAGCGGAGACTCAGTTTGATCTTGAAATAAACTCATTCCCTCCATTACCAGGCCCAGTGCCAGCAGTACGTATAAAAACAGTAGCAGATTGTATAGATTGGCAGAGATTACACCGTTATGTTACTGTACTTAAGCTGATTTTATTGCATGGTTGTCCAGCTTTGCTCCAGATATGATCTTCAGAGCTTCATAAATCTTGATTGTGTATTTGTATCACATTCTTGATTAAGTGAAGACATTCTCTATCACCTTAAATGGTGATTTGTGTAAGATATGAAGACATTGAATGTTATCTCTTGATTGAACCTATCTTTTTATTTTTACAGAATTCCTCATCTTCTAATAATGAAGTGTTTGAAAGCAAATTATCAGATGTTGTGAAAGGTACTGCAAAACCTATAGTGCGAGAAAATGTAATAAAACCACAAGTATCGCAACCTGTTCAACAAAGTAGCCAATCACAGCACTCGGAGCCTGTCGGAGTCCCTGCCAACCCCAGGCCTCCGACTCCTCCCTCACAACCACCAAAAGACAATTCTAGCAATAATTCTAATAATAGTGCATTAAATGGGGCAAGTGCTGGTCCCGCCCCAACAGCTGTTGTTGCCTCTACTAGTTCCTCCGGAGGCAACGTTGCACCACCTCCAAGGATACCCTCACCTCCTGCTGTCTCCCCCCAAAAGTAAGTGGTTTCTATTATTGATTTTTTTTTTAAAGAATGTTTTATGAAATATTTGATACATGAGGTTAAGGTAATAGCTGATCAGGAAAAGAAAAAGCTTAAATGAAGATTCAAGCAAAATCATAAGATTTAAACAAAGGTGATGCAGAGAATTGGTTGTACATTTTATTGATGGAGAACGTGTATGTAGAAATCTGTTGAGAATGGAATGTAATAATTAATACACTTCTTTCAATCGATTTAAAGTAAGCAATCGTTCAAAGTATAAATTTTGAAGTTCAATTATGATCTGAGGTATGAGTGTTTCAAAGATTTTATTTATATATATATATATATATATATATATATATATATATATATATATATATATATATATATATATATATATATATATTCCCCCTAAAGTACAACAAGGCTACAATTTGTAAACTTAAAAATATTACAATTTTGTACTGTGTAAATTAGGGCTGTCACGAGTACCCGAAATAACCGAGAACCGCAGTCCAAGTTGCTCGGTTCGGTTTCGGTTCTATTTTTCCAGATTTCTGTTTGGGTCTGGTTTATATATTAGAGTTTGTTCAATACAAAAAATGGCGTCGAAATCGAAGGAATGATGACGATAACAGTGATAAATTAACATCACAACTGAAATCTACTTCATTCCATGACAAAACACTTGTCACGGAAGTATTAGATAATTACCAAAAGAGCAGGAATGGTCAGGTTGTGGCTAATAGTAGGCCAAGTAGTTCTACACACTGATGTCTAGAGTTCGCATGGTTAAGACTTGTTTTCAATGTAAATTTAATGTAACAAAGATTTTTCAAGTTAAATTAATGAAATTAAGGTTTAAAATAGATGTAAATAACCGAACCGAAAATTTACAGAACCGACCCGACCTGAAAAATTCTGGAACCGTGACAGCCCTAGTGTAAATCCCAAATTTGTTCATAGTATGGCCTGGATAGAGCCACAGTAGGGTTTAAAACTTAAAATAGGAATTGGAAATCATTGTCATTAATTTGTCATGAATAACAATGTTAAGCTGGTGAACATTGGTTTCTGAGTGAAATCTCAGAAAGTTTACTTGGAAAACTGTTGACAGAAGTCGGTAAAAGAGCATTTATTTTTTTTTCTTTCCATAGACCACAGAAACCTAGTAGTAGTATACAGGAACCTGTTGTAAATCATGTTGATGTGCATGCCTCAACTGTTTCAAAATCAGCCCCTGTCAACCAAGTTAAAGCAGTAAGTCAACTTTATGTTACTCTGTTGACAAACTCAAATTATTTTAGTAATAGAGAAGGGAAAAAATGATGTTCAGAGTTTGACTTTTATTAAGGAACGTTTGACAATTCAGATTATTTCAGAACAGTTCTTTTTCAACTATTGTTACTTAATTTTATGATTTGACATTTTAGCAGATTTCTGTTGATAACAACTCACCCGTACTTAGTTTTATGATTTGACATTTTAGCAGGTCTCTGTTGATAACAACTCACCCGTCAAACTTTCCTATGCTCAAATGGTGCAGCGTGGTCGTGATAGTGATTCGGCCCCAGAATCGAAAAATAATTCAGACTCTGAATCAGAGAGCGTACAGCAGAATACGCTGAAGGAACAGTCACAGGCCAAGACATCCACTGCCAAGAAAGACCAAACACGTAAAGACTCCGAGCTCCCTAAAGAACAGCGCCATTTCAGTGGACGCCGCTCCAAGGAAAACCGTGAGAGGAGGGATCGACGTCGAAGTGAGCGTGAGACTGCCCGATCATCTACAAAATGAGATAGGTTCAAAAAACTGAACCTTCGTTAAAGACGGAAAGAAATGATTTATTAGAAACTGCTTACTGGATATTGCCAAAGTTTCAAAAAGGAAAAGGTTCTAAACAAAAATTTGTGAAAGAAAAAGGCACAGATTATGTATAGAGATCACACTTGGATTGATCTGAGAACTAGTCTTGAGACATGCAGAGCAGAATAATTATCCATTTACACTTTCTGTTTCCACTATGTATTGCTCTCTCTTTCTTAAAACGCTTAAAATTTTAGAAATTAATTAAGGTATAATCTGATTTAACTGGAAAAACAAAACAGTTTTTATAATTTACTTTGGATATTTTGAAAATTAAAAGAAAAAATATTTTTTTCTTACTATGGAGATTTTATACCTCAGAAAAATTAAGTTGTGCTCATTTTCTTTTTTCATTTCGCAAAAAACCCCTAAGCACTCAAAACTGCCTAAAGGCTTAGCAGATTGGTAGATAGTGCAAATACCTGGTAGTGCATTACTGGGGAAATTTTTGTTTTAAGAAGCTATATTTGTAGCATGTTAGTGGAAAGTAGTCCCTTGGGACATGAAGGTACTGCAGTGCACATTGTTAGAGGACATTTTCACTAAGTGGTGATACTTGCTGTTGATCTTTATTACTCCAACTGTTAACCAGCATTCAATCATTCATTCTTTTGTCTTTTTGGTGTTGGATTATTTTGTTTCTGCAAGATGTTAATTTTTATTCTCAATATAACGATAAAAATCCCTGAGGTGAAAACCTCCATAAATATATATATATATATATCACAAGACTGGTGCCCCACATGTATTTTAATTCAGTTGATTAGCTGTGAACATGCCTAACTGTTTTGCCACATTGTTATTATAATGCCTGTGTTTATTATTGCTAGTGATCTCCCTAATCAGTTCTTGTCAGAATTTATGAAGTAGAAACCAGAAGATGAAGATTGGTCTACATTGGATAATTTCACAATAACATGGGATGTACATATCCTAATACTAAGGGCAGGGTATTGTAAAATATTGTTGCAAGTAATTATTACAGAATCATTAAATCTATATATTTTGAATTCTTGTAACTAGATAATTGTATATGTTGAAATGAGTTGTAATTTATGGCAGGATTTTGTCATAATGTAAATGATGCAATTTTTTCATTACCTAATAGAGGGTGTACATGTGTGGAAAGTTTCTTGTTGCTAACAGTTAATGGTTGTTGTATAAAGGACAGAACAGAGGGTATATTGAATTTTTAGAATAGAAATTTTCTCCCGGCTACCAATTAAATGGAGCTCATTTTATATTACAAATTAAATTCTGTGTATCATTTAAGAGGTTAATGCTCACACACTAATAATTTTAAATGTTAAAAAATACTTGTTTTTGAGTTTTTTGGATGGGAAAATGTCAAGAGTGATTCTTTGATGTAATTAGGTTAACCAGGTGCCCTCTGTGAACTGATGTATAAAGTGATGTGCAGTTTGCACATATCTTTTGCTTTTTTTTTGTCTGCTTGAAGCTTGCATTGTATAATAGAATGTCTTGTTGCATTTGTTCTTCATTTATTGGTGAGTGTAATCTTGTTGGATCAGTGAGTATGTGGTTGATTTCTTTTGTTTTAATTTCATCATGTTTATGTGTAACATTGTCTTAATGTGAGGATTTTATGCTGTATAGATGTTGCTGCAACAAAAGAATTTTTGAAGGCAAGAGCCAAAAAGGCAAGTATGACAATGCTGTTCTATTGTCATACAGAACTGTTTCTGGTGGACAATGTTCATATAAGTTAGATTCAGTTAGATGATGGAGAGAAAAGTTGGACAAGGATGTCTTTATAAATCCTTTTGTACACATGAAATCCATGAGTGTAGATTGTAACATGATGAAGCTAGAACTGATTTTTGGAGCATCTGTTATCATATTATTGAGTGTTTTGAATGTTTATGTATTATACATACATGTAGTCTGTGGATGATCGTTCACCAAGTCATTTGTTATATTTACCTACACTTATATTTTAATGGCTGCTCTGTTACATTCTAACCTCAGTGCTTTAAAAAATACCCCCCCCCCCCCCCTTTGACTTCTTAGTCATAGCAATGTATTACACATAATTAAGCTCATATCCAAACAGTTTTAAAAATTATCTGAAATTGTACTCCATTGACTTCATAACCATGGTTTTAGGAGAGATTTCATCCCTTTCTTATTGTTATGTCCTATTGGGTTAAGGGAAGATTCAGAGGAGGTAATTTTCCCTATGAAATGCATTGTTTCACAGGGAATAGAGGAGAATCTAAGATGGCATACTGTATTGACTGATTTCCTGTGGGATTGGATAGTTTTGCATTCTGTTTTAGGAGTGAATGTTCACCACTGCTGTGGTTTTCTGGCCTGTGTTTTTATTGCTGTTTGATCTCATAGGGGCTCCTTACTAGTATCCCACTAGGGTTTGACCCAGTACATGTAATGACATGCCATTGGATGAGGGTGTTTCTTTGGGATTGGATATTCAAGTATTAAGGTGTAGTGGTGCTGACAGTTTCATTATTTATAGTGCCATTTTTTGTTTGGTTTGACATCCTAAGATCAAGTATTTGGCATCTACAATTCTACATCCCCATGTTGTGTTCATAAAATTCCTCAAATGGATGTCAGTGATAAAAATATTCTGTCTTTCTCCTATAATACTGAGTTGTTTTTTTTTTTAGGGCATTGGTATTAATTTGATGTTGGTTGTTTAAAAACATATTTGCAAACACGACAAAGTGAGGCTATTATAACAGTTTGGAGGAAAGAAAACTGATTCTATAGAAAGGCCCATAACATGGAGTAGAGGGATAAACAAGGTTGTGAATACCGGTACTTGTATTAAATGCTTTAATTGTGGGTAAATGATGATATCAGTACTACATGGATAAACTATCGTCATATCCAGCATTATTTTAGATGTTACCCCTCAGTGTTTTCATCTCAATAGTTGTAAACTAAAAACAGTGCAATGACCAGCTTCATTAATGAAATTCCAACTCAATACTGTAATGGTGCCTATTCTCCACTGTGTTTGCTAATTTTAATTGTGCAGCCATATAAGTCCATGTAGTTCTATTTGGGAATTTGAAAACATGCAGTATTGAAATGTTTGTACATAATTGGATGAAAGACTTGAAGAGGGTGGAAGTTTAATTTCCCTGCTTTCTGATTTGATCAGTCATTGACATGGGTGGACAGTCATTTTCATAAAGATTTGTCATAATCCTATTCATTTCATTACCTAAATTATTTTCAAATCACTTGTTCAGAATTAATAGGTCTCTTTCAGGAGAAAACATTAGTGAGTACATACAGTGTACTTGCTATATATAAATCATCAGAATTTAAAAAAAAATAAGATTTAAACAGGATGTGTGCTTCCAAATGTCCCAATGTTGGATGTAAAAATCAAATGCTGCAAAAATGTGTGATTCAAACCACAGAACACCTTTACCAGAAATCTGTACAGTTTTGGGTGCATATATAGGTATGCAAATATGGATATATATATTATTATTGTTATTTATTATAAACCATTACTTGGATTTGAATGTCAATTTTTATCAGTTCATGATTTTTTTGCTCGATTTTCAACAGCTTATTTCATAATTGTAAGAAATGTGGACTTTCCTTCCAATCAAGTGATTTTGTTCCATGTACATATTTTTGCCGCCAGCCTATAGGTGTAAATCATGTTAGATTGTCATGTATTCAGAAATTTATCTTCTTCAATTTTTGTTTGATCATTTCTGTGCATGTATTCGGTGAGTCAAAAGCGTGTACAAGTTTTGTATGTATGATCTCATTGAAAAGACAAAATACAACAAAAATGTTTGTCAAGTATTTATTTTTGCATTTAGTGTACTGTTTTGACTGCAATTTTAATTCAAGTTTGTCTTTACCAACAGAATTTGTCAACCTTAGTAATTTCTAAGAAAAGCATTACATAGTATTATTTTGAAGTTGCAAAACCTTTTAAAAGACGACTGTAACAAAACCATTGAATTTATGCAGAGAGCATTTAGCTGATAATTTAAAGATTTTATTAAAGTCACAATTTATTGATTGTAATGTATTTGGGTAACAACAATTACTGTGAATTTCAACTTGAAAAAAAAGTACAATGGAATTAAACAGGCATCCTCATCAGATTTTGTTGTTTTCAATTGAATTGCTCCCTGCTTTTACTAAAAGGGGGATATTAATTGTTGTCTGTTTGTGACACTTCAGTTTCTGGATGATATCGCTAAAGTCGTGTAGATTTTGCTATAGAATATTTTATCTCTTGTTGACCTTGAGGGTCATCAAGGTCAGACATTGACCTTGAGGGTCATCAAGGTCAGACATTGACCTTGAGGGTCATCAAGGTCAGACATTGACCTTGAGGGTCATCAAGGTCAGACATTGACCTTGAGGGTCATCAAGGTCAGACATTGACCTTGAGGGTCATCAAGGTCAGACATTCATGTTTTGCATAGAATTTTTCAAGATAACTGTTTCTCTTCTCTTTTACAATGAATTTGACTTGAAGAACACTATTGATTCAAGGTCAAAGGTCAAGGTTTAAAATTAATAATGCTCAATTAGTTTCCAGATAACCTTAGTTCAACTGCACTGTAAAGCAAGAAAAGAACTGCAAATGTAAGTGCCAGAAAAACAAAGGTTGTATCTATCATGTTATCGTCAGTGTCAACATTGTCAAGATAATGTGTCTTTTATTTTTAGCGTGAAACTTGCAAACAGCATTGAATTGGAGCAAGAAAAAGTTAGGAACAAGTTCTGATCATCTTTTTCTTAGAAGATTGTATCAAAATCCTCGGTCATCTGACACTATTTCTATGGAATTGACACCATGGTAAATTCTTCCAACTTTTCTGCACATGCGTACAATAAAGAGGAAAAGTGAAGCAATATTTTTGTGTTGGGCTTTACAAGAATTATTTTTACTTTTATTTTTCTCCTTCAAAGTAGATTTTTTAGGTTCTGAAACCTGTAATTTTCTGAAACCTAATATCTTCAAGAATTGAACAAAATTTGCATGTGTCATGTAAAAATTCTACTTTTTATCAATTTTTCCATCACAGTGTCTCATTAAATTTATATGAGTTTTCCTCTTATTGTAAAATACTTCTCTGTATAAAATTCAAAATATTATGCTGAAAACCGAGTTTATATCGCATCACAACAAAAGTGTAATGGATTTACATTCAACTTATCTATCTTCAAATTCCCTTATTTATAAAGCAATATACCATTATCATCTGCATTTGGAGTTTTCTTCTAGTTGTAGATAGAATGTCCTATCGTTAAAATGTTAAATGTCCTACGGACCCAGTTTAACGATAGAATGCGTTCCGTGTATTGTCAATGTAGCAAAGAAAATACGGGAGATAACTCCAACTCTGTGCATTTACTATGAAAAATCCCGAGAGTTCCGAATGTCAACATGGTGTGTAAATTTGAAATGAGTAAAAAAAAACGGTGGTGAAAAAGTGTTGAATTCTTCCATTATATGGATTAAATTTTTAGATGAAAGGTATTAACAGTCTCAAAAAGGTTTGTTATGATTAATTTGACTATTATTTTCAATGCAACTTCATTAATTTTCTCCAAAATCGTTTCAGAGTGGTTCTGCTATTTTCTGCTACATTACGGGTATATGGGAGGCATTCTAACTGTGGTGAGGGCCTGTCCCAAGACACAATTGGATTATTCTAACTATTCTAGTTGACTCAATACATAAGAGCATGCTCTATGCATGAACAATATCTAAAATGAGGCAAGCTATTGACAAATAAGTTGAGGAAACACCAAGTCTTCTTTAAAGTCAACATTTTGCAAATTCTATGGTCGATAACGATGACCTTTGCAACAAATACTATCTATCATTAAGTTGAATGTTGACTGACATTTTCATACAAATTGTTAGGTCATTTTTCACACCAACTTGTCTACTGGTTTTTTCATTTGCCAGATCATGACAATTAAGTAGCACATGGTGAGTGTGACCAGTCTACAGGGGTTACTTGCTCCTCCATGGCACCTGACCCCCCCCCCCCCCCCCTTTGCTGAGTTTGAGAGGTCTTTGTTTGCTCTGCTCCAAATTTGTAGTTTCAATGGACTTTTCAGCTTGATTACTGTTCTTTATATTGATATTTCATTCAAACATTTACACTGACAAAATTAATCTGACCCAAAAAATTATATATCTTTGCTGTTATGGTAAAGTACTTCTCTATTTGAGTTATAGTATCATAACAAAAGTGTAATGGATTATACCTTCAAACCTATGTACAGACAGACAAACGAAGTGATTAAGGAGGTTGGATCCTGACATTAAAAGTAATGAGAATTTTTTATCAAGTATATTTTTAGAATTTATACACATAGCTTAATTAAAAATCAAAACAAAAAACTGGGGTCAATGCGCTTCTTTTGGCGCTACAGAGCATTTAGTTTGACCTTTTTGCACTGTAAAAACGTCTTACACATAAATCAACTTTTTAAGTTTTTCCTCCGATATTTTTTATTCAAATAAGTTCTGGGAACAAACAGTTTTATTTCATCTTGAATAGACCCATTAAAATTTTTGACAACGAAAATTTTTTTTAAATTACTCCGCACATTCAATTATTTGACCTTTTTGCACTCAAAAAATTTCATTTTGCTAGCATTACAAATTTAACAAGCAAAAAACTCATTTAAAAGTAATGACATTTTACTGTATTTAAGAAGAATGGCTAAAAGTATCTTGTATATTCAGAAAAGAAAGTTAAAAGTGGGGGTCTGTGATGTTAATTTTTAGATATTACTAAAATAGTGCTAATTTTGAGCTTAAATTAGGGCTATTTTTTTTTCTTGATTTTCACAATATATTTGATTTACTTATCAAATTTGATGATTGAATTCATGAAAGTTTATTAAATATATAATTTAGGACCAGTATAAAACAGTTCACTGCACAAAATAACTCTGTGTGCAGACTGCATGTAAAAATAGGAATCCAAACTTAACATACTTTACTTCGAAAGAGAAAAAATGATCATTTTCTTCTAAAAAACCTTCCGCCACAAAATATAGTTCCTCACTTAATGCTTTTGGTATGGAATTTAATCATGGAGTTTTAACTGAATATAGTTTATTTGGCATTGTAGAATCCAAATTTATTGTAAGAATTAAAGCATTACTCAGATTTTTTTATATATAGGTTAAAATAAAAATCTGCTCAAAAGCTCAGGAGCGAACCTCGTTAAGTCTTTCCTTAAAAACCGTTTAAGTTATGGTGTCACAACAAAAGTATGGATGGACAGACACTGTCACAAAGTAATTCCTATTGGGCTCTCGCATTTCATGCATCGCCCTTAAAAACCGATTGAAAACATACAAAAAACTGACACATTACCAGTGGTCTTTGACCAGTAGGGCTAAATATTATCAAAACAACTAAGATTAAAGTCATATTTCTAATCATGAGAAGAGGCCACTTTATCAATTATTAAAAATGTTTATTCATGAAATTATGCAAATATTTACATGAAATGAAAACAGTGACCAGTTATAAAAATTCAACCATACATTGTCTTGTGGATTATACAACCAGATTTCCTGTTTTGTTAGAGTAACGTCCTAAATAAATAATGCTTTTGCAAGTGTCAGTAGCAAACTGACTTCTGCACATCACTATGATGAAAACATTCAAACACATTTGTGTATCAACTTGTACTTCAGAGGAACAAGATGAAATCCACTAAACAAGAAGGATGATGAAGGCTGAGAGCAATTTTGAAGGAAGGATGTTTACTTAGAAACCGTGAACCTGAAAGGAAAAAAAAAATTCAAGTTGTTGCATAATACACATGTACTTCAACATTCCAAGCTATTGTTTTTATTTAAACAATAAAATGCTTTCTTTGGTTACAAGTTAGTACGGAAATTAATGTCGCAGCTGTTGCAGAAAAAATACATAACCCGTGTAAGCGTGTTATGTAAATTTTTTTCTGCAATAGCTGCAAAGTTAATTCCCATACTAACAACCAAAGAAAGACATTTTATTGTTTATACGAGGGTTGTTAGAAAAGTTCGCGGACACATTGATTTACGGAAAATCTATTGTGTACTGTAAGTATGACTTATATCTGATTAAATTCCTATCTTTTGTTTATTAGTATGTAAAAAATCAGATCCATTTACTAAAATTTTGAAAATTTACAACAATTTTTACTATGCGGTCATAGGAGTCACGGAGCAATCACTTGACGTTAAGTGACGTGACAACCAGATTTCAAACCCGTTAAGCTTTTTCATAGTTCTAAATATCTTTCATTTCTTTCGACTTTTCTTGTCTATTTTCTACTTAAAAATTAAATATCTTTATCAAGACATGTTACTTTTCTTCTATAATGTCTTTTGTGCTGTTTTGGATATTAGTGAGATCTTAAAATAAATGTCTACGCAGTTAAGAGATCAGATATGGAAACAATGCAAAATCCATAGGCGCAACGTCCATACGATAAGTTGGGTATTGAGGTATCGATTGAGTTTATCATTAAAAATGTTAATCCTTCCATTCTTATAAAGCTACTACCAATTGAATACTTTTGTCCTTTATACGTGCAGGCGATTTCCAGCAGCATCTAGAAGCATTTTAGTCTATTTTTAGACATTTTCCTGTCTGCACACATAATTTTTTGTAGCTCGGTGCTCCATGACGTTCAATGACGTTCCCATTCTTGGCTTTTTTTTATGCGTTGATTATTTATAAATGGCTATAAAACAGTCATACACCCTCCAATTTAATTCAAAATTTCGGCAAGTGACGTTTCATGAACACTGTAGCGACAGGTAAAATATCATAATTCTTTCTGCGCTACAACTGTGCGATTTTTTATTTCAATAAAAAGTATATGTAATGTAAACGTGCGAAAAAGTAGCATGCTCCGTGAAGCATGTTTTATCAAAATAATAAAGCTGTATATTTTTTAAGGATCACCGGAAAACACCAAATCTTTGTATATTTATTTGAAAATAGGTAAAGTTTTTATCTGGAGAGTTTAACCAGTTTCATGCAAATAGCGCGCTCAAAATAGAACTTGTCCGCGAACTTTTCTAACAACCCTCGTATTTAAATCTGTATAAATAATCATTGAAAATAGGATTAATTATTGTATTATTGATATGTACGTCGTACGTTTCATTGATGGAAGAGCCACTGATCAAGAACTCTGTCAAGGTGATATGCCTAGTGTTGTTCAACAACTGATAAACGGCATTGGTTTTCTTTAGAAATAAAGGAGAAAATATCCCGTGGATGTTAATATATTCAAGTGAAAGATTGACTGTTTCATTTTATGTTTTTAAAGGGGCCTGGACACAGATTTGAAGTCAATATTTTTTCAAATTTTCAAATAATAACATGACTTATATGTTGCTGTAGCATTTCACATGGAAATATAATAAAAAACTTATTTCATCTGGAAATTATTGAAACTACGAATTTCGGGATGCATTTGATTGATATATCCTTGCACTTTCTCAAAGTAAACTTTATCCTAAAATACTTAAGAAAAGTAGAAATTTTGTTGTGTATTAATGAAAAATATTTAAACTATAATCCAGAAAAATTCAGAGTAGAAATGTGAGAAAGCAAAACCAACTCACCAGTATAGTCAGTCCATGCTCAGTGATGTGTGCAGAGTTTAACAAAATGAACACATCCAGTGAAAAGTAAAATGAGACCTGTTCAACAGAGCGAACGTTCACGAGCACTTGCCAAAATTCCTTATACCTCCAACAGAAATGTTCACGAGCGCAAGCGCTGTTGAACAGGCCTCAGTTTTTGTAAACAGGGCACGAGCTTGTGATTATTAATGTTGACATTTCACCAGGTGTGTTCAATTTGTTAAACTCTGCACACATCACTGAGCACGGACTGACAAAACTGGTGACATTATGGGAAAAACATTTAGCGTATAAATTTTTGATATTATATAAAACATATTTCTAAATTTGAAAATGATTCAAAAAAGTTATTTTAATACGTAAAATAATATCATTTTAAAACAAAATACACAATTATAAAATAAAAACATTATAAAATAAAAACATGTACATATTATGTTGCGTTTGACTACGTACCTTGAGCTGTTCTTCCCTCGCAATTCCAATTTCTCTGAGGAAGTCTCGAATACGATTTCTTTGATCTCCCTGTAGCTGAATGACCTCACCATATTCTGGATGTTCCACCACTGTACCATTACAGGCAAATTCCTGAAATGTTGCAAAAACAGCATTCAGTCATTCACTTCCGATTTACATAGCAAATAATATATCATTTTTTATATTTCACAGATTGTTTCTTATCATGTTCATTGAACATAACAGTAAAACTTGTTTTGTAAGAACACAGATAAATATAGCAAATTTACAAATGAAATATAGTGAAAGGTTTTTTTTTTAATCAGCAGCCAATTTCTTAACAATTCTTGTAAAATTTACAGTTAAAAAGAAACCAATATGACAAATTTACGTATATAGTAGGGATGTCAAATCGGTCAATATTTGATAATCGGTTACTCGGACGATTTTCCGATCGAGTACCTGGGTACTCGGAAAAAGTGTTTATACATGTAAAAGTTTGAGACCTGTTTACCACATCGATTTTTTCTTTCGTTTATAACATGCTGTAATGCATGTACAATTTGTACATAAACATCGAGCCCAACGAAAACGATTTTTTTTGGTACTTAATTTATTTATCAAACAAACACAAAAGACATGATCAAATAATACACCAATAATTACAAATGCGTTACAGTTCTTATTTATGAAGACTATTTGGTCAACGGAAGAGAAGGACGCAACTTTGTAATGATTAGACTAGCGAGAGAGAATATCTTTGGGAACCGAGGGAATGGACTCTGTAGTGATCGCGAGTCGTATATTATTTAGGTTTGCAAATGCTTTCTTTGTGATAACTCTGAAAGTTAAGCATGTTAATTTCTCGATATTTACAACTCCAACCGTTATGCATAAATTATTCCACGTTTCGAACTGCCGTTGATGCCCTGGTATGCACAGCAAACTAAAAAGTGATTCCTTTAATATATGGTTGTTTCCACCCTATGCGCTTTTAAATTTTTTTTAATCTTCGATTATTTATAAATATTTATTCACTTTGAACAGTCTGATGAATCGGTAGCGGTATTTCTATGTATGTCCGATTTCGTTTCCGTATGCTAATTGAATAATCATAGAATAATTAATAGATCATAATTAAACGATGTTCATTGAAAACAAATAATGAAAGCCATCTCAAAAATTAGGGTCACAAGAGGTGAGAATGGCTGTGTACAGTGTCCAGTGATTAATTACTGTATATACACGAACACAGCCACAGGCGATAACGGGTATTAACTGGTGTAGGTGACGGTAATTACTGTATAGACATGGACAATGCATATTTAAATCACATTTTTTTGGTAAGTTTTTAATAAATATATGCACTTTGAAATATGAAAAAAATATACATCCGAGTAACCGAGTACCGATTTTAGTATTCGATACTCGGACGTTCGAGCGAGTACCTGGTTAACCGGGTACTCGTTGACATCCCTAGTATATAATGAACTGATTTCGTGTCTGTAGAAGTTCAAAATAAAGTAATTTATATCTTTTATAGTAAATTCCTATCTCAAAATTTAAACTATTCAACTGACATTATTTTTTGTATTTATATTTGAAAATCATCTGAAAACTCTTGTATTTTATACTTCCCTGAACATATTCGGTAGTCAAACTTGAAGAAAAAATTATACTGTGAATTTGTTATATATATTTTAACAAACTCGTTATATTGATACAACGAATTACAGACATAGCGAAAAAAATTCACGGATTCCCAAGAACTTTGCTATAACAGTTTTACTGTATCACTTCATTACTTCAGATGATTTGTTTTCTCTTACACTATTATTTCTTTAAAAAAATGAGCTTTAAGGACATACGCAACGTAGTTTGAACTTTTGTCTTTTTCCCTGGAGTTGAAGAGTTCCAATACTTAAAGGAACTGTGTGTAACATTTTAACGTCTATATATGGTGTTGTACACTTCTTCTAAAACAAGTTTGGATGAACAAAACATCTAGAATATATGTTTAGTAATTTTTGTATATTTTTCTTTGAATTATACAAGAATTTTCATCAATTGATATCTTTTCAAAACCCCTGGTAAGGCATGCTGATTTTTTGTCTACGAACATCTGATGGCACTATAATCTTAAATTAAGAATATCTTGAAAATTTATCAGTAGGTAAGGTACATTGCGTATGTCCTTAAATTGAATCAAAGTCATTTAAATAATTTAATTTTGAACCAGAAATAATTCTTCTGTCTACCATAGGTCAAACTGGTGAGTAACTAAGGAGGAACCATTACTATTTCAAAGTACACCTAATTTGTATCCAATTCAAAATAGGTAACATGTAATCACTATTTAATAGTGAACAAACCTCATATTCCTGAGAGATCTGAAATGACCAAAAGTGACACCACTCTGAGGAATAAGTAGTATTTGTTAGCTGACACTTTTGTGTTGCATAAAACTTGCTTATTCCTACTGAAAGTATCCTACCCAATTGTTTTTCTTTAGAAACAGAGATATATTCCTGCTCCAACATTATTTTATACATCTACAGATGTTGGGGTTGCCAAACTACAATTCATTTTCAATTAATTTCATCCTTTCCTTTGAGATCTGTCTGAATTCAGAGGTTTAAAAGTTTGCAATTTTCAGAATCACCATAACATTGGCATTGACAACAAAATATGCTTTTGTATTTCTAATGTTTTGTCCCCCTGCTTTTCAGTTTTTCTAAAAGTGACAGATATTAATTTGGGTCTGTCCATCTTTACCTCTGTCTGTAACACTTGAATTCATTTTGGTCTTTTGTATGATATATTTAAAAGTCCCTATGACTTGAAGATCTCTATTGATATGAGGTTAAAAGGTCAAGGTCTCAAATTTGTATATTGTTTAAATTTGTTTATGGATAATATCTTAAATTAACATCTGTCCTCAAGTTGGTGACATAATTACTTAGATAAGCTTGTTTTTTTTTGGTTTTGTTTTGAATCAAAATATACACAGTTACTTACAGTTATTTATAGTGTCTTTGTACATGCCTGATTTTTTGGAACATGGCAGTTATCAAATACATCCCTGCATATATGCTGGGTTAAAAAACATTATTAATCTTTCATTGAAAAAATTCCTTTAGTATCTAAAATTTATGAAACATTTTCTTCATTTAACTTCCATAAACAATTCTAACAGGCAATCACAGAAAATATAAACACCACTACTAGCTAAATTTTACAGCCAGGACTTATCTTTTCTCTCCAAAAAACTGGCAGATCCAGTCCCCAACACTAAACAGAGATACTTCCCAGCAAACATTTTCAAAAAGGGGATTGGGTAAGATGGCATAGTAGCTCTGTGATAAAGCAACTGCACAGCTAGCGAGAGGCCCTGGGTTCAAGTCCCAGTCCAGCAGACACTTTTCTCAGTCTATTATATTTGGTGCCCTTCAACAAAACCCATGAGTGGTCTATAGAAGTCTTAGCGAGACTTTTACCTGGAAAACCTCAAGAAAAATGTTTAAGGGAGATTGGGTACATTGGCCTGGTAGCTCATTGGTAGAGAGCCTGCACAGTTAACAAGGTCCTGGATTCAAATCTCAGTCTGACCGACACTTTTCCCTGCCTTTTTTACTTTGAATGTATGAATAATACCAGATGCAAGAAATTTCACAAAACACATTCACCCCAGTAGATTTAGAGTTACTAGGGTGACGTTAAACACGTTCCCTGTCTACATTAATCAGTGAATCATCATGCTTATTTCAGAATTTATGTGCTATGGATAATTACTAGGTTATGATTTTTTTCCCCAAATTCATTCTTAGTTTCAGTGAGGGTTATCCATGAAGACTTCCATGATTACTTTTACTGACAAATATTTTCTCCTGCTGTATCAGTCGATAAAATAAATTTTATGCACTTGCCTTTTTACAAGCTTTGACAATTTTTTTCAGGTCATAGTCTGTTGAAATTCCCTGTACTGTTGTCAGGGTTTTCCTTCCATTTCTCTGCTGGATTCGGATGTGAATTAAGTTTTCTTGAACACCGGCATTACCATCATCTGTTGATGCTTCCTTGAATGGATCTGTAAAACATTAACATGTATCATGATTTTGAAATATATGTAAACTTTACATTTTTTCTGAATATAAACACAAGAAGCATATGAAACATATGAAACAGTGATAAATCAATCATGTTAATCTAAGGGCTCATGATATGCATATCAAATCATGAGGTATATATCACAATACTGTAGAAGTTAATTTGTCTTACTTGAAAAACCTATGTACAACATAACAAATTGTCATTTTCCAAAATGGCAGAAAACAAGACAGATCTAAACAGTGTTAAGATATTTGTTTAATATTTTCTACTACTGTGGAGGTTAGAACACAAAAATATGTAGACAATCATTGACCACTGTATCATGATACATGACCATATCATGATACGTATCATATCATTAGATAGCTTGCAACATCCAGGCCTAATTAACAAGATGTTTTTATGAAACACTGATGTCTGTATGGCAGAAAGATTAATGTATTATTTTCTTATACGAGGGCCGTTCAAAAATTACGCGAACTCTGCTATTATTTACTCTTACAGATGTCATATAGAATTGAAATTTCACAGGAATACATTTCTTAAAGATTCCAATAAATTCTAGGTAAATTTTCTTGATTTTATGTAATATCTCATAAAATTATTACCGTTTTGATACTGCTGATGGTGATATATGGAGCACGGCAAAAACGTTGAAAAACAAAAATGCGGTATCCAAAATTTTATTCCTTTATTTTTCATATTTCACGATATTATTCAACAATTTTCTTAAAAATTTCTTTTTATTGTAATATTAAGTATTTAGATTTCTGACATAATATTTGAAGTATGAACAGAAATATTGTAATTTTTCTCTGATGTGACCCCTACAAAATCAACTGCAAAAATGACGTCTCGTGATTTGACGGAGCAGGGCACTTTTATCAAATCATGAGTCATGCTTGGAAAACGCCAACCGAGACCCCAAATAAGCCTGATGACACATATAATAAACCAGTGGAATTTCCGACACATCTCTACAAAACGTAAAAAAAAAAAAAAAAAAAAGAATTTAGACTGTTAGACCTTAGCCAAAAGGCAATCCGGGAGGGATGGAAGAAGTTCATTGGCAAAACACTAATCTGGACTGTTAAGAATGTGATTGAGATCGACTGACGTCAAACTTTACTTCAGAAATATCTGCAGTTTTGGGGTTTAACACAAACTATAACACACAATACTAGTTTTATAGTTTTGTAGTTTTTAAGTTGGTATATGGATGTTTAATCTGAGTGGATAAGGTATCCCAAACTATACAATATCAAATACTAAGGAGAAACATTGAGAAAATGAAAGCTCCCATTTTTTAAAATACCCGTGACGTTGAAGGTTTTACTGCGCTGTGACTTCATGATATGTCCTGTTAAATCACCCGAAATTAATACCAATTTACAATATTTTGATATGAAATTTTGATGACCATATATGAAAAGATTCTTTCATATTATTTGTGACTTTTTGCTTGATTATGTCGTCAAATATATTTTTTGTGCAATAATTCCGCGTAATTTTTGAACGGCCCTCGTACATTCTAACGTAAAACTTTGACAGCCTATTGTGACCCCAACCCATCTGGGGGTCAGGATTTGAACAAAGTTGAAACTTGAACCTACACTCTGTATAGAAGCTTTCAGGCAAGTTTTATCTCTACTGGTCAAGTGGTTCTTAAGTATTTTTAAAAGATGCCATTAAATTTTCACTCATTCTTAATTACCTCCCCTTGAAAGAGAGTGGGGCCCTTCATATCTATTTCATCTGTTACAACGATCAACATTTCCAATAAATCTTCTAACAATTGGCTGAATAAATACTTCTAACAACATCTTTAACAATTTTGATTCTCTAGACTTCATTCATATTGTACAATTTTTGCATTCTTTACCGCATCCGATGTGTCTAGTAAAACTTCCAACAATTGGTTGAATTATAATGTTTCTAAAATCCAAGAACCAATAAAATTTCATGTTACATTTAATCAATAAAGTAGGAATAAAGTGAAGCAAAAACAGATATAATCTGTATAATCGCAAAATACTGAGATACTTAAAAAGCAGAAAACAAGTTTTACAGTGGATTGAGCAAATCTAAATAGCGGAATTCTGCTTTAAAGTGGAAGAAAAACATACCTGAAGTATAGTCACTTCTTGAATTATTGCCATTCGATTCATTGCCATTCTTGCATGTATCACCATTATTTTTCATGAATATTTTACCTAACTATATAAAATTCTCTTTATCCAAATTTGCATACTGCCATCTGCCACCCTATTTTCACAACAAATGTCCATTTCAAAGTGTCAACTATCTCAATGCACTGCCAGATGCAGCACAGGGGCATCTTATCCACTCTGTTCTCTACTACACATATAATAAAGTGTCCCGCCACAGCATGATACACCCGTCAAATATTGTTCAATTGTCATAAACAGCTTAGAGTGCAAGAAAATCATGTCAACCTTGATACAAGGATTTCAAGAATTTTTCCATTCCTTATAATATTTGTTTATACATCTCCTGTGGTGTAGGCATTAATTATAACAAATATTATATTATAGATCCTCAACTGGTTGTGTTAGAGCTTGACAAATGCCCCCCCCCCCCCCCCCCCCTGCTTTTAGATTTGCAAGACATGATGCTCTGAATTAGTTAATTTTTCAAAAAATTAAATAAAAATATCATATTAATTAAACAATATCAATTTAGTCTTAACAACTTAATCTAATCTATATCAAATTAATATTAAAAATAAAAGGCTGGCCATCAAATGACATATGCTAAAAACTGACAAGCAGTTCTTCTGTCTAATTCCCAAAGGATACAGATAAGAGCTGCTTGATCAGAGATCCTCTAACAGAAATGATGAGACAGCTAGCCTCCCTATACTGAACTCATTAATTAATCTTTAACTGGATGCATGTCCACTCATTACTCCCAATGGATGAATGGATCTATACATACTATCTGCTTTGTAGTACAATAAAAATGCATATTTATGTTATTCTGAAATTAAATTTGAAGTCAAAGATTTTTTTTTTAATTTGTTACACAGATTTATAAAAAGAAACAAAAAACTTCAGTAATCTTCATGCAACATTTTTAATAAGGTTCCTGCATTACTCTAAGATTTGTAGGGACTATCTACCATAACTAAAACATTTTTTTAAATACTTGATTTTTTGTAGATTTAATGTTAGACTGGTTTTAAGCTGCAATTCATACTGTACATCGGGCATGCTGATTCCAATATCACCCACCCACCCCTTCCCGAGTAAAATTAGTTTTAATTATATTATACAATATCAAATTAGTTTATTATACAATATTAAATTAATTTATTATACAATATCAAATGTTTTAATTACTTTTCAGGAAATTCATTTTAAAAGTTAGGCTAGCCAACTATTTAATCCAAGATGGCTGATTCTTTTTGCCCAGTTCCCAAGAGATATAGGTAACACCTGCTTAATCAGAGATGCTCTACGAGTTAGCTCCTCACACTAAACTCATTAATTTCTCTCTAATTTGACATGCAATTTTCTGTTCTCAAATTCTCCTTGACCAGTGCTTGATAATTACACCCATGGGAGAGGTGGAATTTCTCTTGTAACATTACATTTGTTACAGATTGCTGTAAAGTATATAATAGAAAAAATAAGTATTTTCTTGATTTAACATTTTTTTAATAAGGATACTGCAACACTCTTGCATTTTTTAGGATTGTGTAATCTAATAGTAAAAGGACAGTTTTTTTTTTTTATTTCACTTATTAAATCAAAGGTCACAGTGACCATGAAATAGGTTGCTACACACCTTCTACCTAAGATGCATAAATTGGCCAAGTTTGATGATTCTAAGTCCAACAGTTTTCTAGTTATGAGCCGGACAGGATTTTTCCATATTTGGCCATAGCATCTTAAATAAAGGTCAGAGCGATCCACTTTAAATGTGCGACACACCTTTTATCCAAGAAGTATCAGCTGACAAAGTTTGATAATCCTAGCCCTAATAACATTAAAGTTATGAGCCAGACACGAAAAAAGCTACAAGATGGATGGATATGAACGCCATAACATAATAAGTCCTGTCTAAAGACAGACATATAAAAATACACAAAAGAAGAATCGAAAGTAGGACACGATTTGTAAACAAAGTCAAAAAACAACTTACTTGAGAAAAGTTATACAAACTCCTTATATGCACTAGCGCAAATAATGTCCTAGTACTTATCCAGGCTAAAATATTCCAAATATATCCAATGTAAATAGCTTTTATCCAAATAAAACTCCAGCTTTTGCACAGTTTGAAACTCTTCGCCCAAGAAATGATAACTCATCCACAGACGACAACCATCGTTTTTCGGGAACTTTTGGGACTTTTTGTATGGAGAGTGGTAAATTCTAAATAGACAGTAAAACGTCTGAAAAAATATTCATCTTATGGTAAGCATGCATGGCTGTAGGAACCTTGGGGGGGGGGGGGGGGGGGGTGTGTGCCCCCCCCCCCCAATAATTTTGCTGATATATAGATTACTATATTAAACATAGATACTCTTTATATACTATATGCTTGTGCCCCCTCAATAAAATGTCTGATGACCATTTTTTTTTTTTTTTTGCTTGTCGGGAAATTTTTGGTAGTGCCCCCTCAACTGTCAACTGAAAAATGTATTGCTGTGCCCCCCAAACTGAAATTGCTTCCTACGGGCCTGGCATGAAGATAATATAATTTTAGAGTCATTTAATTATCAAAATTTATTACACCAAATTTGATTTTAAAATTTGAATATATATTTTATAGAATTTATGAAAAAAGAAAAAACGGAAGTTGTAGAGTTATCTTTTCTTGGGTGAAGAGTTTCAAACTGTGCAGAAAGCTGGAGTTTTATTTGGATAAAAGCTATTTACATTGGATATATTTGGAATATTTTAGCCTGGATAAGTACTAGGAGATCATTTGCGTAAGTGCACAGAAGGATTTGTATAACTTTTCTCAAGTAAGGCCAAAATAAAATTATTGTTTGTTTGGAATTGGCCCCAGTGAAATACATGTACAACCCGCTGAAAAACTTTTATTGGCAAAATTTTGAAAATACTTTTTTTATCGTTTTACCATCTTACAATGTTTATTACGAGGTAGTTTGTTCATCAAAAAAGCTTTTTAAAATCGGGTTTGAACTCCACATTAATTTAACAACACCAGTCAATAAAACCCTTTCTTCATAGTATTTATGATATAGCGATTAGAAGATCCTCGACAAAATGAGAGCGGCCAAAATGTCAGACCAGGCTGGATGTGTTGAAGAGCCGAGCTAGCATTTACGAAGTTTGACGCTGACGCTCGTATGCTTCTCCATAAAAATGAATGGTGAATTAAAAATAACTGAAATGATATACAGTTTTAGTAAACACATAACCTGGAAAGAAATGTTGACAGAGATTGCAAATTGAACTTGACAAGTCCGTCATGTTGAAATTAAAAATTAAGGTTCAGTTCAGTTATCATACAAATAACATGGATCAGAAATATTTTATCTCAATATTGATAGCGAGCGGCATGAAGCGCCGCTCGTCACTGTGAGCTCTAACGACAACCCCTGGGCAAAGAGAAAATTCGGACTACTGCACATTCATTCAATAGAATTTTTTTCCGCAGTAACTTTGGACCCACAATGCATCGACTGTTTAAGCTATGTTCTCGCGAGAATGACAACAAAAGTTCAACAAAAAATAAACTGGTCTTGATTTAATGGATTTGATTTAATGCCGATAAATAGTATACAAAACGTTCATTAAAACATGCTAGCGTTCAGGCTTTGGTTTGGTAATGCAACTTACATACGACGTCCTGTGACGTCAGAGTCTAGACGTACAATATGTCACGTGCGGTTTGAAGAGATGGGTCTAAATACAGTTTATAAAAGTATCTGCGCTCGCCCTAACGGTCACACCGTCAACATATTAATAAAGGAAAATTGTTGTCCGTCAGTCTGACAAGTGTTTGAAAAGTAATGTTAAAATTGATTCAGCATGAAAAACACACTAGATCACATCAAGCACCCCTCTCCTTTTTCCATAAAACAGCCCAATTCTAAAGAAATTTCGTGTGGATATTACTGTTTATAATATAATTATAATCCCCCACCTTGACAGAGGATTATACCAGACATTCTACGCAGATAAGTACAACTTTGCAAAACTAGTTAGGATGGGAACATTTCTACAGTAAAAGATGGAATGTGTCTGCAAGTGTAATTTTTTTCTTATGGAAAACTACAATTTATTGTAACAGATCGAAGTTATACTCTACTCAAAACAGCTGATGTACATTGTTTATAATCCTGTCACTTTTTGACTAAATCACGCAAGTTCATCGCTTAAGTACAGCCAACTCACCAAAAGAAGCACCAAACGATTTGTCGATAGTGGTCATAAAAACGTTTTTGTGTTTACGGATTAGGTAAAAAATGAAAAATAAGCCGTGTATCTAGTAGGATGACAGTGGATTTTGACGGACTTCTATTAGGATCTCCCTGACTTCCGCTTGCTCTGTATACACAACATTCAATGACGTCATTATTTATTTATTTATTTTTTTAAAGCACACATTTTTTATAAATATTCTCTATAATAAGTATTGTTAGTTAATTTCCAAAAATATTCTTACAGTGAAAACAGAAAATATGTAGCTTTGATTTGGATTGACCCGGATATGAAAGTTTGACCCCAAATAAACTTGAGGCGAACTAGGGGTCGAGGTAAGCACGAGTACCTGCTCCTTCTTACCTTTTTTGCTTTCTGTCAGAGAGACAATAGTGTTTACATTTTTTAGAATCTGACAAGTATTTTTATATAGTATACTAGCAGAGGAACCGTGCGATCTCACAATATCTTTTGGTGAAACCTTTTCCTTACCTCACCGTGCTCTGAATGCAAGGTTGAAGGAAAACATGTTCGTGGGGTATGTATTGTGGTTATAAGCTCTATATAGATAGATATAATCCCAGAAAACCATGGAATAATCAATTGTGCAATGCATAATACTTATATATAACTTTTTAGGTATGAAAAGAAGTCAGAAAGCATGAAAGAACTCCTAGTATCGTTTTCATCGGTTGTATAAAACCATATCAACACTACATGAATGATTGCGTCTTAGCCAGCCATTTTAGAAAGCCCACAGTGAACACCGCCTTCAAATGGACGCTTATCAACCTCTAGAGAGTGGCGATGACGAAGAGTAAAGCTTGCATACAGTAGCTGTTGAACAAGTTATCAAAAATCGTAAGTGTATAAGATGTTGATGTAAGGTTACAAAAAAATCTTACCATAGTCACATTGATTGTTTCAAGCAAATATGAATATTATTTGTTTGGATTATTGACAGAACATTGACTTGCTCGTCTTGTCAGTGACTGTAGGTACATTTCAATAATGCTGAAGCTACTTAATCCATAAAAATGAACAGGATGCTTTCCAGACATTAACTTAAGTTGATGACAGCAATAACAATAATTTTATGCAAAACATTCTGCATCTAATGTAATTTTGCCAATTAAAAACTGATGAAATTTATGATATTCCATTTATTTGGTAAATTCTTTAACTTAATTAAAATGGAAAATCCTAAGCAAAAATATACAGACTAAGATTTAAAGATTTCTGGGGGAATGACATATTTTGTATACTGGAAGAATAAAAGCTTCATTTCAAAATTCATTGTACAAAATCTTTTATTTGTGGACGTTTTTATATTTAAGAGTACGAAAGATATTTTTAAACACAGCATTTATTTTATAGGAAAATTTTGATAAATGCATATTATGATAAAGGTGCTTAAAATGAAACTATAAAAAAGCACAGCAATAAAGTGTTCTTTAAAATTTGTAAGGGACGAGAGGAAATGTTATCAATGATAAACATAATTGTCAGTGTATCTGAAGCAAAACAAATTTATTAAGGAGTGTGGTTCAAAAGCATTTGTGTATGGATTTATGCATTACAATGATTGTTTTTTTTTTAATCACTGAAAAATAATTTTAGGTGTGGAAACTTGTATTAGTCAATCAGTGTAGTTGTTCATTTTCAAGGACAGCAAAATGGCAGAAGGCCATGAATTCTTCAATGGAATTTGTCAACAACAACAGCCAAGTCATTTGAAACTATGATTACTTTGAGAAACTTTGAAATGAATAATTTGCATTTTTGCATATTGATGTTATTGTCAAAGAAAATTCTTTTTTGTGCATTTTTATAAGTAGGTCATGATTATCTGTAGTTGATATTGTAGAAAATATTTATTTTATCTAAAATTAATTAAATACCAGTAGGTGCTTCTTTCTTTTGAAATAAAAACCAACAATTTTTTTTTCTTCAGAAGTGTGTGAATGATACTTATGGCCATCATTAAAAATTTTTGTTTGATGTACTTTGAACCACATTTTTCAAGGTGGGTAGGTAGGTAGGGTTTTTTTTTTTTTTTTTTTTTTTTTTTTTTTTTTTTTTTTTTAGCATTTTTAACATTTTTTTTTTCAGTATCTTACAAATTGAAAATTGTCATAAGAATAAGAGACTTAAAATTCATTGATGTTTTCATTATACACTGGTTAGAAGATATTTGTGTTTGACACACTAGACAGCTAGACAGATTTAATATATTAGATTTATTGCTATAAAAACTTTCAATCAAAAAAGCATCCTAGAGAAATTTTAAACCTTAATTTTAAAATGATGATGTCAGTTTCCCTATAAACCCCCCAAAATTAAAAAAAAAAAATTGAAGTATTAAAAATAATGATTAGGTGGGGGGCGATTTTGATGGGTTGGTTGGAGAACAAACAAATTATTTTTTATTGTTGGCCCACAGGATTGCCTTGATTTGCTCCAATTAGCACACACAGTTTTGTTATAACCAGACCTCAATTTAAATATGTGCATGTTTGATGCTCTGAAAACATGGCATGCTAGGCATTAAAATATGCTAAACATTTCTTTCCAAAAATCAAAAATTAAAATTCTTTATAACTCTGAAGTTCAGGTAAAAAATATATAGATGTGCATGTTTAGGGAGAAGTTTTTTGAAAAAAAAAAATTCTCATGATTTAGGAACTTGGAGCAGTTTCATTATGTATTGTATGTTAATGTCTAAAGTAACAGGTGATGTTAAAATTGATATTTAAATGCTGAGCAATACAAATGGCTTTAATTTTAAGCACATTTTCTGTACACATAATATTTTTGGGTGTTGTTTAGCCTAGCATTCTGCTGACGTTTCTTATTTTCACACAATCAGAGGAAGTAATCAGACAGTGCTTTCTTATTACTCATTGTGTTACTGTTAAATGAAGGCATGTTCTCATTTGTTGATAATTCTTAATTATTTTGTACAGATTGTTAACATGCAAACATCTTTAAAAAATAATGTCCTCTCAAGAATTTTAAACACAGACAAAGTCATTGTTGAGGTTTATAATATTATGGTTAATTATTTTATAATAGTGATGTTAGCATGCAAAAAAGTACATGCATATCTGTTAAACTAATTAAGATATATACTTTATGTGATTATCTGTATACAGGATATACCAATGCTGCAATATTTCATTATCTATGGGGAAAATGTGGAAATACCATGAATACCAGCACCATTTTGTTGCCTGATTAAGAGCCTCATTTTAGCATTGTATGAAGCATTTGTATCCATGGTGATAGTTTGCTCAAAGCGCAAAAAATCAATATGGATGACCTATTTCACCAAGTTGGTAGACATCCACAAGCTATTATTGTTTTGTAATGACAAGAATATTGTAATAATACTCATAAACTGTGGGTAATAATGTATTTATTTCAATCAGATATATTGTAACATTACTACATGTAGTTAATTTTTGCCTTTTGTTTAATAGAAATTGTTATATTAAAGGATCTGCATAAAAGTTTTGAAAATTAAGAAGTAAAATACTTTGCAAGGTGTCAGAACAGAAACTTGAATATTGATGCTTTGTTTTCTATTTGTTAAAATAAAACCAAAATATAACACATTGATGAAATCATGAAATATGTTACAAATGTAATGTGATACAAGCTCACTTTGTTAGATAATATGTGTTATTGTAGAAAATGATTTCAAAATGGCATAAAAAAATTCAACAAATTTTTTCTCTTCAAGTATAAAAAGATAAACCTTGTTTAGAAGTTTATGTGATTCTTGTAGGATCATGGAAAGCCAGGACACTCCGAGAGAATGTTCCTATCCTGCCCCTGTTGTCCCGGAGATGACAGACATCCAGAAACGGCTCCAAAAAATGTGTGAGGGTGCAGGAGGGGATGCACAGGTTAGAAAATATGTATACTTGCTTGCAAGTGAGTCTATAAAACAACCAAAAATTTCTTCAAGTGATCACTTATTAATACATGTATATTGATTTATATGTATTTTTTTTCAATGTATTAAAGATTGAGTTAAACTATGTTTTATAAGTTGTAACAAGATGACATTTGTTACAGTTTTACTGATGTATTTTTTAAATTGAGGGCAGTATAGCTGATAATCAAGCAAACCGGATCTTTTTATTTAAAGAAAAATGTCTGCCATATTTATTTATTTATTTTTTTAGTTTTGTAAGTGTTACTATAGTTTTCATGAAATACTGCATGTACTATTTAAATATTGGGGGGGGGAGGGGGGATTTAATTAAAAATTCTCAATCATGATTAAGACAAAGTTAAAATCTAGATCCCAGTGCTTGGATTTTATCTATAAATAGCCTGTGTAAATTATGAACCTGCCTAAACTCTGGTTGGCAGTGTGTGTGTTTACTGACCTAGTTTAACAACAAAGGCGACCTGCCACTTGAAATTCATACATCCAACTCATGAGGAGATGACGTGTTCCAGGATTTTTTTTTATGATTAGACTTGCACATGAAAATAAAATTTTAAAGATTATGTAGAGAGCTCGTATGAATGATATGCATATTTGTGCATGTGAGTGTGAAAAGCTAATTTCTGAACCATGTCTTTATAGTACATGTATAAAGATTCTATGTATATGTATCGGTATATCAATCTGCTTGGATTCACATCTACACTGGAATTTTTTTTTAAAGCAGACAGCTTGCAACTTGTGTAATTGTTTTCACTGAAATACAGATCATATTGATATGCATTCAGTGTAATTGTAGGACACTTGCTTTTAATAAGCCATATTTGTGCTGTTCTTGATAAGATTTTTGTAAGTTTTATTATACAAATATTATTTATATTCTTCTGTAAAGCTTTGACTCCTTATTGTAACCCCACCCTACCCCAGAGGATGTCCTGGAAAATGGTTATAAAATTTATATTTTTCAACTTCAAACAGAAAAATGTATAAAGCAAACTATAGGTTTTAAGTCACGTGACATATGACATGAGACACTAATTATATAACACGATGCATACATACTGTCTGGACTTGGCTTATGAAAGGCAGGAGTAGATAACTCCTTTGGGATGGAATGTTAGTGTAAAATAGCTTTCAGTCAAATTTAATGAGGAAAATTTTAAAAAAAATTATGTAATTGTTAAAAAAATCTTGAATATTGGATTTGAAATGTCAGTTGGGCAGCATTTTCTAATTGTTTCTATTCTTAAATTACCATAGAGGAAAAATACATAAGACAATCACAAAGAGATTTTTTTAATCTTGGTGAGAAAGATGAACTAGAAAGAGATGCTTATATTTTTATCTTTCTGTTAGCTACATGAAAAAAGAATTAAAAATAGATTTCTTATTTTTTTTAAAAAATTAAATAATTATTTATTTTCATGCTATTTTTTTTTTATTAGTTAATGTATAAATTTCCAATAGAAGTGGCCAAGTTTATTTGCAGTACACTCAAAGTTTGATAGTAATCCATGAAAAAATTGTTTTGAGCAGTTAATTTATTTAAAAGTGACATATATATATATCATTTGCATGCATACTTAACATATAATATATTGAGAAGTCAGTTTTATAGTCATATGCAAAGATATATCTTGTTTTATAAATAAATTTTAGTTATGAGTTTATAATGAACATTTTCAAAGACTTAATTAAAAGCATGATGATTAATTGCTCACATTTAAAAATAATTCAAAATGTTGAAGGAAAATATGATGGCTAAATAAAATTTCTGATATTTTGCCTTAATGTACAATGCATAAACTATTGTACATGACTTCCTTGCCGTCATTTTTAAAATGGAAAAAATGTATTATATTTGAATGTGAAAGGTGGCAAATATGAGAAGGTGGTAAATTAAACAAAGAGCTAGGTTATGGTCCTGTCGATACACCAATTACAGTAAAACACATAACAAAGTGCAAAGGACAGACAATTTTACTTCTTTGCCTAATCAACGTAGTTCATTGGATCCATTAAGTTCACAATATTTTTTTAAAGCAACAGGGAATGAAAATTACTTTGCTGTAAGCACCAATTTATTATCAGCATATTTGCTGTAATTGACTAATACCCTATGTTCCATTTCAAACATCAATATAAAGTAGAAACTTAGTCCTTTCATTTTCTATAAAAAAAAAAAAAAAAAGTTTCCTCTGAGAGTTCAGGTATTGGAAAATAGGCTTTATGTAGTGATGGGAAATCGGGATTTTTTTCATAATCGATTATCTGAATAATTGCATGCACTATAATCGATTAAAAATCGATCAATTTCAAATATTTTATTTGTTCATTTTTGAATGAAGAATAAATTGGTTAGAAATTCTGGAGTGATTTCTAGAATACATTTTTGAAATATTTTGTATCATTGGGTTCATTTATTAGATTGTTATAATTTAGGATTTAGTTAAATTCAGAGAAGAATGGATCAAAAATCAAAGGAATAATTTGCTTTTAACTAATATTTTGTGTAATCAATTATCAAGATTATAATATTATCTATAATCTGGGACCATTTCGATTAGATAATCGATTTAATCGATTAATCGGTACATCACTAGCTTTATGAAATTGTAATATTCTTGAATTTTGCAGAAAATGTATATTTCAGTACCTTCAGCAAAGAATTAAAATTTGAGCATACCCTTGACCCCCCCCAAAAAAAACATGTTTTATAATCTTCAGAAACAGTTCTATCATTAAATTATTGCAAATTTTGGATCAGAAGTTGTGCTCTAAATGAAATATTGAATAAAAGCTTGAATTTTTAGCCAATTTTGAAGAAATTTTTGGGATATGCAATGCATGATTTCAAAATGCATTGACTAGCAAGAAAAATATGTTATTTTTCAATAGATACCCAGTCGCCAAAAGTCCAAGTGATATTTCATGCATTGTCAATTTAAAGTGAGCACTTATGACTTTTCAGAAATTTAAAGGATAAAAAAGGCCTTAAGTGAACATTGCTCTTGATGCTTAAAAAATTCTGTCTTCAGAAAAAAGACTGAGTCAATACGCAAGTTTTGAGATTATCTCCCTTGGTGCGCTCTTTTGTTATGGAGGGGAGTTTTGTTTCTGCATAAACCGACAGGTGGGACAGTTATTTATATTGGATATGTTACATCTTCGATATACCGGTCTGTCATAACTGTCTATAGGGATGCTTTCATCAACTCAAAATAACTGAATTTTAGTAATGGCATCAATTAGTTTTTCTACCAAAAATCGGAAATAAAAAGAAAATTTCAGTGGATTAGACAACAGACAAGGGAAGAGACATGGATTGCCAATATACATGCGCATCTGATCATTGCACATCAGCATTCTGAATGACACAGCGACTTTTCCCCTTATGATAATTTTAAAAGATCCATCTGCGTAAACCGACAGGTGGGACAGTTATTTATATTGGATACGTTACATCTTCGATATACCGGTCTATCATAACTGTCTATATAGGGATGTTTTCATCAACTCAAAAATAACCGAATTTTAGTAATGGCATCAATTATTTTTTCTACCAAAAATTGGAAATAAATAGAAAATATCAGTGGATTAGACAACAGACAAGGGAAGAGACGTGGATTTCCAATATACATGCGCATCTGATCATTGCACATCAGCATTCTGAATGACACAGCGACTTTTCCCCTTATAATAATTTTAAAAGATCCATCAACTTTTTAGAAAAGGTTCGTATTCAAGGAAGAGTCTTTTTCACAAAAAACTATGAGGGTTCTTTTGATTTCAAGTACCCTAATTAAAAGTAGATTTGTAAAACATATTAAGTATAGATCAATATAATCATCAAAATCATCACTGTTTGACATCATGTATTCACGTATAATCTTTTCATAACATTAAATACATTTTAAAAGCCCTAGCCATCGTCCATTTATTTATGCACGTTTGTGTACATCGACAACCTGTCCCACTTCCATGCTGATATGGATACTTTTTGCATCTCTTATGTTGGAGAGCTATAATCTCGAAACTTGCATATTGTAGTAATATTTTATTGCTGTCAGAGTTTACCCAAGAGGTCCAGTAGGTTTAATCACAATTATCTGGAATAACTTCCCTTTAGTGCAATCTCCAGGAAGCTTAGTCGAAATCTTGCAAGAATTTGGGGTACAACATGCATGAGAAAACAAGTTATTTCAACCTCAAACAATAATCACAAGTCATGTGTGTTCTTATTAGCGTGATTAATGCTTCATGTTTTGCTTATATTCAAGTCATGCCTCTTTTTCCAAAGAAATTGATCTTGAGGTACTTAAACTTGTGCTTTGTTTTACAAAAGAAATCCACTGTTTTGTCATGAGCTACAGTGCATTCTGTTGAGTCACATTATTGTCCTTATCATGCAGGTTTAATGTATCTCCTTTCTTAAAGAGCTCCTTGAACTGTAAATCATGATAATACCTATTGAATAGTAATGAAAGTAATACTCGGTTATGAGGAAGTCACTGGGACTTTGAATTTTACTTCCTTATAACCTAGATTCTTTATATCCATATAAGAAACATAGTAAACAGTGTCCTAGGGGATTAATAAGACAATTCTTTTAACTAAGTTTTTTACAACTGAGTTTTACTGTACTTTCAATTGATCTGGCAAAATGTTTTTTAGGAAATAAAAAAATTAAGTGAAAGTGTTAAAAAAATTTCAAAACTCAAGTTAGTAAACTAAATCAAGTGTGTGTAGAGAGAGAGAGAAAAAAAAGCAAACACATTTCTTTAAAAGCATAAGAAAATCATATGAAATATACATTGAATTAAAAAAAATTGGTGTCTTTTTGATTACTACAGCTAGTATTAAAAAAAGAAGAAATTCAGCAAACAATAGATTTAGCAGTGATTAAAAATATATTTTCATTTTACAGAATTTCCCAGAGAAAATTGTTCTACCAGAGCCAAAGTCGAAAAAGAAGAAGAAGAAAAAGAAAAAGTGGGGTGCAGTTGAGCAAGATGATGTGGATCCAGTGGAAAGTATGGACACAGAGTATTCTGAATCAGAACCAACAATCCATGCAATGGAGTCGGGAGCCATGGGTTTTCCACCAGTGAACGTTCTAGAATCAGGAGCCATGGGATTTCCACCAACTCAGATAAAGCCTGGGCCCGTAGAAATTCCACCCAAGAAAGCAGCAGAGGAACCAACCACAGAAATCATCCCAGAAGAGGGTATTATGCATCCAATGGATGAGAGTGAATTTTCACCACACAGGGGTGGATTCAGAGGAAGAGGCCCCTTCAGAGGGAGATGGAGGGGGAGGAGAGGTTACAGAAGAGGGGGAGCACCACCATTTCATGGGCCTCCTCCTGGTGGACCATTCGGACCACTGCCCCAGTATCATGGTATGGAAGGGCCATATCAACAAGGATACTATGATCCCTCTTATGGCTATGACTATTCACAATTTTATGCTCAGGGTGGGCCCCCTCCAAACTATGGTACACCACCCATTATTCCTCAGGGTCCAACACAAAGTTCCATGCCTTCTGACCCTGCTGCATGGGCTCAGTCTGCAATGGAATACAAAAATAAACAAATGGCAACAATGGCAAACCAACAGCTAATTGATCCAAGCCAACAAAATCCACCTCTCCCACCTGTACCAGCAGAAAATCAACCGGATCCAAGTCAGCAGATACCCAATATTCCTATACCACCACCTCCCTCAGAACCTCCTCTACCATCCTCCATTCCTCTCCCTCAACCACAACCACCAGCACCTGATATTCCACTGCCACCATTAGATGTTCCACTGCCTCCATCTTCTTCCACAATGCCAACAGACTCACAAATAACACAGGATTTAAATGATTCAAACATGGACATTACACTACCACAGAAGAAAGCTTTAATTGATATGGATGTGCCAGCATTATCCCCAGCTGAGCCAGAGGAAGTGAAAAATGTTTCCGAGTGCATAATGCCCTCTGGAGAGAAGGCTCTTGTGGTAGAAACAACTCCTCTAGTGGGGCTTTCACCAACTGCTGAACTCTTGGAGATTGAGAGTAAACAAGAAATCTGTGATAATAAACTTTCTGACTCTACAGTGGATAAAGCAAAACCAGATACTTGTGAAGATAGTAATTTTGAAAACAGAGATGATGTTAGTGCATTCAAAGACACTATTCAGGAAAGTAAAGACACTGATTCTGAAAAGAAAGAGGACAGTAACGACAATTTAGAAAGCAAAGCACCAGTGAAAACAACAGCACAAATGCTTCTAGAGAAAATAGCAATGAAAAAGAAAGCAACTGAAGTGACAGAATCTGGAGAGGTGACAGAATCTGTGGTAGAAGGCTCAAAACCAAAGACAAAACCAAGCTCAAAATTCCTTTTGCAGCAATTAAAACAAGATGCAGGGAAAGTCCAGTTCAGTGTCAAACAGGGAGCATCTGGAACAAAGAAAGGAAACATTCTGCAGAAGACAGAAAAAACTGAAGCAGAAGACAATTCGAAACATAAGGGTGGATCCAGAGAATTGTATAAACCTTCTGCAGAGGATAAAGTGGCATTAATGCTGGAGACGATGACGCCAAAACAGAGGGATTCCTACATGCGTTATAAAGAACAACAAGAAAGAGAAGCAAGGAGAGAGGAAAGACGAAAGCAACGAGAACTGGAGAGAGAGAAACAGGTGGAGGAGAAAGATATACGGAGGAGGAGAGATAAGAGTGAGAGTATTGAAAAAGACATGAATAAACTAGACATTAAAAAAGTGTCCTCAAGTCCCAAAACAGACAGTACTAGTGAACAAGTGTCTAATGAGGACAAAAAGAGTTTAGGAAAAAGTGAAGAGAGAACTAAACCAGAAAAAAGTGATGGGAGTAAAGTTAGTGATGTTAAGGAGAGAGACATTCTGAGTGTGAATAGTGAATCTGACCAAGGTATCACAAGCATTAAAAACAATTCAGGTTTATCAGACAATCAGGACACACAGAAAGTCACAACTCCCCATACATTCAACGTGTCATCTCCTCAGCCAAACACAGACAGTTGTAATTCTAGTCAAACTCTACCTTCTAAAGTTCACAGTGTCAAAATTATTACTGTTGATAAGTCAAAGGACACAGAAAGCACATTGTCTGATAAGAAGAAGAAATCCAGATGGTCAGAGACGAAAGCCGATACATTGTCACCGAATGTGTCTAGTGGACCTCCCACAGCTGTTCCCATGGTAACAGATGCGGAGGTGTACTCACCTGATCATCCAACAGAATCACCAAAGACAGCAGTTACAGGTAATATATAAATAACCAGATGGTACAACTAATAGAGGATATTCAGTTTTGTAGTTGGATATTGAAATTATTTCATAAATGGGGCAGGATTTTTTTTTTGTATTTTTTATGAGTGCAAAGCACGAGTGAAAATATCAAAAAATCCTCTCCCATGAGTGAAATAAATTCCATATTCAACTACAAAACATTGAATTTTCTATTTATTTCATTTTCTTTGATTTTCCCTTTGCCTTTGTCTTTTCATAACGAAGTGTAGGCTTTTAAGGCATAGTTGAGAGGTTGTGAGATGTTACAGCTAAGTGATTGTTATGTTGAAAATCATAAACATGGATTTTAACAACAGTTTGGAAAACCTTTGAAAGATTTAATTGCTGTTAGGATGGTTTAATCACGCTCGCTATCTTATAACAAACCACTTTTGTGAAGGGAAGGAAAATCTTGAGTTTTGCCCCACTTTTGATATTTGTTCAAAGTGTGAAAGAATATCACATTGATATTTTTTCACACTGTGACAAAATATTACTTTTATTCCATTAATAAATTACAGTGTTTTCCTTTTGAAAATGTAATAAATACATGTATGTCATTTGATTACCATTTTCCATGTTTGCCAGTCAACTTATTTCTGTCAAATCTATTTTTAATATTGGTGAACTGTACTAGTGCTCCTAGTAAATTTTTTTGTTTTCAACAAGCAATACATACATGTATATCAAAATACATATAGTCAGTAACTTCACCTGTGTTTTATAATCCATCTTGTACCTGTACTGTACCTGTACTGTAGGGTGACCTTGATGCACTAGGATTACAAGAAATAATCTGCAGTCTGGATGGTTTTGACTACAATGAGCTCCTAGGTTCACTGAATATAGGTTGTTCTGATGTGCTTCTGTGCACAAGTTATAATACATGTACTTCATGGAATTGTGAAGTATCCTTGAAAAGCGATTTTTTAACCTGGTACATAAATTATAAAAACTGGTGTAGACACTTGACTGTATTCTGTAAGAAATTTATCAGTAGGATTCTTAGTTTTTAAACATAAGTATATAGAGTTTGCATTTGAACATTATTATCTACTTGAATTATGTCAAAAGAATATTGGTAACACATGTTCCCTAGGTTTATGATAAGTTAATTCTGGTCAGAATGTCTCGTCAATCAATTATTTAATCATAGTACATTATGTACAGGCCGCAGACACAAATTACAGCCGTAATAGACAGAAAATCAATAGATCAGTGGTGTAGGATGGTGAATCATTACAGATAAAATCTAACAATTAACAGTGGTTGTCCCTATGAACTACAGTTTTCAATCAGTTGTAATTCTATTAATGACATTTCGCCTTGTTTTAGAAATGTGTCATTTAGATGGAGTTTGCTTTCATTTTCATTTTTTAAAAACATTATTTTCAAAATTAACACTTCTGTTATTTTTCTCAACTTCTTGTAAGCATATTTAAAATTTTAATGTTAAGGAAAGGGTTTCCAGTTGCAATCCTGAATTACAGCTCTGTTAAATGTTAAAATGTTGTTAATGTACAGGAAACTCATACTACTAGTCAATTACAAGATTAATTTTGGTTTTAAAAAAAGCTGGCAAAATTGTCCTACTTTGTTACATTGTTGGTAAGAATAAAAAGACATATACAAAAGATATTTTGATATTTTTGAACTGTATTCACCCTTGACACTTTATTTTAGTATTAGTATGAATCTGGAGAAAATGTTTATAAAAATAGCTGTTTTTCTAATTCAAATATCAGGACTCTGCTGACATACATGTACATAAAAATAAGTACTATAGGGAAAAAAAGTTATTGTGATTTTTTTTATTTAACAACAATATTTCAAACATGCTGTCAAGTTTTTCTGATTTTAATATATCGTTGTTGATAAACATATTTTTTCAGGTGATTCACAGATGTACTCTCCAGAGAAATCTACCGGAATGGAATACTCCCCCAGTCACCCTACGGAGGATTACTCACCCAGCCGACCAACAGATACTCCTAGTCCCAACAGCAGAACAACTCAGGTAGACCAATGCAGCAGGCTCAAAGACTCCGCCATAACCTCTGACAAACAGACAGATAATCAGCCTTGTTCAGTAGAAGAAGGACAATCGCACAAAGAGAGTGGGGATGAAGATACCTCGCCAAAAAAAGCAAAGAAAAAGAAATCCAAGAAAAAATTACAGAGATCAGTTTCTGGATCTCCTGAAAGGAGGAAAAAAGAGAAAACGAAAGAAAAATTGGAGAAAATGTCACCTCAGATAAAAGAGAGTTTTTCATGGGACAGTGACGAGGATGTGCCGCATACAGATCGTGATTCTAAGCAGCATAATCACTCAAGAAGTACATCATATGACTCTGCTGATGATAAATCTAAAGAGAAATCTTTCAAAAATATTAAAAAGTCCAGATCACCTAGGCATAAAAAACATTCTCATTCTCGTTCCAGAAGCAGGTCTGTGGATAGTAGATCAAGAAAACGGTCATTAACTCCCAGGAAACATAGGTCTCGTTCAAATTCCGATAGCAGGTCAATCGATTCCATGAAAGATACTTGTAGGAAATATGATGTAAAATCTAGGTCATCCTTGAAACATAAAAGTAGGTCAAGGAGCAGGTCGACTTCTATGGGTAGATATTCCAGAAAAGATAAATCTGTGATTAAGACTTCTAGAAATAGATCTAGAAGTAGGTCAACAGATCTGTATCAAGAACGTGGAAGAAAGAGAAGGTCCACAAAAAAATATTCTTCACAACATTCTAAATCTAGAAGTAGGTCAAGAAGTAGGTCACAAGACTCAGGGAGAGATAAATCTGCCAAAAGATCAGTATCTCCAAAGTACAGGAAACAATCACTGTCACCAAAGCACAGGAAAACTTCCCGTAGTCGATCCTGGAGCAGATCTTCAGAGAGGGCTGTTGGGAAGAAAAAGAAAACCAAGAAAAAACAAAAAACTTACCAGTCATCAAGCCGATCGAGAAGTAGGTCTGTGGATGCTCCTTGGAAACAAAAAGATGACAGAAGTAGATCCATCTCTCCAAAACCAGGGAAAAGGAAGAAAAAACAACATAATTCTACGGATAGGTCTAGGAGTTCTTCTCCAGTGTATTCAAAGTCTGACAGAAGAAGAACATCAAACAGAAAACAATCCGAGTCACCCATGTCTTCCAGAAGAGGAAGAAGAGAATCACCAGGAAGGGGCGTACATAGTTCTGTCTCACCACGTAAAAGAAGGAATTCAATCTCTCCTGAATACAGAAAAAGATCTACTTCTAGTAAGAAGAGAGTTTCATTATCACCCAACCATTCTGATGAAGACAGAGGTGAGAAGACATCAAAGAGAAAATCAAGGAAAGCCAAAGATAAATCTTCTTATAAAAACTCACCTATAAAGGACTTAACTAAAGATGGAAGTTCATTGACCCCAAACAGAGGTCAAGAAAAAAAGCCAAAGGAAGATAAACAGAGAGAAGTATCTCCAGAAGTACTTAAAGAGAGAGCTCCAATATCATTCAAAATGAACATTAGTAAGCCAGTAAAAAAGGAACTACCATCTCTTGAAAACAAGTTAGATGATTCCATGGAGAAGGACATTGACGCAGGCAGTGATAAGGGAGATAAAACAGAATCAAGTGAAAATCTGGGGCATGAGCAGAAGCCTGATGAGAAGAAATCAGAAAAGCATGCTAGATCTAAGTCACCATCCCCTTCTCATATCTCTACACAAGCAATCAACAAGTCACCTGAAAGGGAATCTAGATCCAGGAGCAAGTCAGTGGATTCAGAAAAGGATCAAAAATTGTCCAAGAAGGCCAAAAAAGCAGCAAAGAAAGCCAAGAAGAAAGCCAAAAAGCTGGCTAAGGAGAAGAAGAAAGAAAGAGAGACAGAATCTTCGAATTCTCCTCTGAATTACAGCAATGAAAGTATAGATACTGATGAAAAGTCAATGGAAGTGACTGTAAAGGATGACAAAATAAAAGCAAAAGAGGATTCCAGAAATGCTGATGCTGTGCCAGGAAAAGAAGCGAGTCCAGAAAGTAAAAAAGTGAAGAGAAGATCCTGGAGATCTAAAAGATCAAACAGTGATGAGGACTCACAACAGACCTCACCAGAACAGGGTGCTACTAGAAAACTAAAGCGAATCAGTGTGGACATTGGTGCCATACCTCTACCGGGACAGGAGATCAGTAATGAACAACAGAAAGAGGTCAGTAAAGATCAAGTAAAAGAAACGTCAATTCCAACACAGAGGAACAAGAAACTTGAACAGGTTGATCCTATCATTACTGATCTCTCTTCAATTCCCATGCCTGATGAAATGCCTGTTACTAGCCACAAATCCCAAAGCATTGTAAGTGATCCTTCTTCTATAACCACCTCAGATACTCAGTCTGCTGGGAAACACGATGTTGGAGAATATCAAGGACAGGAAGAAACCTCAAAAACCAGTGAAAATTCTGATGCCATAAAGAGTTCTGAAGACTTAAATTCATCTCAAAGAGAGCAGAAATTAGATCCTGAGGATGAATCGGAAGTGAAAGAGCCAGAGAATTGTAAACTAATGAGAAGAACGTCCACAGATACAAATGAGGAGAAAATAAAAAGAGAACTAAAGAAACTGAACATAGATATGGTTAAAAGTACTTTTGATCTTGAAGAGGCCCAACCCAGACGAAGGTCAAGAAGATCATATAATTCAACAGAAAAAGAATCAGAAAATGAATCAAATGAACCAAGCAAAAGGGCAACTCGACGAAGATCCAAAGCATCACTCAGCACTGAAGATTCCTCAGGAAGTGAAAACTCAAAGACTGACACTATTCAAAGTGGTAGTGAAACAGAGAAACCAAGTACTGAAACTGTTCAAGAGAGTCAAGAAATAGTTGTGGAAAAGCCCACAAAAAGAAAGAGGAAAAGCCGATTTAGTGATGTGGATGACAAGGTTGATGTTGATCAGATTTCATTACCTACAGAGACGAAGAGTGAGGTGGATCTCAGTAAATTATCCAAAGTTAGTGTGACATTAGAACCAATTCAGATTGAAAAAGGCAGTGCAAGGACACCCATTAAATTTGCTCTGGCCAGCGTAACTCAGGCAATTGGAAAAGTGAAATGGGAGGAGGAAGATGGAGACTCGCATAAAGAAACTGTGGAAAATTCGGGAGGAAGTTCAGAGTATATACCTGACAAGGAAGACACAGAGATCAGCTTTAAAGTTAAAGTTGGCAATGAAACCAGCATGCAGGAGGGTGAAAAAGAATGTAATGCAAATGAAAGTGTAGAAACCTCAATTAAAGTTGATGTGCCGAAAGTTGTTACTTATCCTGGGTTGTCCATACCTAGTGTAACAGCAGACTCCATAGTAGGAAATGAAGGTAAAGGTGCAGCATCTTTGAGTAAAGATGATGTATTTCAGACTGCTTTGAAAAAAGCAAAAGAGTTGGTGGAAAGTAAAGTCATGGCAAGTGTAGAGGAACATAAGAAAATTTCCTCAGATGTTCCAACAGGAGAAGACAATACTGAAACAGTAGATATGGAATGTGATTCCAACTCAAACAGTCAGGAACCCTTCATCCTCCAGGGGAATGAAAATTACCCTCAAAACTCAGTACCAAATCCTCCTTTGACAACATTCCCAAAATTTACTGCAGGCTTTTCCTTGGAGAGCATTATTCCAGATTTTGGTATGCCACTACGAGACGGTCCATCATCCACAAACAGAAAACCTACTCCACCAGCACCTGTGCCTCCTCTTCAAATGAACATTCCACCACCTCCACTTAGTGGATCATTAGCAGCCAATTTCCCCATTCCTCCACCCCAACCTGTTGCTCCACCAACTTACTCCATTTCTATGAACCATCCATCAATAAATATTCCATTGCCAGGAACTGCTCCAACAGTGGCACATCCACCCGTTACATCTTTTTCTAACAGTCATCCACCAAAGATTTCTTTACCTCAGCCTACACCTTTGTCTGTTCTTCCTACAGATATTCCATTACCACCTCCACCACCTGAAAAAAAGACATCAAAGGAAGACAAGGTAGACATTTATAAGGCCTCTGCAGTTCAACCACCAAATCTTCCATCTGATATTCCTATGCCACCTTCTGAGAAGACAAAAATTTTGTCTAATTCTCCTGCTTTACCTATGCCCCCAGAGAAGACAAAAGCTTTAGATAATCCCCCAATACCTATGCTGTCAGAGAAGAAAAAACCTAACCCTCCTGATATTCCATTGCCAGAAGATGTTTCTACTGAACACACTGCAGAAACATACCAAGAGAGAGGCATGTCTGCCTCTGTGCCTTCAGCTGAAGTTGACCCACTTCCAGAAGTCATTCCTCTTCCTTCAGAAGTCAAGAAAAACAAATCATCTGAATCTCTTGAACCTGTAAAAGTTGTCTTATCTGAAAAACAAAGTACTATTCCTCCAAACTCACCGAGTATGTTACCAGAACAAGAAATAATAATCACAGAGGCTACAATAACAAATATTGATGAATCTTCAAAGAATATTTTTGCATTCAATCAACAGGCAGAGACTGTCACAAATATTTCAAAATTGGAGGAGAGAGTATCTGATGCAGATGAGGCAAATGCTGAGAATGTTAATGCATCAAAAGACACCAAAAACCCTTCAGTTACAGACGTACAACAAATGTCTTCTATTGAACTATCAAAACAGGCCCTGTTAGCAAAAGTCATTGCAAAACAAAAAGAAAGTCCAAAGGAGAAAAAGTTAGCAATAGGGAAAATTTCTCGCACTTCACATGTAGAGAAAGGTAAGGATGAATCAGAAATGAGTCAACCTATGAAGAAGACACCAATGATAAAGATAGGCCCTATTGTGATGAGTAAAGGTAAAGACTCGGACACTAGTACTGCATTGGGTGAATCTTCAGAGGATGGTGAAATCAAGTCTGAATCTGAGAATGAAAGCCATGGTAAACATAGAATTGCCTTTGATCCAGGTCGAAACTTACCCATATCTCCCTTGGTAATGGAAAAATCTCGTGAAGACTTGAATCCCGCTTCCTCTGGGTTTGGAGTAATACCAAAGAAAGTGATAGCTCCTCCTACTTTTGAAGGAGAAAATCCTTATGCAGAATCAAACCCACACAATGCATCAAGTGCTTCTGAATCGGATGAGTCCAAGTTTGATGATAGAGAATATTATAAGAAAGTGGATGAATTTCTGAAGAAAGTGGAAAAGCCTAAAACAACAGTGGAAAGAAAGTTTGATGAATTTCTGGAAAAGGTTAGAAAACCTAAGCCAGATTCACCAAGTTTAGAGGAAAAAGTAGATGAATTTTTAAAGAAGACAGAAAAGAAGGACTCAAGGGAATGCAGCTACGATGAGTATACAAGCAGCAAACGTGATAGAGATGACTATGACAGATCAAGGGATAGAGATAGAGATCACAAAGATAGAGAATATAGGGACAGAGAAAAGGATAGAGACACCAGAGACAGGGATAGGAAACGTAGAGATAGAGAATATGAGGATCGGCATAGAGAAAGAGATAAAGAATATGATGAAAGACATAGAGAAAGAGACAAGGAATATGATGATAGGCGTAGAGATAGAGACAAGGAATATGATGAAAGGCGTAGAGATAGAGAAAAGGAATATGATGATAGGCGTAGAGAAAGAGATAGGGATCATGATGAACGACAAAGAGATAGAGACTATGTGGACCGACATAGAGAAAGAGAACGTGATGACAGGTATAGAGACAGAGATTATGAGGACAGACACCGGGAATATGATGATAGGCATAGAAAAAGAGAAAGGAGAGGTAGTAGAGAAAGAAGCAGATCAAGGGAAAGGTATAGAGATAGAGGAAGAGAAAGATCAAGAGAAAGGAGCCGAAGTAGATCTAGAAGTAGAAGTAGAGACAGGGATAGGCGACATTATGAAAGGAGGTCCGGCAGAAGTAGACCTGAAAGAGAAGAGAGACGACACAGGGATAGCAGCGATGAGGAGCGATCACCTAAACATAGATCAAGACGCAGTAAGTCAGATAGAGAGGAAGAAAAGAAGAAAAATCTTACTGATGAATGGCTGAAGTTTGAGAGCCAGTTAGCAGCCAAAAAGAAAATGTTAGCAGAAACAGCTGCAACTTCCTCAGCAACTGCAGCACCTCAGCAACAGCCTGCAGTGCAACCAGCACCAACTGAATACTACCAGGATGCATATGGTAATTACTACCCTGTACCAGTGACCCAAGCAAATACCAACAGTGCCTACCAAACGTATTCACAATATTCAAATGTGGATCCAAACACTGGATATCCAGTACCTCCTCAGCAGACTGTGATGTCTCAGCCTCAGGTCTATCCTCATGACACATATCCTTCAATGCAGCAAGTACCAACCCAGACCTCTAACATGTACAATGTGCCAAATACTCCAGTTTACAATACTCAGGGACAGCCTGTTCATCAGGAAATGGTTTATGGTCAGGAGCAGACACTTCACCCTCCAGTCCAACCAACCCCTACTGCGGTGCCAAGAACAGCTGTTGTGTATGGGCACGTACCCACTCAGCCCAGTATTCTGTCAGCCATCTCTTCACCAGCTGTGGTACAACCTCCTCCGAACACCCCTGGCTATCCTGGTCAGCCAATCCAGCCACTTAATCAGGTATGATATTAACATTTTTCCAGTTTCATTGGTGCATTTATTTTATTCATGTACAAAATTCCTTGTAACTTTCTAATTGTCCCCACTAGGTAATTTAAGAAAATTTTCTATTAGAGAAACACACTTTTAAATGTTTATTTTTCATGTTCAGACATTATATAACACATATTAATGAATTTTGTTTCAGCCTGAAGTTGGTTCAGTTCCTCCAATGAACCGCTTGCCAAACATTGTACCTCAACAACCGGGTATCCCAAGATTCCCTTCCAAGGTCCCAAGCACAGCTGTCAGGCCTCAAAGAGTAAACTCTCCTCCTATATTTACACCTCCAGTTCGGCCCAGTGGATACATTTCACCTCAAATAACAGAAGAGAACAGGGGTGAGCCATCCACTCCTACACCTTCTGATGGTGAAGATGAAGAAATGGCGACTGGTGAAAAGAAAGAGGGAGCAGAGCCTCAACCCTCTCAACCTGTGACCACCTCAGAGATCGAGGGATCCTCACAACCAGCCCGTAATGTCAACAGACATCTTCCTATCAAACTGGGCTTCAAGCAAGCCATTAAAGACAGTGAAATATCACACCCACCACCGTCCTCTTCTCCACAGGTCAAGGAAGGAAAACCAGAGAAAGTCAAGTCCAGATGGAGAAGATATAGTGAACTTGACTTAGAAAGTCCCTCAAGGAGTACTATGTCTCCATCTCTTGATAATGTGTCTTCCTCCACATCTCAGTCAGAAACAGAAAATGTAGAAGAAAAGGATTTATCTGATTTAAGGAAAGTTGTGGAGAATTATGATGCTTGGGATCCATCGTGTGATCTTCTAGGGATACCATCATCAATTCTAATGAAACCAGAGACTCAGAAGAAAGAGAAGAAAGATAAAGAAAAGCAGATGATACAGAATGCCGATATTACATCACAGGTCACAGAGGTCAAAGCTGAAGATAAGGACAGCGGAACGAAGAAACCACCATTTGAGAATATAGATGATAATATTTATCTTTGTGAAAGGTAAATATTTGTTATAAAAATCATTTGGAATATTCAACATCTTTAAAATTTGTCGAAACAATTTTACTTATCATAAGATATAGCACTGAGCTCAGAGACCCTTTTTGAAGTGTATGTATATGTTTGGGGAGGGGGGATCTTGTAATTGTTCATAAAATTTGAGACCCTCTTAAACTTTAATATCTGTGGTGAGTTTCCTGAACTAAATACTTATACAGATACTTATAAAAGATATTCTTCTTTTCTCCGAATAATAGCACAGTTTTGTGCTTTGATGATAAAACACCGAGTACAAAGAATACATGAAACATGACAAAATACCTGATATGTTTTTTTCGTTAAAAGGTAAAATAATTTCTTCAGAGTATATTTTATTAATTTGTGAAAATACTTGTAGATTAAGACTGAGAGCCTCCTCCCTCTCAAACCCTCAACACCATATAGATTGAGGAATGCCCATAACCAGACAAAAACATGAACACACTCTTGCAAATAATAATGATTGAAAGAGCTTTTATATTTAAATTTTCCTCTGTAATTATCCATCATTACTTTATTATGACCTTCAAATAGGAGAATGTTTTAATTGGCTTATTCTGTTCTCATGTCCAATCACATTATCACCTACTAATTTTCAAGATTCTATGAATGCAATGATTTCAAAGAAACACTCTCCTTTTTTATCATGTAGACTTACGTAGGCCTATCAAAGATAAAACTAACAATGAGTATTATTGTTATTCAGGAAGAAGACAAAGAAGATGAAGGATGTCAGAAGGATGCTTTGTGACTGCACGACTAGTAAGGAGGATCGAGACATGGGGTACGAAGCTTGTGGGGAGGACTGCCTCAACAGGATGTTGTACATTGAGTGGTAAGATAGGTCTTTACTAGACAGGAAAAATTAATGTTTGAAGTCCAGAGTTTATTTCTGTCATTGATATTGGAAGGTTTTTTTTTTTTAAAGTAAATATTGGTTCAAATACATAACTTTCACACATTTTAATAGAAATTGGAGATATTTGGCCAACTTCTTATTAGTAAAGTTTGGAGGATGTTAGGGGAGGAATAACCACCACCCCTCACCCCTGACCCCTTCTTGTAATTTTAATGTTAATGGCCATTGTCCTTTGCAAATATGTACATGTAGCAATTTTTTTAAGTCAAATGTTTAATCTTTAAATGACAACATAGGATTAAATCTAAATTTCAGTGGAAGCAGATGTCCATGTGGAGAATATTGTACAAACAGGAGGTTCCAAAAGGTAACACAGACTTTTTATGTCATTTTCCAGCATTCTTTCTCAATAGATATGCAATAAACAATGAAGAAAAAGAATTTTAATTGATTCTGTTTTTTCCCTCAAGAAACAATATGCTGATGTAGAGCCATTTGAGACAGATTGGAAAGGAATGGGATTAAGAACGAGGGTGGCACTTCAACCGTAAGTAGCTTCTGGTTTTTAAGCCAAACTCTGTTGAGTGTTTAATGCAGATTAGAAAAGGTTATTTGAATCTCTATGTCAGGTGATATATTACAGCTGTGATCTGGATTTCATTTTCCTTCAGGGGTGACTTTGTGATGGAATATGTAGGGGAAGTTCTGGATTACAAACAGTTCAAGTCCCGAGTGAAACTGCAATCCAAAATGGGTCAGGAGCACCATTACTTCATGGCCTTAAACTCGGATGAAGTCATTGATGCCTCGTACAAAGGGAACGACTCAAGATACATGAACCATAGCTGTGATCCAAACTGTGAAACTCAAAAGGTTTGTTTACAATGTCTTAATTTGAATTTTAAACCAGTCATAATGTTTTGAATCAAAATTTGACTCAAAGCAGAAAACAATTCTGTTTTGGGGGTCAAGCTTGATCTTATTTTCCCTCAATGACCATTTTAAATGTATCTTTTTTCTTGCAGTGGACAGTAAATGGGGTCCTCAGGGTGGGATTTTTTGTCAAGAAGGCAGTAGAGCCAATGACAGAGCTCAATTTTGATTATCAGTTTGAAAGATATGGGTAAGTGAAGGAATAATTGTTCTAGCCAGCAATATGAAAATCTGTAGTTGCTTTTATTGTTATGATAAACATTTGAAGAGTGCTTAACTGAACTTTTTACTCATGGTTGATTTTAATTTGGCAATAATTCTTCAGTAAAGAGGCCCAGAAGTGTTTTTGTGGTTCTGAGAACTGTCGGGGTTTTATTGGAGGCAGTAAGACCACTCCACTCCGCTCTACGAGGAAACCTGAGGAAGAGAGGAAGAAAAAGACAGAATTTGAGGATGATCTGGTGGGATATTCTTACATTTAAGTGGAATTAAAGCTTTTACAAGTTTCATTTCAATTTAGGAAAATAAATGTCTGGGGAGAAAGAAATTGGTGGTTAAAGGGAGATAATTGAAAAAAATTATGCCTCATTTAGATGTATAACAATGTAAACATTAAACAATTTTTTTTTTTTTTTTTTGGACAACCGTCAGTACTGTCCATATCAAAGATCTTTTTGTAGTTCATTATGTTAACTGTTCACATGTTAATTTGTTCAATTGTTAAACTCTCATTGTACTAAAATACCTCATGTGGGGGCTTTAGTAAAATAAAAAGTTTCAAAGTTTCAAAGTTATATGTTTCAAAGATTTTTACTCTTTTTTATGTATAGCTGGATGAGGAGCTGGAGGCTATCACAGAGTTGGAGAATGGTCTGAGGAATAAAGATCATGTCCTCAATATCTGTCGTCTGATGGTGAGGGCAGAATCACCAGATCACAGAATCACAATCCTCAAGTGTTTACAAGTATGTAGTTAGTGTTAGTCTCTGTGTTAAGTTTACTTGAATGTACTCTTTTATGAAAATGTACAACAAGCTTTGAATTATGACTGTTTTATAATTCTTGCTTAGCCTGGGTATAAGTTCTGTGTACTGATATTTATATTCTAAGAGATGTAGAAACAAGAAAATATTTGTTTATGAAAAAAAAAACTGTTATACAGTGTGACTGTGTATATTGTAGGATACTGTTTGGGATAACTATTATACAATGTGTATATTGTAGGATACTGTTGAGGATAACTGTTTACGACTGTTTCTGGACTATCATGGCCTGGAATTACTATGGAGCTGGATCACAGACAGCAAGGAGGGACCAGAGGATGTCAAAATCATGGTCAGTTTTTGACAAATATTTAGCAAAGTAACAAACTTGCATGTAATTGAATTAAATCACAAGTTTATGGTGTGTATTGATATTACTAGATCTCTTAATCTAAAAAAAAGGCAAAATGGCACATTTCTTCAAACGTGTTGAATTTTTCATCTGTTTGCAATATTTCTGTGTTCAGTTGAATAATATTCTTTTGTATTGAATGTTTACCATTTTAGTACACACATGTATGTATTTCATGTGAATAAAAATGCAGCTCTTTTGTTTGTAGATTTTATCACTTCTGAAGAAGCTTCCAATAACTAACAAAAACATTCTTAAAGACAGTAAAATCCTGCCATTAATTTGTCGATTGGCTGGTCGGGATGAGAATGATGACCTTTCAACAGTCACAAACCCCATTTTTTCTACAACCCTGGGCCAGAGGGGGGAGACCAAGTCAATTCTTTCCTCCTCAACAGGCAAAGACAAGTCACAGAAAAAGAGAGTTAAATTTGCAGATGAGGCCTCTAGTTCTGACAATGAGTCACATTCTAGTACCACGGACACTCTTGGTGATTCTGCCTCTGGTGAGTTAGAATCAGAGGCTGCCCCGAGGCCAAAGTCTGAGTCCTTATACAAACAGGTGCTTGATAAGAGCCTGGGTGTAGGTTCAGAGATGGATCAAGAAGAAAGTAAAGAGGCAGGCGAGTCATCTCCTGCAGATTCTACTAACATCGAAGGGGAAGAAGGGGAGGAGAGAAAAGTGTCGGAAGAAGAGGGTGTTATCCCTGGGGATGAGGAGGAGAAGAAGACTGGCCCAGGGGATGAGCAAAAAGGGGTCCCAGAAGATGAGGAGAATGAATATAAAGGGGAGGAAGAACAGAAGGATGAAGCTGAAATGAAGAGCGATATTGAACTACAGGCAGAGGAACTATTGTTCTTATGGAAAGACCTGAAGGTTAGTCATTTGAATTATTGTCTATTTGTGGAAATTCTGATGTCTATTAAGCACTTGACTTTACAGGTATACTCTTTATTTATCTATATTGTAGGAATTATTCAAGATTCCAAAGAAACAGCAAGTTGAAGAAAGGAAAAGAATAGAGAAAGAATTAGGTTAGTTTACCAGATACACAGTGAAGATATTAATAGAGATGCAAATGCATGTTATAAGTGAATACATATCATGCACAGATCTAGAGCCTCTCTTGGAATTTAAGAGTTATTAAATTTCCATGTAAAAATAATGAAAAATGACCTTGGACCCCCACCCCCTTCCAGGAGTCAGGGACACCTATTGGAATGGAGAGTCGTGTATCTGAAGAAAATTGACTAAGGAAAGAGACCACATTACCCCCCCCCCCCCCCCATTAAAAAAATTCTGAGTCTGACATTTATTAAAATTGATGTAGGCACTCCCCCCCTGGAATGTATTCCTAGATCTGGCCTTCATATGCTAAATATTTGTGTTTTATATCTATTACATTTTTCTGCAAAATGTAATAAATTTTGTTCATGGTATACATTTTAACAAGACAAAATTTTAAATATTCCAAAGGGTAAGGCTCAATTTGATTTCTTTGTATAACTTAAGTTTTTATTTGGCAGGCACAACCAAGGATATTGATTTAGAAACACTGGAAATGATACAAGATAAAAGCAAACAAAGAGGTGAATATTACATGTACTTCTTTTTTTTTTGAAAGAACTTATTTATGTGTGTTTTTGTGTGCAATTCATTGACATAAGGCTGTTTGTACATGTCTGTCTGGATATTTCAGCTGCTGGTTGGGACACAGGTATCAGAAAAAGGAAGAGGGCTCCTCCCCCTCCCCCACCAATGGATGATGATGATAGGTAAAGAGAGTACATCCTGTAGACTGAAACAGGGCAATGAATGAAGTAATATTAACCAAGTTTTTTTTTTTTTTTTTTTTTACAACTGCATGGATTTTCCTTCAAATTGATTGCTTCAATTTTTCCAAGTGATGATACACATATTAAGAAATTTGTGTCATGCTTTTCAGGAAAGTACTTTTACCCACACCACCAAAGATCAGCAAGGCGGAGCACCGGAAAATGTTTGAGGCTAAAGTAAAGGCTAGAGAAGAGATGGAGATCAGAGAAAGACAGCAACAAGAAGCATTCCTGAACCAGTTCTACAGTGATCCCAACAACATTCTGTACTTCAACAGGACACCAAACCATCCACTGTATGGCATGCCACCAGATCAACAACTACAGATCCTCCAATCCCAGCCATTAGAAGTCCAGTATCAGATGGTACAGGGATACAACTCACAGGGTAAGGAACAGATATTAGATAAACATTGCTTTTCATAGGAGTTTTGTTTTTCAAACTTGATACTGTGTGATTTGATACAAGTATTTTAAAAGGTTCTTCTTGAACACTTTTGATAAGGACATGTAAAATGTAATAAGAATTCAAAGAGATTCACTGTCAGCTGTGTACTTGTTCACTTGTAATTGAAGTTCGTTCTGTGTTTGACAGAGGTGGTAGAGCAGTATATTGACCCCAATACAGGAATGCCAATCACGGTGGAACAACTCCAAGCCATGTATCAACATCAACAGCAGCCAGAGGTCATGTATACAGAGGATGGACAACCTATACAACAAGTCTGGCCACAACAACAGGTAGTCTACTGAAGTTGAGAAATTATTTTGTACAACTTTTTATAGAATAAGAATGAAAAGTGACACTTATTATGTATGATACACAAGTCAAAAATATTGATATACATGTATCACGATATGTTTTTTGCATGTCAATACTCATCCCTAATTTGAAGTTGATCCAAGTGATCAGTAACTATTTATTGTTTGGAAAGTTATGGTAAGATTCAGTTTCAAGTGAAATTTTTGATCAAACAGGTCCAGCAGCAATATGTGAATGCTGAGGGACAGTTAGTGTCTGTTCATCAGGTAGACCAACACCTGGTGTACTCAGGGGTTCCCCAACAGCAGATAATGACCCAGACAGTGGAGGTACCAGGCACACAGGTGACCCAGATACCTGGACAGCCGGTCTATCTACAGCAGGTAAGATATGTTCTCAAAATTTAATCTTCAATTTTTTTTCAATATTTCAGAAAATAAGTTTTTAAAGACAATAAATCACCATAATATGCATGTAGAGTTTGCCAGGGTTTTCCACGAACCTTTTTAATTTGTATAAACGATATAGTAGTCCTTTTTTGAGCCACATTAAAATATTTAGTGCCTCGGGAAAATTTTTCTGTGCCAAGTAAATTTTACCACTGTTACAAGAGAGTGATTGGAAGACAGGATTAATCATCCACGAAAAATGAATTGAAAATAATGTGTATTAAAACTGTATATCTTTACCCTAGCATTTGGATTTGTTTGTCATTATGACAAAATATCAGTGGTCAAAAATTCTAATTTTAAAATTTTAATGATGGAGAACCCTTTAAAAATCAAATAATTCTTCTTCAATCATAAGGTATTGTGACAAAAGAACTCAATAATGCTTTCATTTTCTTGGCATCAAAATTTTAGGAATATAAATGTTTGCTAGTTTAGAGACATACATGTATGTTAAACATTCATTGTCCATTTTTCTTTTCATTTTAAGATGAACAACACTGGCTCAACAGTAAGACTGTGTTGTGTAGTTGCTATCTTATAGACCATAAAATCATTGTAGTTTTTTATTTCATCACATATTGAATTACATATAAAAAGCACTATATTATTTTTGAATTACATGTACCGGTACTTGTACTTTCAAAGATAAGTTGTGACAATTTTTAAGGACAAAATTACAAAATTTACTGCCTTTGTTTGCTTACAGAATCTTTCATTCAGTTCTGTAGCTTGGCTTTTTATTATGTTTTTGCAGATTTCAGTTTTGAGTGTATCTTGTAGATTAGATCTCCTAGCTCTGTGATGTTTGCCACCATTAATTTCAGTAAAAACAAAGAAAGAAAGCATTTTTTTGGTTTACATTTTTATAGATCTTTATAAATTATTTGTATAAAGCAAGTATATAAGGAATGAATTTAATGGCTATACCCATTTTATACGGTATAAAGCGGTTTATAAAAAAGGGTAAACTGTTCCAACCCACTTTGTACCGTATAAATTGGGTAGCTATTAAATTCATTCCTTACAATTTAATTTTCATTCATTTGTTGTAAGCAAAAAAAGATGATTGTTCTTATAAAATGACTTCAATTGTACAAAATTTAAAAGTAACGTCAGGCGGATCGATACGTTTTTGACGCAAGTCATTGTGACGTAGGCAACCCAATTTATACGATATAAAGTAAATTTTTTATCCAATCAAATACCGCGTTATAACCAGAATTAAACTGTAAGTATGTGGAATGTTGTTTTATTCATCTGTAAGTGACATTGATGGAAGGGCTCACTTCTTAAGAAATCTTTCATGCAGAGGGTTTTAAATAAAATGGATCTTACAAGTTTAATCCACTGATTAACAGAAATTGTTTTTTATAGAAATAAAGGAGAAAAATTTCTACAGTAGTTTTCACTTGACAAGTTTGCAATTATATTGTGTATAAATGAGATTTGCTACCTCAATTTTGTCATCTAATTTTACTTAAAGATTTTTTTTTTCTTTTTCTTCCATTTTTGCTTTAATTTATGTATTTATATACCCCAACTCTTTATAAATTTATTCACAGAAACTGATCAATTTGTAGAAAGATGTTTTACCATAGGATTTGCTTTATGGATATTGTTTGTACACAGAGTGTATTGTGTTACAGATTGGTCCATATGGTACTCAGACACAGCTAGCAGTTGTTCCCCCTGTTGCCATAGCCACCACTTCCTCAGCTGATGATGATGATCCCCCTCCACCTCCTTCACCCCCAAAACCAAAAATAGAGAAGTTGCCTCCCAACTGGAAGTCTGCCAAGGACTCTGAGGGAAAAACCTATTACTATCACACTGTCACAAGGTATGTCTAAGTGTTACACTGCAGTAATGTTTTCCATGCTTTTGTCTAGTGCCCCTCAGTTGTAGAGGAAAAAAGGAAGAGGGAATCACTTAACCTTTTTTGTGATAATTATTTCTTGTTGAATATAGAATATTTAATTCAAAAAGGGGACAGATTAGTTTGTACCTGTCAGTCAGTCAGTTGAAGTAGACCAAATGTTGTCCCATCAGTATCTTACTAACCCTTGATTGAAAGACATCAAACTTGATGCACTGGTTCTCCATAAGATGACTCAACGGAGTTGGGGGAGCTTATGTAATACCCTCGGCGTAGGTGTCAGCGTCCAAGGTTAAAGTTTTTGGAGCAGTTTTCTTTTCAAGTACTTCTATGCCCTATATTAATCAGAGATGCATGAAGGATGCTTCTAGTGTGTTTCATTGTACCAGTCAAGATTTCAGATGCTGCAGTTTCAGCTAAAGAATGACCAGGTTAATGTTTTTGGTGCAGGTTAAAGTTTTTGGAGCAGATTAAAGTTTTTGGAGCAGGTCTCATTTTCAAGTAACTATAGGCCCTATATTGACCAAACTTGCATATATGATATATGATACATCTAAGGATGCACAATACTGAACTTGCTTCGGATGCTGGATCTGACCTACATTTTCCGGATGAGTGACCAGGTTAATGTTTTTTGAGCAGATCTCATTTCCAAGTAACTATAAGCCCAATATTGACCAAACTTGCATGGATGATACATCTAAGGATGCATACTACTGGACTTGCTTCGGATGCTGGATCTGACTTACATTTTCTGGATGAGTGACCAGGTTAAAGTTTTTGGAGATCTCATTTCCAAGTAACTATAAGGCCTATCTGAACCAAACTTGCATGGATGAAGTATCAAGGGAAGAACACTCAAACTTGCCTTAGATGCTGGTTTTACTTACATTTTCTGGATGAGTGACTAGTTTAAAGTTTGTAGATAAGTCCATTCCCAAGTAAGTGCAAGCCCTATCAGACCAAAATTGCATAAATGTTGCATCTAAGGATGCACACTACTAGATTATTAGTTTAGTGTGGGACTTTGCCTTACTTAAAGACAACTTTCGTTGAGATGAGCTCTGTAATCTCTGATTACCTATGTTTTTCGTAAATATGAAATGTGTGCAGATGATTCGTACAGATGCTTCTTAATTTAGACAAACTCAGTGGGATCCACCTTCCTGGGATGGTATTGAAGCAGACGACTCCATGGATCTGGAGTCTCCATTGTACGAGGAGATTGTGAAGGTAAGGGTAAGTCTGATCTTATAACTACTAGAGATATATTGTTCTTACTATAGAATTTGAGTATCATTTCTGCTAATATTACTCCTGGTTAAAAATTCTGCCAATTTACATTTTCAGTTTAGTCAGAGGGTACAAAATTTTGCAGATTTGCATGCAAAACACAGATTTTTCAAATGGGTTTTCTCATTACAACACAGTTATGTGCAAAACAATGCACACAAATGACCCCATTACATTGGTATATATAGGTATACTGTGCATTTCTACCTGTGGAGATGATGCATGTATCATTTCACATGTCCAAATCTATTACAGGGCAAGAGTAAGAGGGCCACAACAGCTGCAGCAGACACATCCAGTGAAACTGTGAAGAGAATCAAAGACCAATTTAGACGACAGATGTCTTCCTATATTGTAGTGTGCCTGAATCCATTCAGAAAACCTGACTGCAAGGCTGGAAGAATCAATTCTACAGAGGATTTTAAACATCTGGCAAGGAAGGTAATGTACAAAAGGATAAAATTAAATTTAGTTTGACAATTACATGGGAACTGAGGCTAATGAGTCCTTTGATCGTTTTGTAAATTACTGCATTTTTTTCTTCATTGTAACTAAATGAATATCTGATTTGTAGTTAACACATCATGTGATGGCCAAAGAACTGAAACATTGTCGTCATGTGGAAGATCTGGAGGTCAACGAAAATGTGAAATCCAAAGCCAAGGACTATGTTAAGAAATATATGGGCAAGTTTGGCAGTGTTTATCGTAAAACGGGCTCACCAGATATTTGAGACATATTATCATAAAACAGATTAAGCAAATATCTGAGACCTTTTATCATAATACAGGCTCAACGGATATCTGAAACTACATTAAATGAATTGAATATACGTGCTTATTCTGATTTTTGGAAAAAGAATCTAAAGAATACTTGATGAAAGCAAACCAAATGTTACCACAATACAGAAAATTATGCGTTTTAACATTTAAAATGTAAAACTTGAACAGTGCTACATCCTCTAACTTACAATAGTCTTATGTTTCTTTGCCCAAAATATCCGGGATGGGAGATAATATCCAACACACAAGGTGTACTTATTTTATTGTTATGAAATTCACTAAATTTCATTATTTTTTCCTAATGTTTAAAATAGTTCAAATTTGTGACAGATAAATTTGACATATAGTATTAGAAACAAGGAAACAGTTCATGTTAAGAAAATGGACTTTAAGAGTATTGTAATATTTAATATTTAACAGTCAAATATTATGTTGATCTGTGAATGCATCAAACAGCAGGTTATCAGAAAAGGCAGCAATTTTTATATGGTTTGTATGTTTAATTGTTGTCTTCTAATCCAGCAGAATTATTGTTTTAATTGTGTGCATTCTTGAACCATGTGGCAATAATTGAATTGGCGTGTTTGTGTTTTGTTACAATTCCTTCAATTGAAAGTTAACATTTTTTATGTCACATTATTTTTACAACATGAATCAAATAATTGTGGTGGACATTTTTACAAGAGGATTTATGTTTGTGAATTTGTATGAGTGTAATTTTTGAGGTATTTTTCTTCTAAAGAAATATGTGTCCTATGTGTTTACTAGTATTAAAACTGAAATACATTTATTACAAATACTTAAATGGCATTTAAAAATACTAGTACTCCATAGCTATGAATGTTGAATGAAATTGTCTTTTCCAATAATAGTTTTCATAATGTGTCAAACATTGAATGAAGTGCTTATATGTTTCAGTCATTTTTTTTAGAGATACATGTAGTCATATGTAATAAATTTTCATCTATCATTTTGGTTTAAAGACAGATGTCCCTCATTTTAAATAAGTAAATGTACATACTCTGTTTTATAGATGTTTAGTTATTTTTAATTGATAAAATTATTGTTGCTGTGATATAACAGCAGATTATTATTTTGAATTAAATTGTTTTAAATTGAAATAAATATTTGTTAAAGTGTTTTCTCTCTCTCTCTCTCTCTCTCTGTAGTTGACCTTTGGTGTCAACCACACCAAAATATCAAATCTTGTGGGAATCTAAAGAAAGGGGGGGGGGGGAATTTCAGAGTTAGTAAAAGTATATACTGAAGCAACTAAAAAATGACTTTGACTGGAACACACACACACACACACACACACCCCCCCCCCCCCCCTCGGAAAAAATTCCTGGATTTGCGCCTGCAAATATATACTAAAATGAGCTAAAAGGTGTAGCTGCATAATGACCTTGAGTCTTAATATTGTTATCTCATACCCTAAGATATCTCCAAGATTTTCCTCTGTGCCACAAAGTTGGAGATACAGAAGTTTGACTTTCAGCTCTGTGGTTTTAAAATCAGGGCAAAAAAATCTGATGAAATTATACTATGCTTTTCTGATAGTGCTTTCACTTTCTTACCATCAGTGATGATTCTGTTCCCATATTTAGTGGAATTCTGCTAATTTGAATCCAATACTCTGATATTTTCAATAATATTTCGATATGTTGGTACTTTCTGTTTTTGCAGTGATCGATTTCCCTTTTCGTCTGGGTAAAAAATTCATGATGCATAGTCCACGTTTGGATCTAGTTTGCATTATCAGACACAGTAGATAAACACAAATGTAGGGATGATCCAGACTTCTGACAATGGTGTGGCTGTTCATTCAGCCAAGTCAGAATGAAAAAGTTGTCAAACAAACTGTCACACTTCAGTATTTTCATCACTCATTTAAACCTCTTTTGGGCTTCCTAACTGTACTCTGTGAAAACTTACTGCTCCTTATTAAAGGTTCACCAATAGAGATACAAGAACCACTGGTCTTACAAGGAGACTGAAGACATGTGGATCACAAGATATCAGAGGCTTCTCTTGCTATCAGTGGTTAGGTGTCTGTCAGGATTAACTCCATTTTCAAACGGAGAAATGACGCTACACTAAGGGAATAACAACAAGAGGCCCAAGGGCCTTGAATCTCTCTTCTGATAAACTGTACAACCTATCACTTCTATTTGAAGCCTCTAAGTATCCTGTATACATGTATTTAGATAAAGCCTTGAAATTCCAAAGGTAGGTCATCATGACCTACAATTTAGATGAAACACTCTGAGAACCCAAGATGGTTCTAAGCCAATAAGTACCTGAGAGTAGGTCATGGTGACCTACTTATCACTTGTCATTCTCTGAGGACCCAAGATGCATCAACTAAGTTTGATGATTCTAAGCCAATTAATACCTAAAATATTTTTTAAATTATAACCATAAAATGTCAAAAGTAGGTCACAGTGACCTACTTTTCAGATGACATACTTTGAGGACCCAAGATGCATCAACTGACAAAGTTTGATGATTCTAAGCCAATAAGTACCTGATATTAAATAAAGCCAAAAAATGTCAAAAGTAGGTCACAATGACCTACATTTCAGTCAACTCACTCCGAGGACCCAAGATGCATCAACTGACAAAGTTTGATGAATCTTAACTAATTAGTACCCGAAATATTTCATTATAGCCATATAAATGTTTATGGTCACGGTGACCTACTTTTCAGAAGACGTACTCCGAGGACCCAAGATGCATCAACTGACAAAGTTTGATGATTCTAAACCAAATAGTACCCGAAAATATTAAATACAGCCATAAAATTTCAAAAGTAGGTCACGATGACCTACTTTTCAGTTGTCATACACCAAGGACCCAAGATGCATCAACTGCAAAAGTTTGATGATTCTAAGCCAATTAGAAATATTTAATGAAAGCCATAAATATTCAGAAGTAGGTCACGGTGACCTATTTTTCAATTTTTGTACTCCAAGGACCCAAGATGCATCAACTGACAAAGTGTGATGATTCTAAGCTAATTATTATCCTAAATATTTCATGTTATAGCCATTTAAATTGAAAAGTAGGTCACGGTGACCTACTTTTCAGTAGACGTACTCCAAAGACCCAAGATGCACCAACTGACAAAGTTTGATGATTCTAAGCCAATTAGTACCTGAAAATATTTCATTATAGTCATATAAATTGAAAAGTAGGTCACGGTGACCTACTTTTCAGTCAATCTGCTCCGAGAACCCAAGATACATCAACTGACACATTTTGATGATTCTAAGCCAAATAGTACCCTAAATATTTAAATATAGCCATAAAATTTCAAAAGTAGGTCACGGTGACCTACTTTTCAGTTGACATTTTTTGAGGACCCAAGATGCATCAACTTACAAAGTATTATAATCATAGGCCTTAAAATGTTCAAATTATGCCTCTAAAACGCTTTGAAATCGAATGCCTGCAAAGTTCAAAAAGTAGGACACTGTGACCTACTTTTTAATAAATATGTTTTATGGCCCCAAGATGCATCATCTAACAAGATTTAATGAATCTGAACCTCTCAGTATTCGAATTAATGACCTTAATTGTTTTGAAAACGATTAGCCATGAAATTCAAAAAGTAGGTCAAGGTGACCTACATTTTAGTTGACGTACTCCGAGGACCCAAGATGCATAAACTGACAAAGTTTGATGATCATAGGACTTAAATTGTTCAAATATGCCTCTAAATCAATTTGAAAAAGAATGGCCATAAAATTTAGAAAGTAGGTCACCGTGACCTACTTTTTAGTCAAGGTCCTTAGATGCATCAACTGACAAGATTTGATAATCCTAGTCCTTATAGTAAGCAAAAAATCTACATTTTAATAAAATGTAATTTTTGGTCAACTTTGTAGTGACCTTGAGACCACGCCCTTTGTCCCAGGGTGATGCCTTGAACAATTTTTAATCTACAACATATCCTCATCCTTTTGTGTAAATTTGGTGATAATTTGCCCAGTGGTTCTTGAGAAGAAGATTTTTTAGCAACCAGTTCTTTTGTTTCTATTTGCCTAATTATCTCCCCTTGTTTAAGGGTCACAACCCTAGTTTTAGTATAAATGAGAGCCCTTGGGCCAAGGATATCCTGTGACAAATTTGACAATAATTCGCCAATGGGTTCTTGAGTTATGGCCCATATTCTAAAAAGTTTACGCACACCGCACAAATGGCCATAGCATTAGCTCTTTGAGCCTTTGGCTCAGAAGAGCTAAAAATCTAAATCTAGAAAATTATGCATATTTTATTAGATCATAATACTGCTAGATATCATTAATAAAATAAATATAATTTAAAACAATTCCAGATTTCTGCTAAGCACCTTAAGATTGAATTTCTCTATAAAAAGGTGACTTTCTTTTCTTCATGAAGCAAGATGTGTTTCTATTGTTTATTCTTAATTAAATGATAGTTTAAACAGTTGTGTCAGATAGGAGTGGTATACATGGCAAAGAAATGAACTTTTCTTTAAAATCTGTTTAAATATAAAAACTCAATCATAAATATTAGATCAATTTATTGTCATTCACCAACACATATAATTACAATTTACACTTACTTTGACTAACAAATAAATTACATTTGTATTTTATCAAACAAATCAGATGAAATCATGCACCAAGGCCAAAAACCATAACAATTTCATCAGATCGTTTGTAGTACAACCTTTCACATGAGAAAAAACATTTATATTGAATGAACCAAAGCTGTACAATTTGTCCTAGGGACATTAGCATGACTAGACGGTGGTGGCAATAAGGTCTCTGTGAGAAACCTCACCAAGAACTTGGTGAGGTATCTCACAACATCTCAGTGAGATATCTGACGTCCTTGTCCAGCAAGAGACACTTCTGTATAGATTGAGGCGTGTTTCATATACTCTGCATCTTCTTCATGAGGTCCTCTAAACTCTCACCGGAGTCCTCGACTTGAGCAGCATTGTCATCCTACACACAAATGAACATCAGGAAGCCATATTTAAAGGCGCTTAGACACAGATTTGAAGTTAATATTTACTCAAATTTTCTTTATAATTTTATGACTTGTATGTTGCTATAGCATTTCATACAAAAATTTGATAAAAATCTTGTTTTATCTGGAAGTTACTGAAACTTCGAATTTCTGGACGTGTTTGATAGACACATCCTTGCACTTTCACAAATTTTAACTTTATCCTTATTACTTTAGAAAAGTAGCAATTTTGTTGTTTATTAATGAAAAATATTAAAACTATAATGAAGAAATTCCAGAGTAGAAATGTAGAAAGCAAAATCCTCTCACCAGTATTGTCAGTCTGTGCTCTGTGGTGTGTGCAGAGTTTAACAATTGAACACACCTGGTGAAATGTAATATTAACAACAACAGAACTCGTGCCCTGTTTACAAAAACAGTTTACATTTCACGGGTGTATTCAATTTGTTAAACTCTGTACACAACTACACAACACTGAACACGGGCTGACAATACTTAAGTGAGTGGGTTTTGCTTTCGCACATTTTTACTCTGAATTTTCTGGATTATAGATGTAATACAGTGTATTATTCATTAATACACAACAAAATTGCTACTTTCCTTAAGTATTAGGGATAAAGTTAAAAATTGTGAAAGTGCAAGGATGTGTTAATCAAATGCCTCCTGAAATTCGTAGTTTCAATAATTTCCAGATTAAATAAGTTTTTAATTTTATTTTCATGTGAAATGCTATAGCAACATATAAGTTGTGATATTATACAGAAAATTAGAGAAAATATCAACTTCAAATCTGTGTCTAAGCACCTTTAACCCATTATATATTACATTCTCTCTTTCTCTCTCTCTCTCTCTGGAGAAACCAGCTAAATATAAACTTCTAACATCTTAATTAGATAACAATGAATGAAAATCATTTTCATATACAGTAAAACTCATTTAGTATGAACACGGATATAGCGAATTCACAGATATAGCGAATTTTTCTTGGATCCCCAGCTATATAAATTTAACGAATTTCTTATACAGATATAACGAATTACGGATATAGCAAAGTAATTTCACAGGTCCCAATGACTTTGTTATAACCGAGTTTTACTGTACTGTATGTTATTGCTATGAATCAGATCCCACTTTATAAAAGCTTTCCTTTGTAAATTTTCAGAAATGAAAGTTTGGAAATATAAGATTTCTTGCAAAGAAATGAAAACAAGTTTCCATCAGTAATCTCCTTTACTTGTGTGGGTGCTGGTTTTGTGTAGGCTACAGTGACCCCCTTTGTTAGTATTGGCATGTCTCCCTGGGCCTGCTTCAGTTCCTCATCAGTAGTCTCAGACACAAGTTCTATCCCTGTAAATGAGATAACTTGCTTATTTCATTGCATCCGAAATTTTTTTGCACAAGCACTTGAGATGCCTCAAGAAATTTTAAGGTATGATTGAGTATAGTGTGTGTTTATATATATTTGAAAAATATGTTACATTGGTGATTCTTACATAGGCAAAAGGGGCTCACATAAATTTTATATGAAATTCACATGAATTTCATGTGAATTCTTTGCATGAGAAAAAGACGAAAAATAAGACACATGAAATTTATGTGAAAACTTTATGTGATTTTGACATAACTTTCACATGAATTTTAAATGAGCATATCACATAAATATGGTGCAAAGAAAACTTCACAGAAAAGTTCTAAAAAAAATTATGTGAATTTTGTACAAACCAATTCACATGATATTCACATGAAAAAATATTGGCATAATTTTTACATGATTTTTGCATAATTTTCAAATAAAAAGAAAATCACATGAATATCAAGTGTCAGAGCCACTTTTCCCTGTGTAGCTACTATAATATGTACATATGTATATGTGCAATACTTTTCTTAAAGATGATATAGATATACATCTAAAATCTTCCATTTTATTATAAGCACTAAAAAATGATGAAGAATAATTAATATGAGTCAGATTAAACCATCAGGAACTGGTAACTACAAAACTAGAACCTCTGGGTTTCAAATTCTACTATCTGAGGATCCTTCCATCATGATTTCCTATATATATATCTGTGACACTGATAACAAAACAGAATTACCCCATTCATCATCATGGACAATGGCTTCTTCTACTTTTTCTTTCACTTCCTCTTTTGGTTTTGAGGCTTCTCTTTCCTATTGCAACAAAAATTAATAATGTAATAATGTTAAGACAATCAATTCATAGGGTAAAAAATCTACAACAAAGATCAGGCAAGTGCAGATCAATTGGATATTCTTTTGCATGCAAAACAAATCAATGTATTAAGACAAAGCTGTAGCTATAGAGAATATGAGAATTGAAAAAATATTTTGCATAACTTTAATAATTATCACCAGAATTTACTTCACTTCTTTGTTTGAAAGAAATATTTTGATTACCTGTACATTTGAAATGTTAAACCTTGATTTAATCTTTATTTATAACCCCTCCTTTTTTACGTCCTACAGTCTACCACTGTTTTCCTGTTCACAGATGTCTGACTTATCATTGCTGATTTTTCTTTATATAAGTACCTGGTAAAGTTTTTGCTGTCTTTTACAATGGTTATCATCACATTGTGGGTTTGGTTTCATGGCCATTGTTGGAAAAAAGTCTTGTAGAGCATTATAACCCAGATAGTATGTCACATCCCCAAACTTCAGTAAATACCTACAAATACATATATACATGCATAAAATCAATAAAACCAAACCATTCAGGATTGCACAAGCATAAAAGCATTCTACTGTCTACAGCTTGAAAATGTCTTCATGATAATGAATACATGTAATTTATACCAGTAATTAAACATTGATAAATTTCACTAACTTGTAGAAAAGGTACACATTCCACTTCATATTAATTACTTTTTAAATGGATGCTGTATTTCATCACAAAGATTTATGTTATTAGTACATGTAGCGGTGTAAAATCTAAAGTGGTTTATCTCTCTAATTTGACTAAGTTAATTCTGGAGCTAGCACAGAAATCTACAATAGCTGTGTTGTCTGGTAACATTTGAAATGGGAAGATGTTGTACTTGAGAGTTTGTACATGTACATATTTTGTACAGGGTTACTTGAGAGTATTCTGTACGTATATTGTACAAGGTTACTTAATTGAGAGTATTTTGTACATTTTTTTGTACAGGGTTACTTACTTGAGAGTATTTTGCACAAGGAAGCCTGCAACAATAGCCATTGTGGTGGGAAGACTTGCTGCACACACTCCTTCTCTTTTCAAAGTTTTCTCGTCTGTATTTGTAGCTACAACTAATGGTGGAGCACACTGAAAAAAAAAATAGTTTTGTTATAAGACATACAAAATTAGTTTTTCTCTACAGTTCAATTCTGATCCCCTCAAAAAAACAAAGGGATGTTAGGAGATACAAGAAGGTGGTACACAAACAGACAATAATATGAAAGATTTTAAAAGAAAAGGATTTTTATTCCTATCTCAAGGATATAGTGGTACAAGTATCTATAAAACTGGTAGCTATAAACTCGTCACCAATGTCTCTATCTATTGAACTATTAAAGATAAAATATGGTCGATAACATATCAAAGTACTTAAACACTTGCATATCTCTGACACCCCCCCCCCCTTTTTCTGTATAATGATAAAAGTTTCCAGTACTTTTATCACTGACTTTGAGGTTAGCATTTCTTTGAATTTTTGAAGAAATATAGACTTACAGCAAAACAAGAGGTTTCCCCTGGAATGATAAACTGTATGTGTCCTGAAACGGCATTCTCACTGACTCCCGACTCAATCCATGTTTGTCCAATCTCATTACAAGCCTAAAATCAATGTTGTGTACACTAAATGTAGGTAAACTCAATTGAATTAATAGACTGTTTGTAACTTTCTCAAATAGCTGAAATTCTCCTTACAGATGCCCATACTTTATTATGCATTAGTACTTACAGTATTTATAGTCATTCTTGCTTCAAAATTATCTACACAACTGAGAACAAGATCTACAGGAGTATCCTTTGTCAATCCACCTTTCCTAAAACATTGGAAAGATAGCTAGTTTTACCATGTTGAAATCTAAATGTTTTTTTTAGAATATACACAGATAAAATGATCATGCATTCTTCAAATTTCTCTTACCTAATTTTGTCCATAAAATGATTAAAATTATCTACTGTTGTTATGTTGTAATTGTAAACTTCAAACTCCACATCAGGATTTATCTCCCTTTAAACGAATAACAAAAAATACTGGTATTAAAGATAATATAGTACAGGTGCATCGTACTTAAAAAAGGTAAATAATTATACGTACACAGAGAACTAGACACTCACTTTAATGTTTTTTCTGCAGCTTCTACCTTGCTCATACCAGCTTGATGTGGTTGAAAGAAAAGTCTGTTCATGTTGGCAAGTTCCACTTTATCATAATCAAACAGCAACAACTAAAGTTAAAATGTTAAAACTTTATCTCACAAGTCAATAATTATGTAGCTTGAAAATCATGCTGCATAATCTACATTTATAAAGATAACATTCTCAAGGGATTAATAAAATGGAATTTCAAAAAAAAATGAAATCAATACATATAAGATATTACTTAAAAAACATTAGGTCTGGTCAATAATTATGTAGCTTGAAAATCATGCTGCATAATCTACATTTATAAAGATAACATTCTCAAGGGATTAATAAAATGGAATTTCAAAAAAAAAAATGAAATCAATACATATAAGATATTACTTAAAAAACATTAGGTCTGGTACTTATTTTTTTTCTCTTCAATTTTTCTAGACAGAAGTGCATTTCCGTAAATTTAAAATTTTGGTCTGCAAGTGTTCAGTATTTTTTAGCCAGGGAAATTATCATCAAGGACTGATGTCCAGATGACAAATATTTCCTCTCACACTATTAAAATCTTGTGCCTTAATTGTAATTCAAGTTGTTAATTCTTTGCTTACCAAAACAAAAGATCTTTCGAGAACGATCATGTAACTAATCAATAATACGAAGAGGTGAAAGCGTGAGTTTGTTTACTGAATAAAATTTCATAATTTAACCATCTTCTTTCTTCATGCTATGTTCGAGCATTTTGTTTATTAATTTATTGATAAGTACTGGTAGACTATTTGACAGACCTTCTAGCACCCAAATTTTGTCCAAATCACCAACTTGCCACATTTTTTTCAATATGCACCTGCGAAATTCCATGTTTATGATTGGAATAAAACTAATTATACATCTGCAACATCAGCAGACTTTGTAAATAGAATTATTCCAATTTCTCTGTGGAACAAAAAGATTGGACTATACAGCTTAACATATACCCAACTTCCATCATTAAATTTGATGACGCTTGTTCTTGAGATACAGTCAAACATCATTATCTAGAACTCAATGGGATGAAGAGAAAACTTTGAGATATCCGACGATTCAAGATTCAAAGATAAAATACTTTAAGAATATAAAGCGGTTGGGACTTCCAAATCACTTTGACATATATCCATGGTATTTGAGATATCAGTCTTCCAGAAACTGGAAGATCAATTGTATATCAGTTGATGTAGTACCTTCCCAATTCCACACCTGGTCAACATCTCTGCTGTTACACTGCCTACTCCCCCTACTCCAACCACTGCAACCGTAAAGTCTCGGATTTTCTGTAAGAAGTAGATTTATTTAATGAACTGTAAAGTCTCGGATTTTCTGTAAGAAGCAGTTTTAAATGAAATATTACATGAAGCTTCACTGTGACAGCATCTCATTATTTTTTTATTATTATATGGTAAATACATAATACATTTACCTCATAATTATCCACAATGCCCATACGCTTTAATGCCATCAATCGACTGAAATGGAAGTATTTACAATTATACTAACAGAATGAGGGAAATGATTCCCATTTTGATCTTCCCATATACAGAAACTATGTTCTAAGATTATGTCATAACATTACAATATTCTCATAGAAAAACCAACATATAACAATATTAATGTCTTACAATCATGCTGTAAACACTACAATCCTTCCATATGGTACATCACAAAGACCTACATGTTCAAGGTAAATTCTACTTGTCATTCACCTTGAAACAAAAAACGATTCATATACCTAGTCGATGATAACTCTAAGTTATGTAGTCGTTTCAACTCTCTTTTGGTATACCTGTATGGATTAGAATCTACAACTTCGGAGCTCATTTGTGCTATTTTTGTTCGCATAGCTCCACCTTTCCTCCGCTCCTCCCTTAATTCTCGCTCGAGTTCATGGATCTTTTTCTGTAAATCTTCGACAGAAGCCATTCTTATTATTTTCAAAAAGTTTCCTCTATAAGATTATTTAAATAAATTTCCTTTACTTGACGAAAAATTGAATTCACAGATCTGTTTACTTCCACGACGTGGAAAAGGAGGAAGTCGATGTCTTGTGTACCTTCAACGCTGGAGATCTTATCAAAGGGAGATAAACAAGGAAGTTGAATTATCTTTTATCTCAATATTTTATCAAAAGATAATTAAAATGGTAATTATATATAGAAAAAAAGTAGAAAAAATGGGACGGTTCCAGGAATATATTTCTTTGCCGAAAATGATTTATATAGTCTAAAAATCTTAAAGTTATTATTATTTTTTTTTGCATTTATTTTGTACAAACTTGGCTTTGAAAAGAAAATCTCAAACGCCCATTTTACTGAGGAATCTATGTACTTAGCTTCCTTTATCTATAAAATACCAAACTGATGCCATAACTTACATGAATATATGCTCTGTTTAGAATAAATGTATGGGTACATGGATATACATGTATGGATTGATATATATACTATATCTTTGCATGATTTTTACTCAAAACTAAAGTGTGAAAATCTCCATATAAAATTTTGTAAATTTATTTTAGGTCTTCATAGAAAGTGCTCAAATTTTGCAACTTTGTCAGAACTTGGTAGATTTCCATTACACCTTGATGTTGTAAAAAATATAATGAACTATGTGAATAGACTAGAAAATCTTGGGACTTCTTTCCCATTATTGCAGCATACCTTCAAAGTAAGCTTAATGCTAATACATGTAAATCGCAGTCATGGTATGGTATAGTATGTAAATTTCTTCAAATTGCTGGGTTAAACCATATTATTACCATAAATAAGCCATTATATTTCAAGAAAAAATGCAAAGAATTATTATATAATCATTACACAAATGAATGGTACAATATGAGAAATTTACAAAAAGGAAAACTTGAAACTTACATAAAATTTAAAACTAATTTGGTTTTTGAAAATTACCTAGCACTGTTATCACCTGAACAACGCAAAGTACTTACAAGGTTGAGGACATCAGCACATAATTTACCAACAGAACGAGGTCGTTACTTAGGGATTCCCAGACAACTAAGAACTTGTACAAATTGTTCTTCTCACCAAGTTGGAGATGAAATTCATTTACTCTTTGAATGCCCAAAATATAATTTACTTAGGCAAAATATGTATGAAAGTATACAACAACATTGTAAACAAATTTTACTTCTTGATAACATGAACAAATTAATATGGATATTGAATTGTGAAAATTATGATGTTCTTAAATCCCCTTGTGAATTGATCAAGGGAGAAATATAATGTGTCTTCTACATGTATATAGAATTTAAAAACTGTATACTTTTAACACTCAATAAATGTTAGTTTGGTCATAAGATATGCAAACATGGTGACTTATAAAGTACCAATGCACTGTCCCGTGGTATCTTTTGCAATTTAGTGGAATATATCTATTCAGTATGTATTTTTGTATATGTATATCTCTGGCTTTTTTGCATTATGGTACACGGTGGTACTTGTTTATACTTTACAATGTATTTCAAATTGTACATGTTAGCAATTATCTCAACTTATGAACCATGAGAAAATTGACTAAGTACATGTATATGTATTAAGAAAATGCTGAATATTACTATTATCACATTTTGTGAATAATTATTATATTTATATGTTCTGTTTAATAATCATGTATGTAATATGCTCAAAAGGGCCCCGGTTTGGAATAATAAATAAATAATAATAATATACTAGAGGAGACATTAATGAATATTATACTTTCATGTAAATTAGTTGAATCTGATTCGTCGAGAAACATTTGTTAAAAAACACTATTACCCGCTGAATAATGAAGCCACGCCCACCAGCGTAGCAACAGTTAACATTGCTTGACGACGGGTGTTATTCCAAAAAATATTGACTGCGCAGAATTCATGCGCGCAAGGTTCCCTGTAATATGTATTTGTATAAAACATTCAGTATAATATAATAAATACTGCATGTAGTTGAGTGTAACATTGAAAATTTTCACCCCTCGAAAACCATTGTCAACCTCGGCTGCGCCTCGGTTGACAATGGTTTTCTTGGGGTGAAAATTTTCAATGTTACACTCAACTACATGCAGTATTTATATATTGTTAATTATGTCCCTGACACTAGTATTCTACACGTACAGAAGTGTTGAACATTGTTGGGGGTGGGGTGGGGGATGGACGTTTATTTAATATGAAAAATGATTTAAGCTCAAACGTTTTTCTATGGCCATAAGTTTTTAGGCAGATGAACCGTTATGTGTATGTATGTATTTTTTTTCTTGAAATACATGGACTTATATCGATATCAATTATGGATTTAACATCTTCGAAAACCGCTTCATTTATTATTATCATATTTTTTTTTAAGATTTAAAAGTGTATAATGATAGTTGGATATTTCTACCATTATTTATTTTGCATGCACCTGTTTCTTTTTTCTTGAAAAAAGTCTTATTTTATCTGCTGTTGATGACTTCATTTTTATTTTGCATAAAATTTACATAAAATACTAGTATACGTACTATTTGGACATGGCCAAGAACTCAATATACATGTACAACATCGCGGTTAACGTCCAAAATAAACCGAATATAAATATTCACGCAACCTAAATAATTAATTATTTCAGACAAGGCTATAGATTTCTTCCCTAAAATGATTTCAGCATCGTCTGTCAATCAATAAATGATATTAAACATGTATTCCTTTTCCGGCTCACGTTAAAAATGATTTTTTAAAATTGATTTAGTGAACTTTAATCTTATAACTGAAAAACAGTGTTGAGAAAATACATATGTACCAGTGGCGGATCCAGGAATTTCATAAGGGGGGCGGGGGCGCAGTGCGTAGAAGACAGGGGGTCTGGGCGGTTTATTGAAGCCCCCATGGGTCCAGGGCAAAGCCGTAGCTGATGGGGGTCGGGGGCGAAGCCCCCGGAAGCTGACGAATTCTTACAAATAAGAGGTGCTTTTTCCTTGATTTTAGTATAATGAACATATAAGTTCTACATACAACAAATTCAAACGGGGGGGGGGGGGGTGTACACGCCCGGCGCGCCGGCCCTGGATCCGCCTTTGTGTACAAGGTGTACAAACAATATAATAAACAGAAAATATTACAGCATGAAGAAGGGATAACAAGGTTTACTAGTATTATATGATTGAATAATTCTTATCTCTCTGACTGGCTGAGATCCAACATTGTACAAAAAATACAATGTTATTTTCACCTGCACGTCACTTTCCAGGTGAATATAATACTTTTTTGGACGTAAATTTTTACTTTTAAGTTAGTATAAAAATGTTCATTGAAAGATTGGCCCCCCGTTAATGAACATTAACATCCTTCATGAGTAAAATTTGTAGTTATGAGAAATCTCCTCTCCAAAAATAGGAGATTTCTCCTAACTCCAAATTTTACTTCGGGAGGGGGGATCAAAAATTTTTCAGATAAGTTGTCGATTCTTTCTCCTTGTAATCCTCCCTTTTTTTAAAAATAAATCCTTTATACGTCCCTGAATTTAGTACAAATGTATATCTAAATCGCACCTACAATAGATTTTGAAACAGATTGTTATGTTTATTTTAACCCGCTTCTCTCGTTGAGTTTGGCTAGGACTTCAGCAAAAGTAAACACGTAAGATGACATGGATTGTTTAATGAATTTGTATCAATTAATAATTGAATCATATTAAAAAAAAATATTGTTTTTTTTTTCAGTCAGTAAGATGATTTGGCCTATTTCGAAGTACAATATTAACCTCGCCATTCGGGCTCGGTGAATATTGTACCCCTCAGGTGGCTAAATAATCGTATTGACTGAAAAAGTAATAATTAATTGTATAGAAGTTAACCAAGAAAGCAGAGAATAGTGTGATTGTGCTTTGCAAATACATGTAATAAATTGACATTTTGGGAGAAAAATCTAAACTGATGCATTGTATCTTTATTAGGCCATTAACAAACACGTCTTTTTATTGAAATTAAATAAAGAAAGGTCTTTATCCAATGACTTAAAAGATATCTCTTTAAATTAAATTAATTTCAAAAATAAACATGATTTTGAACAGAATGTTATTTAACTTTAACACATAGCCCCAGTTTACATTAGACAGGGAAATAATGATTTCCGTTGAAAGGCGTTATTACAAACGGTGGAAAAGAACTTGTTTAATGAAAACTTCTATTTATGCATTATTGATTAAGAACTATGGACAATAGTGGTAAGTTATAGGTTAAATTAGTACGCTATAACAACATATTGACGAAAACTGAGGGGAAACTAACCCCTTTTTGATCAAAGAAGAGAAAATACTGGAATTAATATCTTAGCTGTCTCTAATCAAGTAAGAATCATATTTAAATTCCTTCATGTTTTTAAATTAATTATTACTTAAAATATGATAAAAATACTAAAGCATCTGTAAATTTTAAATCTCTTAATAATCTAAACTAATACTCTCTCTCTCTCTCTCTCTCTCTCTCTCTCTCTCTCTCTCTCTTAATCATAAAAATAAGATAAGCATATATACATGTATATCAGAAATACCGAAAACAGTGCCAAATCAACAACTTACGAATTTCTGCTTGAAATGGCATTAGATTCAATCATATTCATTTTTGTTGTGATTTATGATACACAGTATTTTGTTTCTGACTGTAAACATGTTCTCCTTTGCAGAATGGAGAAGTCATCAAAAAGGCCCTCTGTATTCTCCTTGAACAGACCAAAGTCAACAAAGTCAAAAAAAGAAATTATGTTCGAACTTCAGAAAAAACTTGTAAGTAAATCAAGGTCTCCTGATTGTCACACAATATTGTCAACACAACTCCTACATAATTGAAACAGGGCCAATAAAACCTCTCTTGCTTTTTGTGTTTGACCACAACATGTCGTAGATGCGCAGTAAGATTTTGGATTTCAATGAGTCCAAAGGATCCTAAGGGACCTAAGAAGGCTTTGGTTTGAAAAATCACGCTTGCCAGTGGAACCTCCTACATTTTTAGTGGCGATTAGAAAAAAAAAAGGTTTCGTAAATCTTGAGACATGTCCCTGCAAATGTTAAGTAAGGTTTCCAAAAAATGCATGTGACATATCTAAATGTATATATAATCATTGGTAGGTTTATTTTAACCAGCGCTTATTCGCATATTAATTGTTTTTATACCCCCCCCCCCCCCGCTTGAAAAGCCGGGGGAGGTATATAGTGATGAGGGTGTCCGTCCGTCTGTCTGTATGTCCTTCCGTTACGCTTTGGGGTATACATCTCTTATCCGCAACTCCTTTTATATCATTGAATAGAATCTTTGTTACATAGTGCCATTGTGCACCTCCTATTTTACTTTTTGATCGGACACATATTTTCGGTTTCCAATAGCAAAAGATAAACACTGTCATTCTTTCTGTTATACTGAGGGGTACCCAACTCTTATCCACAACTCCTCCTATACTTAATGATACTTTCACAGAATCTTTGTTATTGTCATTGTGCACCTCCTATTTTACATTTTGATCGGACACATATTACAGGTTTCCAATAGCACATAGACAGTACCATTCTTTCTATGATATTGAGGGGTACCCATCTCTTATCCGCAACTCCTCCTACACCACTGAATAAAATTTAATGATACTTTCACAGAATCTTTATTGAATAGTGCCATAGTGCACCTCCTATTTTACTTTTTTGATAAAACACTTATTTTGGGTCTGCCATAGCAAAATATGGACTTTCTCGTTATAAACATATGGGAGACGGGTTGGGGGTGGAACATTTTGTGAGCTCAGTGCTCACAGTACCTATTTTACTTTTACTTTTTTGATCGGATACTTATTTTGGGTCTCTTTTAGCAAAACATGGACTTTGCAATTATAAACATATGGGAGACAGGGGATATCATTTTGTGAGCTCGGTGATCATATTACCTCTATAGTAATTCGCTGGGACATGTATCATCCTCACAACGTCAGGGGTCTGAGTCGTTGGATGTCCAACAGCAAAGTGTTGTCTCAGACCGGGTCTGACGTTGTGAGGATGGTAACATGTTGACTCAGGACCCCTGACAAGGTGAGGATGGTAACGTGTTGACTCAGGACCCCTGACAAGGTGAAGATGGTAACGTGTTGACTCAGGACCCCTGACAAGGTGAGGATGGTAACATGTTGACTCAGGACCCCTGACAAGTTGAAGATGGTAACGTGTTGACTCAGGACCCCTGACAAGGTGAGGATGGTAACGTGTTGACTCAGGACCCCTGACAAGGTGAGGATGGTAACGTGTTGACTCAGGACCCCTGACAAGGTGAGGATGGTAACGTGTTGACTCAGGACCCCTGACAAGGTGAGGATGGTAACATATTGACTCAGGACCCCTGACAAGGTGAGGATGGTAACGTGTGACTCAGGACCCCTGACAAGGTGAGGATGGTAACGTGTTGACTCAGAACCCCTGACAAGGTGAGGATGGTAATGTGTTAACTCAGGACCCCTGACAAGGTGAAGATGGTAACGTGTTGACTCAGGACCCCCTGACAATGTGAGGTTGTTAAGTGTTGACTCAGGACCCCTGACAAGGTTAAGATGGTAACGTGTTGACTCAGGACCCCCTGACGATGTGAGGATGGTAACATGCTTTTAATGTTGACTCAGGACCCCTGACGAGGTGAGGATGAGACATTTTTATAAATCTGAACATATATAGTTCACAAAACTTGCACACATGTTGCGTCTTTATTGAGTGGAAGGTTTAGATGGCAGGGTCTCCCCCCTCCACCCCGTTCATTTTTTTTAGTTAACAAAATTCTTTTTCAATTTTACAAATAATATATACTGAGTAACTCTTCAGCTTGTTTTGCTTTTGTTTGTGTTTTTTTTTTAGTTGATAATTCTTTTTCAGGTTTACAAATCACATGTATATATAACTCTGTGGAATCACAAACTTCGTAACAAGGGGGGGGGGGGTACATGTAATCATGTAGGTTTTCAAAATGATATATAGATAATACCCCCAAAATGTATGTACATGTACTGGCTGTTAACCACGGCCGGTCTCGCTTGTCTTGCCTCCTGGAGAAGCGAGATTGACCGTGGGTTTCCAACGATGAGGACGTTTTCACTTTTTCAGTTTTACAACGGGTATTGGATACATTGTACTTTCAGCTTTTTTCTTTTAAAAAGATATTTTGTATATATAGTATATATTAAGTATAACGGGGATAATTCCAGGACTGTTCTAGCTAAAATTTAGTGTCTCATTTTTGTGAAATCTAAAAAATACCGAATATTCGAATCTTAAATTCATATTCGAATATTAACTAATCGAATGAATATACGAATGTTCGAATATTCGTTGACATCCCTAATATATACTTTTTCACGATATAATGAATTGACTAGACCTAGTGATAATGCAGGGATTAAGAATCTCGCCATATTTGAATAGAAGATAAGCCGCAACTTTCAAAAGAACTTCACCTGATAATAAATTTACAAAATCTTTAATCTTTCAATTTCAAGTGTACTGAATATTCTGTAAGGCAAGGCTCAGTGGGGTCACAAATGAAAACGACAAATCAATATTTCTGATTAATGTGTACATGTATTTACAGCCACTTCATAAATGCACGTTTGACCGTCAGAGAAGAAGTTGGGTGGGCCCCGTTAAACCTCAGCAAACCCTCCCGTCCCGCTGGGCAAAAACCAGAGGTGCAGTGTTCGTGAGTAATGCAGTTTTACTATTTTTGGAAAAGACTTAATACGTATAGTAAATATATTTTTTTCATCCACATTTTAAACCTCTCTGTGTATTAAATATTTATTCGACATATCAGTGTAAATTGATAAGTTTTAACATATGCAAATGCAGGATTATTCAATAAATTCTCTGTCCATTCAACACTTTTATTCACAGTTTCTTGGTCTGAAACCATCTACCAGAAGATCGATAGATGTCGAAAATTTAGTGAAGGCTACACAGTTGCTGGTGAGTTTCATGTGACATTGAAATAGAACCCAAATTCATACGATCAAAAAAAGTATTTAAATCTGTCTGTTTTCAGAGATCATCAATGAATAACGATGACAAAAACGATTCATCTGAAAAAGATGAAGACTCTATGGTAAGTTTTTATATCGTCATGCTTGTCTGAATTTTGACCAAGGAAGACATAACATATTGGTAGAGCTTCCTGCTCTTTTTAATCAAACAGAACTTTATTATAATTATAACATATGTTAGGCCTTTGGCAAACCTGGGCAGAGCACTTGATATTTAGGATCGACCAATTAACAAATTAATGATATTTCAAGAGAAATGATCGGTGTTTCGTTGTAGGCTGCAATTCTCGACAAACCAGTCATATCAAAACCGTTCAAATCATCCAGTAAAACTATTTGGACATGTCCAAATGCACTGAAACCAGTATCTGAGAGGTATATGTTTACTAAATCATTGTTAAATCCATTATTTCGTAGAGGAAACTATTATTTTCACTTTACTAAAACGTCAGAACAACCAGAACTGAAGTGAGTACTTTTTTCTGCGATATTCTTCTCAGGTGCAAAGAATTTACGTTTGAGAAAACGAAGGCAAACCAGGGTGAGAAACAGGTGTCCGCGGCTACTAATCTACAGGCCGTGTATCTAAAGAAATTACTGGACGAGAAAGAGAAGGAAATCAAATCACTCCAGAATCAGCTTCATAAAGCCAACAATGAGAACGTGAAACTAATACAGGAACTAGAAGGGTAAATAAAGCCGTAAAAAAGACTAGTGGGTTAATTTAAAAGGAATCATTTATGTTGCCGAAATATATATGATTTAGCGAGAATATGAACGAGTGACTCGCAAACATTCAGTGAAACTTTAAAGCTGAAATATACTAAATTTAAACAGGAAGGCTTTTAGATATTTTTATTTCATTAGAGTCTACAGTTAAAAAAAAGATTTACAGATATTTCTTTGTACAAACTTATAATCTACATTTTTAGATACAGGGGAAAAAACTATGATGAAATGTATAAAGAGAATTTGACCAATAAAGACCACTTAAATCGAGTATGTCGGGAAAACATTCTGCTGCACGGACTTTTACGGAAGCAGGGTAATAGACGACTACAGAGACCAGAGGGCAAAGAAGCAGAGGAGAAGCATAATACGGAGCATAGAGAACGATTGAGACTGACTAAATCTGCCAAACCCAGACTGTATTAATGCTGCGTTTGCTAGGCTGTACATGTTGTTCCAAACACCGGATGACTTTCCTCAAAAGGAAAAATTAAATCATTTGTAAATAAAATCCACTGTCTCAAACACTCTATGTGTTAATTTTTTGTGGACGTTTTCATACTAAAATTGATTACAATTATTACAACTTGACACCCAGAAACATACTTAGTATATCATATAAAATTTGGTTGCTATGTGTCTTCGTTGCCATGGTAACAGTAGGAAAAGTTTGAAATATTGAGATTTTTAGCTTCTTTTAATATTTATTAAGCCTTAGTAAAGACCAAGAAAATCAAACAAACCATTCTCACAAAAATATGATACCTTGTTGCCACTTATGCTACAAAGGAACTACATGTATTTAGAATATATCTCTAAGTGGTAACCATGGGTACATAGAAGTTTTGGTTAAAGCTGCTATCTTGAGAAAAAAACATGGAAATTCAAGACTTGCATATATACATCTTTAGGACCTTGTAACTACGACAAGATAAGAAAAATTGGGATTAATTGCTACTTTGCAGTGTAACCATGAAAACAACGTATCAGTGGTTTAGAGTGATATTTTTTGCTGCTTTAGATGGAACTAAAGTTGAATATCATATATTGATGAAGTTTGATTAAAAAAAAATGATACTATTGCTATGGTTACCAAGAAGAGAAAATGTTCGATTTTGTTAACTTCATAGCAATATTTAACCCAATGTGGCAGCTTCTTGCATCCAGTTAGAGAATATATGGTAGTCAAAATTAAAAGTCAGGTTAGTTGTTCATAAATATCAATCATGAAAGTTTTGGGAATCTACATACAAGGGTACACGCATCCGAGGAAAAAAATTATTTTCAGTTTTTTTATAAATATTTTGTCCCTTAATTTCCATAGCAACGCTCTATATAAAGAGTTTAATTTGAATGTGTTGAAATGTGAAAATTAGGACCACACTAATGCCTTTAAAAATTTAACATTAGTTATATCGAAATGTGCTTTTTAAAAAGATAGGGTCAGATTAAAACATACATAGATTCCTTTGCGGTATTAAAACCATGACAATCATTGCCAACCAATTAAAAATATCACATTTTGTCCTTGGTATATGTTACAATGATCTTTCTCTATTATTTGGTTGCATTTCAACCTACAATTGCTTTTGTTTTTGAGTGTATGACTTTATAAAAATGAATGAATAAAATTATTACTTTTGAATACTAGTACTTAGTTGATTTCCCAAATACATGTATGTTTATTATTCTTATATATATTCTTTAACTTTTGGAAACAGTCATTACCACTTTCATGCATTGCAACAAACGTTAAGTATAGGACCCTGAACATGTCCAAAAATGCCATTTTTCAATTTTTAGGGCATGTTGCCATGGTAACCATGAAACAAAGCAACCAATTTTAGAAAGATAGAGTTGAAATTTGGACTTATTATTGAGTCATGAATAAGAATTAGATGACTCGACTAACAAATGAGACCAGAATCGTGTGTTTGCCATCCTACATCCCTTAGGTCTGGTTAAAGTAATCTTTTCCAGGCACTTAAGAACCGAGAGGGGGGATGCCCCAATATATCAATAATTTTGTCGGTATATAATGTATAATTGAAAAAGGCTTGACTAAATGGACTTCAAGTATTTCTCGGAAAGATACGAATGTTGTGTCATAAAAGTGTATTTTTAAGGTAAAATGGGTCTTTGCTCCATGTTTTTGTTAACCAAAATGTATATGTTTTCGAAAATTTTGAGGATAAGCTTTGAAAAAAAAGGAGCGAAGATCCAATCATATCGAAAAATTGTGTTTTAGTTTGAGAAAATGATCCTTTTTGCCCTCTATAGTGTGCGTATGCTATTTCATAGGCAAATGATTTCAATCTTGTGAGATTTATGCCAATTGTGGAGATTTTACATAAAGTATACTTTAATTTTAGATGAAATATCAAAGAAATATTTGATATAATTGAGATATAACTTTCCACCTTCATGTTTGTTGCACTATAGGCATTGCGCTCGCCTTGTTCGACCATCTTCTTTATATGCACTGAGTAGACCAGCCCATTTATTAATGATACGCATTTTGGTCGCAAGAACTTTTCACGAGCCTGTAAAGATTAGATCCTTCACTTTCCCTTCTCAAATCAGAATAGAATAGTAACAATTCAGGCACGTAGCAACGTTTTTCAAAAGGGGAATAATTGACAAGATACCAGAAAAAAATCACATGAAAAAAGGAAATTCCCAAACCTCGAAAAAATTATTTCGTTTTGGTGGGTGGGTGGGGGGGGGGGGGGGGGGTATGTTCCAACTTTCGATAAAAAAAAATTATTAGCACTACATTATGTGCCAGGATTTGTAAACAGAAAGTATGCATTTGTGTGTGTGTGTATGTGTGTGATACAGCTTGAAAATTTCCGTACCGAATCAACAGTAGTTCCTTTCGGAAAAAATGGGGGGGGGGGGGGCTGCCCAATTCCCCTGCTCTCTCCTGATATTACGTGCCTGCAAATATCATCTGTTTTCTTTTTTTCTGACAAATATAACAGAAGAAAAATGACCAATGTGGTTGCATGATAGTAGTTTTGAAAATATGGTGTCGAAATTTTCCAGTATGAAATTCAATAGGAACCCAAGCGTCTGCTTGACATAGAGTAGCAAGTGTTTACATGTTGGCAAGTCGGATGAGAGAGGTATAATATGTATGCTGTTTTGGATCTCGTAACCAGCCTCTATAACCAGGCAGAGCGCATGCGTGAAATAAATTTCCATCGAGATCGGAAAACAGCAGAGAGGAAATTCGGAATATATAATGGAAACTAGTAATGCGGAATGATACTATAGTCAGATGCAGAAATTTTTGCATAATTCCATCAACTTTTATTTAAAAAAGCAGAAGAATAAATGAATCAACTTTACAGTTAGTTTTTATTTATTTATTTATTTATTTATTTATTTATTTATTTATTTATTTATTTATTTATTTATTTATTTATTTATTTATTTATCTATTTATTTATTTATTTATTTATTTAATTTATTTATTTATCATTCTTATAATTAATTAACTAAGTAACTGATTAATTTATTAAAAAAATATATATTTGTATTTTTTTTTTAAATTCATTTATAACATTCTTTCCTTCATTTATTAATTATTCCATCCATTAATTAATTATCTATTAATTAATTCATTGATTTATTAATTTGTATGCATGTTTGTTTATTTATTTATTTATTTATTATTCTAATAATTAAGTAATTGATTAATTCATTAAGAAGTTCATTTATTTGTTTATTTATTTATTTATTATATTCATTCCTTCATTTATTTCGTATTCTATTAATTAATTAATTAATTTATTTATTTATTTATTTATTATTTATCTATTTATTTATGCATTCATTTATTCGTATTTTTATTTATTTCTTTATTTTTTATTTCTTTATTGATTGATTGATTTATTTTTGCATTTATTTATTGATTTATTTATGCATTTATCATATATTTCTTTTATAAATTAATTATTTTTACAGGGTTTGTATACTTATTACCAGGGTCTGTTTATGTATTGCCATAGTTTGTATACCATCACCAGGGTCTATATACCTATCACCAGGGTCTGTATACCTATCACCAGGGTCTGTATACTTATCACCAGGGTCTATGTACCTATCACCAGGGTCTATATACCCGTCACCAGGGTCTGTATACCCATCAACAGGGTCTGTATACCCATCACCAGGGTTTATAAACCTATCACCAGGGTCTATATACCCATCACCAGGGTTTGTATACCCATCACCAGGGTCTGTATACCTATCACCCGGGTCTCTTTACTTAATTATCACCAGGGTCTGTATACCTATCACCAGGGTCTGTATACCTATCACCCGGGTCCGTTTTATCTATCACCAGGGTCTATATACCTATCACCAGGGTCTATATACCCATTAACAGGGTCTGTATACCCATCAACAGGGGCTGTATTCCCATCACCAGGGTCTGTATACCTATCACCAGGGTCTGTATTATCTATCACCAGGGTCTGTATACCAATCACCAGGGTCTGTATATCCATCACCAGGGACTGTATTATCTATCACCAGGAACTGTATATCTATCACCAGAGTCTATATACCTATTACCAGGGTCTGTATACCTATCACAAGGGTGTGTATGCCCATCACAAGAGTCTATATACCCATCACCAGGGTCTGTATTATCTATCACCAAGGTCTGTATACCCATCACCAGGGTCTGTATACCTATCACCAGGGTCTGTATACCCATCACCAGGGTCTGTATACCTATCACCAGGGTCTGTATTATTTATCACCAGGGTCTGTATACCTATCACCAGGGTCTGTATACTTATCACCAGGGTCTATGTACCTATCACCAGGGTCTATATACCCATCACCAGGGTCTGTATACCCATCACCAGGGTCTGTATACCTATCACCAGAGTCTATATACCCATCACCAGGGTCTGTATACCTATCACCAGGGTCTGTATACCCATCACCAGGGTCTTTATACCTATCACCAGGGTCTGTATACCCATCACCAAGGTCTGTATACCCACCACCAGGGTCTGTATTATCTATCACCAGGGCCTGTATACCCATCACCAGGGTCTATACCCATCACCAGGTACTGTATTATCTATCACCAGGAACTGTATACCTATCAACTGGGTCTGTTTACCCATCACCAGGGTCTGTATACCTATCACCAGGCTCTGTATACCTATCACCAGGGTCTCTATACTTATCACCAGGGTCTGTATATACCCTCCACCATCTATAACTATCATCAGGGACTATATACCTATCATCAGGATCTGTATACCAATCACTAGGGTCTCTTGACCCATCACCAGGGTCAGTTTATCTATCACCAGGTTCTGTATACCAATCACTAGGGTCTCTTGACCCATCACTCGGGTCAGTTTATCTATCACCAGGTTCTGTATACCAATCACCAGGGTCTATATACCCTTC